TTCTGAGATTTTCTAAGTAAACCACCATGTTGCTGCAAATAGAAATAATTTCACTTCCTCTTTGCCTACACTTACTCCCTCAATCTCTCTCTCTCTCTTTTTTAATTGCTATAGCTAGCATTTCGACCACTATATCAAATAAAAATAGAGGCAATACCTTTGGGAAATTGAGCAGTGCTTTCACCCCAAGCTTCTCCCTAAAACAAAGGCCCGTGTTGTTAGCGATCATATTTTGTCATTGTATGGCTGTGAGTCATGGAATTCCACCATAGTAACGGGTGTTTCTGCATCAGTAAAGATTATGGAAGCTCCCACAGAGGGAGACTGAATAAATGACCCCACTGGAAGCGGTATGGTGCTTCTGGCTTGCAAGAAGCCATGCCAGAGAACAAAAAGGGCGTGATAATTAGTCACTAGCCCCCAGGGTTGGCTTCTTTCTTCTCTGCTTCTTCTGCCCTTCAGATTCAGGGGCAGTTTAACCCTGTGGGCAAACAGCAGCTGATTTTGAAAGTTAGAATTCCCAACTGCCATGCAACATATATGGAGGCTCCACGAAGGAGTGTTTAACCTTCCCTTCTGGCTATGTTCAATACTATGTGGCTATAGTATGTTGAAAATTCCAATTCTGAGAGTATGAGGGGTTGTGACTGGAGAAAGGAGAGTCCAGATGCAGAACAGAGGCAACTGTTCAGACAGCTAGGTGCAATAGCAAGTACTAGACTTGGAGTTAGGAAGATCTGAATTCAAATCTAGCTGCTGACTCTTACTAGCTATGTCACCCTGGCAGGTTACTTAACCTCTCTGTGTCTCAGTTTCCTTATCTATAAAATGGGGATAATAATAGCACCTACTTCACATAATTGTTGTGAGGATCAAATGAAATCACCCATAATGTGCTTTGCTAACTTTAAAGTATATCTGCAGTTAATACACTGCTGTTAATTTAAAGTATATATAAAGTTAGTAAACTGCTGATTTCATACTTTTTTTAAAGTTTTGAGCAGTGTTTCATAGCATCCCCTTGCTAGGTTCTGAACAGACAATATGGGTTTAAACTCTTCAGAACCACCTTAAAGAGTATGATATATGCCTAATCAGTTAGAGAATGGCCCAGGCATTTGCAGGTGGAGAACACTGGTGGCCAGAGGGAATATTACAACCTACCAATTTGTCAGAGAGGAGCTAAAGTGGGCTTCTAAGCTGGAAGTTTGAGAGTGCTGCCTGGTGGACAATTTAACCTATTATGGAAAGCACCCTGCTGATTTGGATAACTGCCACTACTGTAGTACCCCAAATGTCACACACATCTCATGTCATAATCTCTGAAGAAATGAAGTTGAGAAATACCTAAAGGGTAAAGCAAATGGCTCATAATGAATGTAATCAAAACACATGAGGAATTATACAGAAGCAACAGCGTAAAGGACTTCACCTCAAAAATATATGCTTAGAAAAATGTCAGTCCTCTTTCACTGGCATCATCTCAATGTCAAAAAATCTAGAGGAAAGTTACCAGCATATTGGGTGGGCCTCCTGTTGTAGATATATGGGAAGACATCCGCAAGGGTCACCCAGGTTGGGCAGGTATGGCTAGGTTATGATCTACATTGTTGGAGAGAATACCAATATCAATATCAGTATGATCATAGACCCACCAAAGTAAGGACATTGAGAGAGACATTCAGAAATAAGTATGTTACATTCCACAGTAGGAAAATACTGGGTTTGGAGTCTGTCAGTCAACAAGCATTTATTAAGCACCTACTATGTGCTAAGCACTGGAGATACAAAGAAGGCAAAAAAGCCCCTGTTCTCAAGGAGTTCACAGTCTAATGGGAGAGACAACATATAAATAACTATGTATAAGCAAGATACATACAGGATTAATTAATGGCTAATCTCAGAGAGAAGGTGCTAAGACTAAGGAGGACTGGGAAAGACTTTTTGCAGAAGGTAAGATTTTAGCTGAGATTTGAAGAAAACCAGGAGACAAAGATGAGGAGGGAGAGAATTCCAGGCATGGGAGAAAAGCAAGTGAAAATGCCTTGAATCTGGAAAGGGAGTGCTATATGGGAGGAACAGAAAGGAGACCAGCATTGCTGAATCATGGAGTATAGAGTAAGGAGTAAAGAATAAGATTGGAAAAGTAGAAAGGGGCCAAGTTAAAAAGGGCCTTAACAGAGTATTTCATATTTGATGCTAGAGGTAATAGGGGCAGTATGAAATGTCAACTGTATTGCCAAGTGATAATCATCAAAACAGTCTGGCACAGGCTAAGAAATACTGCCATAGATAAGTTGAATAGATTAGGTACATAATACACAGTGGCAAATGAATATAGTAATATAGTGTTTAACAAACCCAAAGATCCAAGATTTTGGTACAAGAAATCACTTTTTGACAAAAATTGCTGGGAAAACTGGAAAGCATCTCACAACTATACCGAGATACGGTCAAAATGGGTTCATGATTTACACATAAAGAGATACATCATAAGCAAATTAGGGAAGATGGGAGTATTTTACCTGTCAGATTTATGAGTAAGGAAAAATTTTATGACCAAATAAAAGATAGAGAGCATTATGGGATATAAAATGGATAATTTTGATTACATCAAATTAAAAAGGCTTGGCACAAATAAAACCAATGCAGCCAAGATTTGAAGGGAAGCAGGAAACGGGGGAGAAATTTTTATAGCAAATCTCTCTGATAAAGGCCTCATTTCTCAAGTATATAAGGAACTGAGCCAAATTTATAAGAATACAAGTCATTCCCCAATTGATAAATGGTCAAAGGATATGGATAGGCAGTTTTTAGAAGAAATCAAAGCTACCTATAGTTATATAAAAAAATGCTCTAAATCACTATTGACTAGGAAAATGCAATTAAAACAGCTCTGAAGGTACTACTTCACACCTATCAGATTAGCTAACATGAAAGAAAAGGAAAATGACAAATGTTGGAGGAGATATGGAAAAATAGGGACACTAATTGTTGCTAGAGTTGTGAACCGATCCAACCATTCTGGAGGGCAATTTGGAACTATGCCCAAAGGCTATAAAACTGGGTATGCCCTTTAACCCAGTAATACCACTACTAGATCTATGTCCCAAAAAGATAAAAAAAAAAAAAGGAAAAGGACTTATATGTACAAAAATATTTATAGAAGCTCTTTTTGTGGTGGCAAAGAATTGAGGGGACATCCATTAATTGGGGAACGGCTGAACAAGCTGTGGTATATGATTGTGATGGAATACTATTTTGCTATAAGAAACTATAAGCACGATGATTTCAGAGAAACCTGGAAAGACTTACGTGAATTGATGCACAGTGAAATGAGCAGAACCAGGAGAACATTGTACACAGTAACAGTAACATTGTATGATGATCAACTGTTTGTAGCTCAGCAATACAATTCCAAAGGATTTGTGATGAAAAATGCTATCCACCTCCAGAGAAAGAACTGATAATAGTCTGAATGCAGATTGAAATACTGCCATTTCTTTTTTAACCTTTATTATTTTTGGTTTTTTAGCCTGCATTTTCTTTTGCCACATGGCTAATATGGAAATATTTTACATGATTGCACATGTATATGTCAAATTGCTTGCCTTCTCAAGGAGGAAGGAGTGAGGGAGAGAATTTGGAACTCAAAATTTTTTAAAGTGAATGTTAATTTTTGTTTACATGTGATTGAGAAAAAATAAAAGTGAAAAATAAAATAAAAAATAGAGATCATAGGGAGCCATTGGAGTTGATTGAATAGAGAGGTGACGTGGCCAAACTTATGCTTTAGGAAGATTAGTTTGATAGGTAAGTAAAAAATAGACTGGAGTAAGGAGAGTTGTGAGGCAGAGAAAACAACCAGCAGGTTATTTCTGTAGTCCAGTTATATGGTGATAAGGGCCTAAATCAGGGTGGTAGCCATGTCAGATGACTGAAAGTGTCATATACAAGAGATGTTACAAAGGTATAAATGACAGGATTTGGCAACTGATGGGGGGGGTGAGAAAGAATAGTTGAGGATGACTCCTAGGTTTCGAGACTAGGTGACTGGGAGTATAGTGGTGCCCTGGGCAGTAAAAAGGAAAGTTTGGAAAGGAAAAGGGTTTGGGGAAAAGATAATGAGTCCAGCTGGGACATGTAGAGTTTAAGAAGTCTACAAATTCAAGATATTCAATAGACAGTTGGAGATACAAAACAGATCAAAGCTGGACAAATAGATTTTAGAATTATTAACACAGAGATGAAAATTAAATCCTGGTTCTGCAAGTACTATTTTATCGATGCAGACAAATCCCTTATCTTCTCTGGGCCTCAGTTTCCTCATGTATAATATGGACTTGGACTAGATGGTTTATAATCAGTCAGTCAATCAATTAACATTTATTAAACACTTAAAAACTTATTAAACACTTGTGCCAGGCGCAATCTACTCTAAAAGTCTATGATAACATAACTGGGTGATCAATTATCAGGGCTGGTATGTCCCTACCAGGGTGAAGATTAGGCCTTACTGATGTAGGGCTGCAGACTGGAGGTGTGAAGACTTACACACAATGCCCCTCCTTGAATTAAGACCCTGGGCCTACACAGAAAGAATTAGGGGTCAGTCACTCATCAAGCTAACATTTATTCGGTGCCTACTACGTGCCAGGCACTGTGCTAAGTACTGGGTTGAGTATGAGGGCCACGTGGGGGTGCAGGGGCTGGGAGCCATGATGGGCAGACCTCTAATGGGGCTCTGTGCATGGCTAGGGGGCTCAGGACTAGGAACAAGAGAGACCCAAGTAAGGTGTCATTTCTTCCCCCATCCAGCTATACAACTAAAGCGAACATCTTCTAACTTTTGGCACTGACTTGTTGGCTCCTCCCCCTCTCTAGCTTTCGGTCTAGCGTGATCGATGGCGCTGGTCTAAGTTGCTCCCGGTTGCCAAGGAAATGACGTTAGCACACGATGATGTAACTACGGGAAGATTCACAGGTCCTGGATTGGTTACCAGGAAGCCACTAGGTAAGCAACCAGGGGGAGGTGGGGGGAAGCAACTGGCGATGTCAGCAGTCCTCCTCTACATCCCATCTAAAGGTGAGACCCAGGGGAAATTCCTTGGTAGAGACCCTTGTTGCGTGGGGACACCCAGCATCCCCAGTTCTCTCCCAGGCCGTATCGCCTTGGCTTTCCCTGCGACTTTTGGCCCTTCCGGCATGCCGTTGTGCGGATGGGCTACTGTCATCGTAGAGAATTCTGGGACTTGTAGTTCCAGGCTGTCCAAAGTTGGACCGGGAGGTGAAAGCCTAGTTATTTCAGAGAAGCAGGAGCTAGTACAAGCAGGAGAGTTTGAGGAAAAGATGCTCATGGCCCAGAAGGAGGCATAAGAGTGTATTCTGAATTCATTCATGACTCTGGTTCTCTTTTTAGATGCAGATCTGAGACCGAGCCCCTAAAGAGTACCCCTCAGTCTCTCAACCTGGAATCCCCACCCAAGATGGAGAGGATGAAGTTGTCCTCAGGCATTCTAGTAGGAGAGAAGGACATCATGCAACAGCAGGAAGTTCAGCAGGGGTTTGACCACCTCAGAGAAGACAGACCCATGGGGCTGAATTCTGGAGCCTTGCCTGCTGAAACCCGTTCTGCAGCAGACTCAGACTCACAGATTCCTCAAACAGAGGCTCCTCAAGGGTTTGACAGAGTTCCTGCTGGGATGAGAGGAGATCCTTTGGAGCCTTACCAATCCACCAATCAGATTGCTGAGCCACTCCAGTCTCCTATCCTCTGGCACTGCCCTGATGGAAGCTTTGTCAAGAGGATCATGGTCCAGGGTCAGGGCTTGGACAAACCCAAGGGGGGCTCCCAATGCCACGTTCTAGTATCTGGGCTTCCCCCTGGAGTGGGTCTGCCTGAAGGCTGGACAGAACTAACCATGGGATCAGGGCCATGGAGAGACAGTCCTTGGGGAGAGGTTTTGGAGAAATGCCTGGAAACCATGTGTTCAGGTGAACAGGCAGAGCTCTTGCTCCCTGGTGGAGCTGAGCCCCCTGCCTTGATCACCCTGGCCTCCTTCACCCTGGGCAAGGACTCTTGGGAGTTGTCGGTCAGGGAGAAAGAAGAGCTGGCTTCAGAGGAGCGGGCTAGGGGCACAGAATTGTTCAGAGCTGGGAACCCTGAGGCAGCTGCGAGGTGCTATGGCCGAGCTCTGCGGCTGCTGCTGACTCTTCCCCCACCTGGCCCTCCAGACCGAACCATTCTTCATGCTAATCTAGCTGCCTGCCAGCTGCAGCTAGGGCAGCCTACCTTGGCAGCTCAGAGCTGTGACCGAGTACTAGAACGGGACCCACGACATGTGAAGGCATTGTACAGAAGGGGAGTGGCCCGGGCTGCCTTTGGGGAACTGGATGGAGCTGCTGCTGACCTTCGGAGGGTGCTGGAGGTGGAACCAGGAAACCGGGCTGCCAGAGAGGAGTTAGGGAGGGTGGTGATCAGGGGGAGACAACAGGATGCAGGGCTGGCTCGGGGTCTCCGAAAGATGTTTGGCTAATTAAAAATTAGAACTTAAAAGAGAGAACAGAAATGATGTGATTTGTGGTCTGTGCTGTTAAGGAGAAGGCTTTCGAGTACATGGATTTAGAGGAGAAAAGGCTTGTTGGGTTTCATTTCATATCCCAATTCTCCTATTTGCTGGCCTGGAGAGATACTGTTTCCTCCCTTCAGTTTCCATTCTTTCCCTTCATTCTGTGTTCTGGTCTCATTTCCCTCCGATCACAATCAGTTCAATAATATACTACTAATTTGTACTTGAATCATTGCCACTCCTGATTTGTTACTTTCTAGCCCTGGGTTCATCTTATCACTCTTCTTGTCTACTCCTAGTCACATGTTCAGTTGATCCTACGGCAAATTTATGTTATCTAGTCTGATCTCACCTGAACCTTCATTGCTCTATAAAATCCTTTATTTTCCCTTGATTGTTCATCATACTTCTTTGGAGTAGCTATTTCACTATTTCTCAGGTTCCCTTTTCTAGATCAACACAAGTCTGACCATGCTATATATAGCCTTGCTTAAAATGTCTTCAGTTGCTCCCTAAACGGTCCCTAAGAGAAAGTACAAACTCCTTAGCTTGGCATTTAAATCCTTCGAGAATCTGGCTTCACTAACATTTCTGGACTTATTTTATATTTTTATATTACTCTCCTTGAACTCTATATTTCAACAAAACTGGCCTGTTAACTGGTTTGTGAACTCAACATGCTTTCTCTTGCCTCTATCCCTTTACACAGGATGTCTGATTCTTATAATTGGAATGTGTTCCCACTTTACCTCTTAGAATAACTAACTTCATAGTAAGGATTAGCCTTAGGTGCTATGTCCAACAAAGCCTTTCCAGATTCTCTTTAGTTGTTAGTCCTCTCTCCCTCCTCAAATGATCTTTTAGTTCTATATCAGTGGACATGCAGTAGTGCTATGTTTTTTGTTTTGTTGTTGTCAGTATCCATAGACCCTTGCACATATTCAAGAGAATCTGCAATCTTATTGATTTAGTACCCACCCCCCCACATACACATACACGCAGTAATGCAGATCACAAACATCCATGTCTACCCATCCTGAGCCACTCTTCATGTCTTCCCTTGTTTACCACAAGGGGTCCACAAAATGTGGTAGGGCCTTCTTTTCTTTCTCTTAACATGGAGAAGATGCCAGTAGAGTATTCAGACTATCCATCTATCCCTTGCCCTGGCCACATGACCAATCTACTTTTTTTTTACTTACATATTTATTTACCTGGTAACATCCTCTACTCCAGTTCTTTGAAGTTCTTGATTTGCTATAAGCTCCAGCTTTTTTACTCTCAACATGCATCTCTCCATTTCCCTTTATGTAGGGCTCGTTTCGAAGGTTTTAGACTATAAACTTGTACTTGCACATAGTAGGTCCTTGATAAGTATTTGTAGAAGTAAGTCAGATCAGACTGACCAGGGGTGGTAGAAAGCCTAAAGACAGTAGAGGTGGGGAGAAAGCCCAAGACAAATAGAGGTGGGGTACACACAGAAGAAGCAATGTGGGGATAACGATACTTATGGGGAGATTGAGAGGATGTGATGGCCATCTTCAAGTATCTGAAGACCAGTCATAAGGAGCAATAATTGGTTCCAGAGGGCAGAATTAAGGAGCAATAGGTGGAAGTTGTTGAGAGGTAGATTTTATTTCAACATAAGTAAACATTTTCAAGATCAGAGTTGTCCAAAAGTAGCCCAGTGGCTGCTTTGGGAATTATTATAGAATTGAGTTAGAAGGCAGCTCGGGTAGGAAAGTTAGCTCAGTCAACAAGCATTTAACATGTGTCAGGCATTTCAATAAGCACAGATACAAAGAAAGCCAAAAACAGTCCCTGTCCTCAAGAAGCTTACATTCTAATGCAGAGACATGCAAACAACAATGTACAAACAGGGTTCATTAGGGATAATCTTATAAAGAGACACTAGCATTAATGAGCACCCAGAAAGCTTCTTGCAGAAGGTAGGGTTTTAATTGAGACTTGAGGGAAGCCAGGTCATGGGCAGTGAATCCCTATATTGCTGAAGGTCTGCAAGCCAAGCTTGTGGATTTTTATTTGATTCTAATTACAGATTCGGGTTGTACTTTGTCCTTTAAGGTCCCTTCCAACTCAGAATTTTTTGAAAATGAAAGAAGAGGAGGAGAAGAAGGACGAGGAGGAGGAGGAGGAGGAGGAGGAGAAGAAGAAGAAGAAGAAGAAGAAGAAGAGGAGGAGGAGGAAGAAAAAATAGTGCTTTACAATTCACAAAGTGTTTTTACATGCTATATGTCAGAGGAACCAAGAAGTCACATAAAAAAAAGATAACTGAGGAGGAAATGACCTCTGACACCTAAAAACTACAACCTCCACGAAGCCCCATACCTGGGACACCTAGTGGTCAAGATCTCAGACCCCCAAACCCCAAATCCCTTGCGGTTTCCTCCATGTTCTCTAAGGGGGAAGATGACTACAATTCCCAAGATGCCCCAGCTATAATTCAAAATATTTGCTTCAATGAGGTTCTTAGCCCTGAGGGATGCTACACATGCGCGATGCCAGTTAGTCTTTCCTTCCTAATCATTTTTTTCTAATCCTGCTATTACTCCGAGACCCCGAAGCTTTCTCCTATTGGCTCATCCACTAAGCATTGGAACATTTTATTGGCCAGATAGGCTTCCGGGGAGGAAAAGTTCATAATGGCATTATGATTGGTCTATATTGGGGAGGGGGTGGGGCTTCGAACCGGCTCCGGGGTTGGGGGGCGGGGGGAAAATGGCGGCGGAACTGCTACTGCTCAGCGAAATCGCCGATCCGGCTCGTTTCTTTGCAGACAACCTGCTCAGCGCTGAGGACTGGGGTCCGCGGGGAAGGGGGTCGGGGGAGGTGGAGGAGGATACGGCGTGTTGTTTCCATGAAGGGTTTTGAGGAGGGGACAAGGGGCTAGTATGAGGAATGCCATTAAGGAATCTACCATCTACGGGAACCTGGGTGGGGCGTGGTTTCTGGGCTGAACTATCTAGGAGCGGAGACAGGGGGGCTATTTTCCCCTTGCGGGTTATCCTCCTTGTGGGATGCCAGTAGTGGAAACCGTTGAACTGTTCCACTCTACTTGTTTCCACGTGAAACGGGTGAGGAACCACCCCCACCCCACCCCACCCCCCGTGGGGAAGGTGCAGGGGGCTAGAGAGAGTCAGAGATTGTACCACTTTTACGAGGAGGGGGTTGAGCCTTTTGGATTTTACCATGTTGGGAGGGAGTGCGGGGGGGGGGTATGGTGTGGATGATACCACTGAGACTGGATGGGGGTAATTGCTGTCATATTCACCCTTGCAGACCGCACCCTCTATAATTGCCTTGATGAAGTGACTGAGGAGCAAGCTCAGCTCTTCAGATGTCTGGAACAAGATGTCCCGGTAAATTTAAGTGCCACAAAATGTCACAGGTGGAAGGGACCTTAGGAGTCTGGTCCAGCCTCCTTGTTTTACAGATGGGAAACAGGCCAAGGGAGGGGAAGTAACTTACCCAAGGGCATCACCCTTAGCCCCCGATAATACCTCTGGGAGCTTACAATTGCAGTCCTGGGGCAGATCTCATCTTGCTGGGGATTCTTCCTTTCTCATGCCTCTTCCTCTCATCCTCACACAGTTTGATAGCGGCTCCCTGGACATGGGCATGGACATCACCTCCCCTGAGCCCCCATGGGACCCACTGCCCATCTTCCCAGGTGAAGGATACCTTGTGCCCCATCTTTCTTATCCTTAGCCTGTTTAATTACTAGTGTTCCACCTCCTCCCAGATTTCTGAATCTGCTTTCCAGCTACTTCCACATCCCATTTCTTCCCAAGACATCATCTTTTGGGGAGGTACCATATCTTGCCCCCACCCATTTTCCAGAAACCCTTGTGTTTTCCTCCATTTCTTCAGATACCTCTTTGTACCCCTTACCCTGAGGCTTCTAAGATCGTTTCATTAAAGACTCCACCTTCTCCCCTCTACTTTTCCATCCTCCCAAAAACTTTTAGCTCTCCTCTTAGACATTTCTGTCTTACTCACCACCCTCCCACACACCCCTCACTTCCAGACTTACAGGTGAAGTCAGAACCTTCTTCCCCTTGCTCCTCCTCTTCTCTCAGCTCCGAGTCATCACTTCTCTCCACGGAGCCCCTTGGCCAGGTGAGAGTTTCATTTCCCTTCTACTCTGGATGGCAAACAGTCTTCTTAGTTTCATTCACACATTATTTGTGTGCTATTCATCTTTAGTATGAGAGCCTTCTTTCCTACTTCTTCTTCCATCTGACTTACTCTGTCTTTCCTTCCACTTCCTGCAGGCCTCTGTGGGAGAAGAGGTACTTGGTGTGAAGATAGAATCTCCTAGCCCTCCACACTGCCTCTTGGGGAATGTTCTGAAACCTTCATTTGGAGCTATCCAGATTAGTGTGGGCCTCACCCCAGATGACCCCTCAGGTAGTCATTGGTTTTTCTTCCCCTTCTCTAGGCACCCATTGTGTGATGGCAAGGAAGAAGTAGGGGATGGCAGACAACTAGAAAAGAGGACCATCAGGGAGGGGAGATTAAGGTCTAGGGCTATGTCTAGGAAAACAAGACCAGAGAGATGTAGATGTCCTATCCCTGTTCTCCCTTCCCCAATCCATGTTCCAAACATTCAACCAGGTAATGAATCTCATCTTACTTTGCATTCCTTCAGCCTTTACAGAATCCATTTGTGTACTATTTTGCAAATGTTCTTAAGTGATCTATATTGTCTCCCTCATGATTGATTATTCAAGAAGTATTAATGGAGGGCTTAATATGTGCCTTGCACTGTGGAAAGTGCAACCTGCCCCTCCTTGCCCTCAAAGAACTTACAGTCTTTAAGGAAAGGTCAAAATAGAATAGTTATTAAGTGCTTACTAAGTACCAGGCTATCTGCTAGATTCTGGAGATAGAAATACAAGCAAACAAGATAGTTGTTGCCCACAAGGAGCTTATATTCTAGGGAAGATGAAACAAAAAGGGGATCTGGAAAATGGTAGGGAGTATGGCATGGTATAACATTGATGTCTGGGCAAAAACCAACCTAGAGGTTCATGGGAATGAGGTAAAGTGATGGTGTAAGTAGTAGCACATGACTAGGATAGGCAAGGAAGAAAATGCACTGAAGTAATACTACACAGGATCTTATGATTCAGTGCCAGGTTCAGAGGATAGGTATAGTGCTTGTAGGAAGGAAGCCCCCCTTATTGCAAGTGCAATTGCTAGGAAAAATGTCATTGGAGGAGGTAGAATTTAGTCTGGATCCTGAAAAACTGGGCGAATTTGGAGCAGGTAGAGAAGAAAGAGTAGGGTTTTCTAGTTAGGGGAAGCAGTATCACCAAAGGAGCAGAGGTTTAAATGGACACAGTGTGTTCTTGGAACAATGAAGCATTAGCCTGGCTTGGAATGTAGGGTTTGGATGGGTAAGTAGCAGAAGATAAAGTTGAGTAAGCAGGTTGTGGCCTTAAAAATGTTTATTGAGTTGAACTGAATTGTGAAGGGCCTAGATTGGCAGAAGGAGATAATATTTGTAAAAGTGTTAAATAGCCATGAAATACTATGTAAATACAGACTGTTGTCATTATTATTTTATCCTGTAGCTAGTGGGAAACAGTGGAAAGATTGTGATCAGAGAAGAAGCTGATAAAAGCAGTGTATGAGGAAGACTATGGTAGTAGTAGTAGAGTACTGAGTAGATTTTATTTAAAGAGTTGAGGGAGTGGAGTGAGGGGAAAGGACAAGAGGCTAAAGGCAAGAAGACCAGTTAGGTTATTACAGGATTCCAGGTGATGAGGATCTGAATTAGATTTACAGTGATGGGAATGGAAAGGATAAGTTATAAGAGAATAAGGCATAATTGTCTCTCACTCACCTTACATATCCAATCAAGTGCTAAATCTTATCTTTCCTATTTCGACAATATCTTGTATGTACTCTTCTTTCTCTCTACTAACATAGCCATTACTCTAGCAGAGTCTTTTATTATCTCACACCTTGACTATTGAAATGATTGCAAGTCTTAGCCCACGCCAATCCATCATCTACACAGCCACCAAAGTAATTTTCCTGAAGTGTAGGTCCAACCACACCACCCGTCCCCCCAAATCTCTTTTTTCCCACCTTGCAGATACACAGACCAAGACAGAACCCATTTCACCTTCTTCCCCTCTTAGCTCAGAGGCCTCATTGCTCTCCACAGAATCCCCCAGTAAGGTAAGCCTCACTTCTTACTTTCTCCCCACCCAATTTACTACCCCCACACCCTCACCCCCACCCTGGGTATAAGAAGTTCTTTCCTAACCAGAATATCTTCTAACCATTCCTCTTGCTCTCCCCCTCCCCCCTACTCCTTTCCCTTCCCTTTACACCTATGCTCTGTGCTTTCTCTGCAGCCTCTTGTAGAAGAGGAGGTGTTAGGAGTAAAGACAGAATCACCAGCCCCTCAACTCTGCCTTCTAGGGGATGTCCTGACTTCCCCATTTGGATCAGTCCAAATTAATGTGGGTCCAGCCCCTGATGCTTGCTCAGGTAATGCCCATCCTACCTCCCGAGTTTCCCGGTTTAAAAGGCCTGCCTTCCTGATAACTCTTCTTTTTGTCCCTTCCCTAGGAAAGGCCCCACCCCATCGGAAGCCACCACTGCAACCGAAGCCTGTTATGGTGACAAATGTCCCACTGCCTCCCCGAAATTCACCTCCTAGCACCACAGTCTTGTTGCAGCCCCTAGGCCAGCCTCCACCAGGTATGGAAGAAGGGAGCCAGGGCTGAATCCAGGAAGGCCACCACTTCTTGAACCCCTGAACTAGGAATGCTCAGAATAAAGTACAGGCTGCCTACCTTACATTACTCTTTCTATTCCTTCTCTCCACTCAGTCCCATCTGGGCCTTCCGTAGTCCTTTTCCAGGGCCCTGTTCAAGTACAGCCACCTGTGGGGGAGGGGCCAGCTCCCCCCACCCCCCGATTGGAGAGGAAGAGCATTGTGCCAGCTCCCATGCCTGGGACTCTATGTCCTCCAGAGGTGGATGTAAGTATTAGGGAGAAGTGAGGGTGACAGATTAGGGAGAAAATCTATTGTAAGAAAATGAAGTTGAAAAAATTAGAGATGAGACATAGGATAGGGAAGAGATGGGAAGAAAAACCAGGAGGGCAGTGGGAGAATAGGGCCAGAAAGGATGGACACCTGGCCTAGGGATGCAGGGTCGAGGGAGGCAAGACTGTCAGGGAGTGGAGGGCACATGGTGGGCAGTGGTTTTTTTTTTATTTTTAATTAATTTATTTTGAATTATCAACAATTACTTCCATAAGCTTTTGAGTTTCAAATTTTTCTCCCCCTTCCTCCCCTCTACCGTCCCCAAGACGGCGAACAATCTGATATAGGCTATACATATATACGTTCCTATTAAACATATTTTCACATTAGTCATGTAGGTAAGAATTAGAACCAATAAGAGGAACCACCAAAAAGAGGAAACAAAACACAACAAAGGGAAAAAAATAGCAAATAGTATGCTTCCATCTGCATTCAAACTCCGTAGTTCTTTCTTCTTTGTGGATAGCATTTTCCATCATGAGGCCTTTGGAGATGTCTGAGATCTTTGTATTGCTGAGAAGGGTCATTAGTCATCACACAACATGGCTGTTACTGTGTACAATGTTCTTTTGGTTCTGCTCACTTCACTCAGCATCAGTCCATACAAGTCCTTCCAGGTTTTTCTGAAGTCAGCCTGTTCATCATTCTTTATAGCACGATAGTATTCCATTACATTCATATACCACAACTTGCTCAGCCATTGCCCAGTTGATGGGCATCCTCTCAATTTCCAATTCTTTGCCACCACATGGGCAGTGGTTCTGAGGAAGGGAAGAGAAGGGCCAAAAAGAAAGACCTTTATTACAACAGGGTTGAGCTTTGTAACTTGAGGAGGGGGTCAGAAGAGAAATTCCCTATGCTAGCTGTAGAGAAAGAAAAGCTAGAGGTGCAGTAAGAATTTTTCTTACTGGGAGTTGTTGTCAGTTGTTTTCAGTCATGTCCAACGCTTTGTGACTCCATTTGAGGTTTTCTGGGCAAAGATACTGGAGTGGTTTGGCATTTCCTTCTCCAGCCTTACAGATGAGGAAACTGAGGCAAATAGGGTTAAGTAACTTGCCCACGGTCACACAGTAAATGTTGGAGGCTATATTTGAATTGAGGAAGAGGAGTCTTCCTGACTCGGGCCCAGCACTCTGTCTACTGAGCCAGAACAAGGGGAAATTAGGGGAATAACTCTTCCCTCAGAGAGGTCAGGAGAAGGAAGAGAGACTCCCCCCAGTGGCCAGGGTAGGGAAGCCAGAAAGCAAGTCAGTCAGAGGTCTTGGGAAGGTCTGCTCTTTGGACTTGGGAGCAGGACTGGAGGTCTCTGAGAAGGGAATGTCCCTGACTTTTTCACTCTCAACACACACATCCAGGCAAAGCTGCTGAAGCGTCAGCAGCGGATGATCAAGAACCGTGAGTCAGCCTGCCAGTCCCGGAGGAAGAAGAAGGAATATCTGCAAGGGCTGGAGGCTCGGCTCCAAGTGGTCCTTGCAGACAACCAGCAGCTCCGCCGTGAGAATGCAGCTCTCCGAAGACGGCTGGAGGGGCTGCTGGCAGAGGTGAGGGTCCTAGGGCCCAGGGGAGCCTGGAAACCCAGAGGAGCCTCAGAAACCCAGAGGTGACTTAACTCTTCCCCCTTTATCTTCTGCCCTTCTAGAACAGTGAACTAAAGTTTGGGTCTGGGAATAGGAAGGTCGTCTGTGTCATGGTCTTCCTCCTCTTCATCGCCTTCAACTTTGGGCCTGTGAGGTAAGGGCCCCATTTCCCCCTCGCTTTGTGTTCTGTACAATTGAGCAAGGTGGAACAGGCCTGAGGCTTCCCATTTCCCTTGCCTTGGGACAGAGCCCATCCTGTGTACCTTGGAGGCTTCTTTTGGCTGCCTTTTCATTCACCTTTCACATACTCAGGAAGCTCCAGGGGCTCCCTTTTGCCTCTAAAATTTCACATAAGCTCCTCAGTTTGGCATTCAAAGCCCTTCACAGCTGGGGTTCCACTGGCCTTTCCCATTCCACTATTTCCCTTTGTCTGCCCTGCTCCTCCCTCCCTCAACCAAATGGACTTACTTTCTGATTACATATATCATGCATCATCTTTCACCTCTGTGCCTTTCTAGTCATTCCCCCTTTACCCCTCCCCATTCCCAGGTCAGTTGTTCCCTCTTATCCCTGAAACTGCTTTGTATATATTTTACATTGATATATCTGTAGATAAGTTTTCCCACACAATGTAAGTTCCTTGAGGGCAGGAATTGATTTCTTTTTTGTCTTTTTTCATCTTTAGCATATGACATAGTTACCTGACATATAATAAGGGCTTAATGATTGTTTTCTGAATTTAATTAAATTAGATTTAATTAAATAGGAGTCTCAGGCATAATTGTTAATTCCTTTTTGCTCATGCTAATGATAGTGTCCATCTTCTGTCCTTTACAAGTTTAATGATATAGGTCATCATGGTTCTCAAATCTGCTATAACAAGGGATAGATACAGAACAGGAAGGTTTGAGAGGTCAGTGGGGTATTGGATCCTTTCCCTAAATTGGACCCTAAAGAAGGCTTGGATTCTAATCTGGATTGTCACTTCCTAGTTTTGTGATGGTGGCCAATTCATTTAACTTCTGTGACTCTCAGTTTTATCACATGTCAAATATGGATAATAATACTTACTCCCCTTACTCCACAGGCTTTCTGTAAGGAAAGCACTTGGTAAATCTTCAGGTGCTATATAAATGTGTATTATCTTTATCATTATCATTATTATTATTTTCTTATCTTCCCTAGCATCAATGAATCACCTCCAGCTCCAGCCTCACCTCCGATGGGCAAGGAAGAGTCTTGGCCCCAGAGGCACCTCCTAGAGTTCTCAGAGCAAGGGGTAATTCCTGGGGAGGACACCCAGGGAACACCGCTGGGCCACAAGGAATCACAGCCTAGGCCCCCTGGCCAGTCACATTTCAAGTAAGATGAGAGCAAGATGCTCCTCATTGGCATGCCTGGAAAATGCTCCTCCCTCACCTCCACATCTTCAGTCTCTACTTTTTCTTCCCAGTTCAGTTTAAGTACCATCTTCTGCACAAGACTTCTCCTGACCCCTCTTCCCCTCTCCCATTTGTGCTTTCCCCTGAAAATTTGCCTTGTATTTATTTCAAAAGTATACTTATGTATGTATATGTCACTGCCAAATGAATGTGAGCTCTTTGAAGGGAGGGACTTTTATTTTTGTCATTGTGTTCCCGTTGTCTGGCACAGTGGTATGTCTAGATGCTTAGTGTTTGTTAATTGACTGAAGCCCTGTCAACTGAGTGAGAATGAAAACTATCTTGCCCAAAGCTACTCGTCTCTTCTTGAGTATTAGTCGTGCCACCTTCTGCCTCTTTCCTTCTCCTCGTTCTAGAAGTCTCTGATCCCCCGTCTCTCATGTTGGAGGTAGGATTGTGACAGGCTCACAGCTGTGTTCCCCTTCCCTGCTCTGCTCCAGGAACCTAACAACCTTTCCCAAGGGAGCCAAGGAACTGTTGCTGAGAGACTTAGACCAGTTTTTCCTCTCCTCTGACTGTCGTCACTTCAACCGGACTGAGTCTCTCCGGTAAGGGAGATTCTTTGGGGGGGGGGGGGCAGAGGCCCTCTTGGGTGTTCTCTTCATCTCTTTCTTTTCCTCCTAGCAATAGGCTCCCCTGTTCTGAGAGAGATCATGTGCCCATCCCCATTGTTCCCAGATCTAAGTTCTTCATTGGCCCTTTTCGAAAGTTGACTCTCTGTTCTAGGCTTCTTTACTCTGTAGCCTTGACTTTGCATGTGTGCGTGCGTGCGTGTGTGTGTGTGTGTGTGTGTGTGTGTGTGTGTTGATTTTTTTGTGAGGGGAGTGATGAGGAAGTGGCGTGCTGGAGTGGGATAATCTCTCAAGGACTCTTATTCCAAGGGAGGGCCAGGGGGGTGGTGTTCAATCTGACCCCTGGCTTACTCCTCCTAGGCTTGCAGATGAACTTAGTGGCTGGGTCCAGCGACACCAGAGTGGAAGAAAGAAGAGTCCTCAGCCCCGGAAGGTCAGGGAAAAACAGGTAGGAGATGGATGTGCTGATGGAGGTTTTAGTGGGCCAAGCAGCAGTGGTTTAGAAAACCAGGTGGGAGGCATCTAGGGATCTTGGAGGGCAGAGGGGAAGCAGGAGAGATGGGAGTAGAATTTGAATGATGAGGGAACTCTGGGTGGGTAGGAATACCGCATGTAGTGTGGAAAAGACCTAGGAATTTGACTGGAGACAGGAACTCTTGAGTGTGGGCAGGGTGGTAGCAGCTTCAAGGGGCTGCCTGGGGGCTGCTGCTGTCCCTCTGCCCATCCCTGTATCCTTAGATTTCTTTTTTTTTTTTGCAGAAGTCTCACCAGTGGAAGAAACCACCTTCAGCCTGGTCAGTCCCTCCTCGGCCCTCTGGCCCCCTTGAAAGGTGAGTGGGAGCTGCTGTGTGTCTGCCCTTGCCACTAAGGGAAGGCCCTTGCATCCTCTCAGATGGAATTTGAATATTGTGTTGGGCTGTCCTTCTGTCATTCCCAGTCCTCTCTCCACCCTCACCAGGGACTCTGTGAGCCAGCTGCAGCTGTATCACCACCCCAGACGTCCACAGCCAGAGTTCCTAGATGCCATTGACCGTCGGGAAGACACATTCTACGTCGTCTCCTTCCGAAGGGTGAGTGTCTCAGCCCTATTCACAAGTGAAGGAGGGGGCAGGACCAGGGTAAGAGTGCCAAGTTCGAGGCACACTGCTGCGTATGGCCTCATACTCGGTCTGCATTGTCACATTCGGGCTTCTGCATTCATTCCACTGGTCTGATAGGGCCTCTGGGGAGAGGGGCAGGGAGTGAAGGGAGGCAGATGAGGGCAGAAGCAGACGGGACACCCCAGCGCTGGCCTGTTCCTTTCTCATTTGCTCTGCACATAGTAGACATTCAGTGAATGGCTATGTATGATTATGGTTCTCCAGGATCACCTGTTGCTCCCAGCAATCAGCCACAACAAGACTTCTCGCCCAAAGATGTCTTTGGTGATGCCAGCCATGGCCCCCAATGGTAATTCTTTCCTCTAGAGGAGGGAACTGGGTGGGAATAGACTTCAAAATCAGAGGGCCTAATGGATTAGTTTGTCAAGTGTGAGGGGAAAATGGGCAACAGAAATATTGGGCAGACATGAGATTCTAAGGGGAAAATGAGTAGTATCTTGGGGAAAGAACAGAGCAGAATAATGACTTAGGGGCACAGCAGGAGCCTGGGTACCAGGCTGGGTACCGGAAGCATCACTCACCTGTTTTTTCCCTTCTTGTCTTTCTCATAAAACCTTTGTGACTCAGTATATGTGCCTTCTGTTTTGTCCCATTTCTCTCTCCACACATGCTTGTCCTCTTTTCCTCTTTCTCATTCTTGTTTGTTCCCTCCATTATTCGAATTCCAATTGCTGAGTGCCTAACCTCCTCCCTCCCTCCTCCCACAGAGACCCTGTCGGGCCGGGGCAATACAGGGGACTATGAGGTGATGATGCAGATCGAATGTGAGGTCATGGACACCAGGGTCATCCACATCAAGAGCTCCACAGTGCCCCCCTCCCTTCGAAAGCAGCCTCCCCCCTCCTCCTGGCAATGCTTCAGGCAACCCCTTGCCTCCTCCAGCACCCAGCTCTTCTAGGCAAGCTCCTCACCAGCCCTTCTACCTCGATCACCCCTAACAGCTCTAGCTTGCACTGACTTAAAGCTGAGAATGTGGTGGGGTGTACCCTCCATTTCTCTAATCCAGGGCTTGGCATGAATAAGGCACTTATTTGGGGGTGGGACTGTCCCCTCTACCTAGTTCCCTTTTCTGTACAGAAGATTCAGCTCTTCTCCAATCCCCCCAGTCCCTATGTCCTTTGAGGGAGGGATATTGGGTAAGCTCCATTTTTTGTGGGCTCCTGCACATACCCCTTATTCTGCTATTTCTCTGGTGTTGGGTGGGGGGAGGGAGGGGAGGAAGCTAGTCCCCAGGTGGGACCAAAGTTTTTACATTTTGTGGGGAGGTTATTGGGGAAAAAAGAGGAGAAGGGATAATTGGGAGGCGATTGAAGTTTGTGTGTTCTCTTTTTTTATTATTAAATAAATGGTTAGGAGGGAGTGGAGGAATAGTGCTTTCTGGGTTTTCATTTGGGCTTTAGGGGAAAAGTGTATTCCAAGGGTTATATTAATAACCAGAGAGAAAACAGAAAGACAGCTGGATCTGGGGTGGGGTGGGTGTATCATCACAGACCTAATGTCATCACCTACCCCCCTTCATTCCTCCCCCCTTCTGTGGGCTATGTCTAGCCTATAACCCAGGGTGTGGGGAAAGGAAGAGAGGGTGTCCTCAGAACTGACAAACTGATAGATGCGCGGCCCTGGACTGTTTGTATAAACAGGATGGAATGGGGACTTCCCCACCCCTCGGGACCAGCAGCTATTGGGCCCCTACACTGTGACAGGTCCTGCCTGTCCTGCAGCCACCAACCACCCACAGTCACCTGGGCCTTTCTGCCTAGACAAACAATTAAAAACAGGCCAGAAGGATCTATGCCTCGGAAGGAGGGGCCACTATAGGGTAGTGGGTGAGATTCGAAGTAGGGTGGGGTAGGCTTGTACTTCAACTCAGAGAGATTTGGAACCCCAGGAGTAGGGTGGGAGGGAAGACCTGAATTGGGTGGTACAAAATACATTGTCAGCCCTGATATAGTCAGGGGAGGTTTAGGGGGGAGAAAGGGAACTTCGATAGGGATGGGGAGGTGGGGGGTCTCTACTCAATTGTTCCTATGAACCACCCCTGAGACATGACCCTGCTGAATTATCCTAGGTCAGAAAGAGCCTGTAGGCTGGGCTGGGCTGGAAGCCCATAGGACTGGACATGGGCCACCCCGGGACTGGAGCCCAGGTCTACAGGGGAGGGACAGGACCTCACGTGTCCAACCAGGCCCTGCCTCTGCGTCATCTCCCCCCCCCAAAAAAATACATGTTTGGGGTGAAAACAGATTGGGTAACCATGGCAACCTGGAACAGGGGTTCCCAGGAACTAGACCTTTTTTCCCTCAGAAAGGCCTCTCTGGCTTCTCACCCCTTTTCCCATAGTCCCCTTGCCCTTTTCCTTCCAAACACTCTCCCTTGTATTCCTTTTCCCTTTTCCATTTCTTTTCCCTTTCTCCTTCTTTTACTTCCCTCTCTTTAGGCTCTACATTGTTCCTTTCCCTAAACCCATTTCCTTTCTTCCTGTCCCCTCACCCAGTCATTAGTACCAGATACCCAGTTGATGACAGACTGAAGTTGGCCTTGGAAAGGAGTGATCAGGGTTGGGTTCTTTTGGAGGGAAAAGCTGTGGGGGAGGGAGAGGGGGCACTTTGAGGGTACACGAAAAGTGTGGGGGGTGTTAGCGTTAACCCATGATGAACACACAACAACTTTATTAGTTTTCTTCCTATTCTCATCCCTTTCTGGGGCAGGGCCCTACCAAGTCTCTTCCCCTCTCGGGCCAGGTGAAGCAGTAATGCACACGCCCTCCCCCCCCTTTCCCTTCTTCCGTGGGATCCTCTCCCCTTGTGTAGTTCCCTCACCCCACATTCATTGGCTGTTGTGGTGCTCTCTCTCCTTCCAGCCCTCCTGCCTTTTTCTTCTTTTTAGTCCCTATCACTTGATAAGTTCATACCTTCCCTGCTTTTTCTTGATATTCTGATTTCCCTCTCCCTCCCATCCTGCATTTTCTTCTGTCAGTGTCTCCTTCTCCATTCCTTTTCATATCTCTGTTTCCTCTGTTTTTCCTACCAGTTTTCCTTTCTCTGCCTCTCCCCTTTTCCCCCCTAAATTTCTTTTTTTCTCTCAGTGAATCGTCTTTCACCCTGTCCATTTCTTTGTCTTCTCTTCCCTGTTCTTCCCTGTTTCTTTTCCTTCACTTCTGTTCCCTCCTGCTCCCCCAACCCACCCCTCCCCACTCCAATCCCCTGTCCCCTTCCCAGCTGTGGGGGCCAGGACTAAGGCGCCCAGTGTTTGTCTCATCGCTCTGCTATGGCCTCTGGATACACCACATCTGGATTCCGGGGCCCAGATGTGTGGTTGCCACAGCGACCCTGGTCCTCTGGTAAATATGAGCGCCCACCCTCCTCACAGCAGAGAAGAAAACAATTGTGTGACTTTTCATTTGTCACGAAATTGAGATTCTCCCCCACACCCATTTCCTTAGATTAAGGGAATCCTAAGGGTCCAAAATTGCCCCTCTCTGTCACTTTCTCCTCTTTTCTAGACTTATCTCTGCCCCCCTTTCTTCCCTTAATCTTTTTTCTCTCTATTCCTTGCAATTCCTTTACTTTATCTTACTGAGTCTGTATCTTAAGCTGCTTTCTTTTCTTTTCTTTTATTTATTTTTTAAAATTTTTTTTTCCATATGCTTTTGAGTTGAAATTTTTTTTCTCCCTTTTTCTCCCCCCACCCCAAGATGGCATACAATCTGACACAGGCTTTACATTTACATACCCATTAAACATATTTTCACATTAGTGAAGTTGTAAGTAAAAATTAAAACCAATAGGAGGAACCATCAGAAAGATGAAAGAAAATTCAACTTAAGGTAAAATTAAGTGAGAGCGATTCGACTTCCATAGTTCTTTCTTTGGATGTGGACAGCATTTTCCATCCCAAGGCCTCTGGAGATGTCTTAGATCCTCGTAATGCTGAGAAGGGTGCAGTTTAACATTCTTAGTCATCGCATAACGTGGCTGCTATTGTATACAAAGTCCTCTGGGTTCTGCTCACTTCACTCAGCATCAGACCATATAAGTCTTCCCAGGTTTTTCTGAAGTCAGCCTGTTCATCATTTCTTATAGAACAATAGTATTCCATTACATTCATATACCACAACTTGCTCAGCCATTCCCCAATTGATGGGCATCCTCTCAATTTCCAATTCTTTGCCACCACAAAAAGAGCTGCTATGAATATTTTTGTACCTGTGGGTCCTTTTCCCATTTGTTTGATCTCTCTGGGATATAGCCCTAGAAGTGCTATTGCTGGATCAAAGGGTATGCACATTTTTGTAGCCCTTTGGGCATAGTTCCAAATTGTTCTCCAAAATGGTTGGATCATTTCACAACTCCACCAACAATGTATTAGCGTTCCAGTTTTCCCACATCCTCTCCAACATTTATCATTTTCCTGTTTTGTCATGTTGGTCAATCTGATAGGTGTCATGTGGTACCTCAGAGTTGTTTTGATTTGCATTTCTCTAATCAATAATGATTTAGAGCATTTTTTCATATGACTATAGATGGCTTTAATTTCTTCATCTGAGAACTGTCTGTTCATATCCTTTGACCATTTATCAGTTGGGGAATGTCTTGTGTTCTTAAAAATTTGTCTTAATTCTCTATATATTTTAGAAATGAGGCCTTTATCAGAAAGACTGGTTGTAAAAATTCTTTCCCAATTTTCTACCTTCCTTCTAATCTTAGTTGCATTGGCTTTGTTTGTGCAAAAACTTTTCAATTTAATGTAATCAAAATTATCCATTTTGCTTTTCATAATGTTCTCTATCTCCTGTTTGGTCATGAATTCTTCTCCATAGATCTGATAGGTAAACTATTCCTTGTTCTCCCAGTTTACTTATGGTATCAGCCTTTATATCTAAGTCCTGAACCCATTTTGACTTTATTTTGGTATATGGTGTGAGATTTGGGTCTATGCCTAGTTTCTGCCATACTCTTTTCCAGTTTTCCCAGCAGTTTTAAACTGCTTTTTTAAAAAGTAAAATAAGGGTCAGACTCCCCACCCCCAGCCAGGCCCCTTTCCTGGGTCAGTCCCAAAAGAAGCCATTCCATTTAAGCTAATTTTATATTTCTGTCATTGCTAATCAGGCTCATCTCAGTCCTTAAGTCTTTCACTTTCAATTTTGGTCCCTTATTTTTATCTCAGTAGTCACCCTCTAGGAGATCTCACACCATTTCTTCTTCCTTTTGGAGGATTTTTCCCCTTTAATTTTTCGCTTTTGGCCTTTTCCTTCTTCCTTCTCTCTATTGCACCTGTTCCTCTCTTTTTTTCCTTTCCCTCTTCTGTCCCTGTGCTCTTTTCTCCCTCTAACATCTCTTCACTTTTCTTATCTCTGCTTCTCTCTTCTGCTTCTCCATACCAATCAGTCTGACTTTCCTCTCTCTTGGTGGTCTGGGGGAGGGAACAAATTAGCAGCAATGGCATCTCAGGGGTGGAGAGCCCTGGACCAAGGCCCCCCAAAGACATGCAACCCAGAGAGGATTTGAACTTGATATTAAGGAAAGACTTCTTAACAATCACAGCTGTCCAAAAGTGGAATAGGCTGTCTCAGAAAATAGTGGGCTCTCTTTGCAAGTGAAGGCTGGGTGACTACTTCATTGAGGTTACTGCAGAGAGATTTCTTGAAGTCCTTTGCAAAAATGAAATTTCTCAGCTACACCCCCCCCTCCAACTTCCAGTTAGTCTAGCAACCACCTGGGAAGTTCCACTGGCCCAGATCCCAAACCCCAGAAGTGACTGCTCTGGAAGTACCCAGGCATTCAACCTCAGAGGCACTGCCTCTGCTCTGCAGCCTATGACTCCCTTCCTACCCCAAACCCTGCTATCCATTAGAAACTTGGTCATTCTTTCCCTATCTCTCCATCTTTAATTTCTCTCCCGCAATAAAATCCCATTCTCTTCCCAGGTACTCTGTCCCCTAGACTTACAGTGTCTTCCCCAAATCCCTTCATGGTCTCTGGTATCTTTCATCCCATCTGTCTCAGGCATTGTTTTCTTTTGATATATTCAGATCCCACCTCTCCTGCCTCCCAATTCCTGCTTCTGTCAACCAAGATTATGGTACTCCTAACCTGGTCTTTACCCTATATTGCTTCCAATCCTCAATCCACCTTCCAGACTGCCTTCTTGAGCTTTGTTTTTTTGCTCAGAATAGTATGGGGGTGGAAAGGTTGAAGGGAAGTGCTGTCACCTTGCCCCCTGGCTCTGATAGTCGAGTCAGGCAGGAAAGAAGACGCTGAGGCTGGGACTGGCCAAGAGGCTGACTTCGTCCTTCCTATCATAGCCAGGAAAAAATGATCCACACACATCCACACCCAGACACCACGGCACACACACGGGGACACCCACGAGAAGGCTGGTACAAGCACATGTCCTAGAACACGGGAAGCTGGGTACAAGACTACAGCCACGTCCTTGGAGGTACCCGTGAATGTTCTGACCGGAACCCGTGGACAAACACGTTTGTACGTGTGGATTTGACCATATGGTCATATGGGGTAGCCGCATGTGTAGCAGAAACATGAACATGTGAATACACGCAGTGCACCGACTGACATAAGCATATGTTAAGTCCTATGTGATATTTACATGGAGTAAGAGAAAACAGCATTGGCATGGAGGCTTGTTCCCCACCCCACCCCAATCTGTCATGAGAAAAGATCCCCATTCTGTGTTCCCACTACTGCCTCTGTGCCTATGGAAACCTCAGAGCATCACCTAGAACCAGCCTTGAGCAACTGGTAAAATGGTGCCAGAGAAACCCCACAAGGTCTGGAGAGACAGGTTCTGACCTGGGCTGTGTAAGCAGCCTTCTCACGTACCAGCTTTCCTAAGCTCTGGATGTTCTGCTCCCTAGCCCTTGACTGTCACAACTTTCCCCACAATTCCTATGTCAGGACTTGGAGTTAGAAGACCTGAGTTCAAATCCTGCATCAGACACTTATTAGCTGTATGACCCTGGGCAAGTCATTTAACCTCTCTGTCGCAGTTTCCTACCTGTAAAATGGGGACAATAGCACCTATATCTCAGGGTTGTGAGAATGATATGAGTCAACATCTGTAAATAATTTGCAAACCTTATAGTATATATGCATATGTATGTATGTATGTATTTACACTAGCTATTATTGTTTTCCTTGGGTACCTAGGCACTGTGTCCCCCAAGCTCATTGCTGTCCATTCTTTCCTTCCATAATTCAGGCTACCCTAATCTGCACCTAAGTTTCTGGCTCCATCCCTAAGCCTTCATGACCTAGTCATTCTCCCCCTGTCATTCCTTAGTCCCAACTTCTTTTCCAGGTGCTACATATCCTGGCTTTTGTCCCAGGACTTGCTCAATGCATATATGCCAGCTGCCATTTCTCTGGGGCATCTAAAATGAGGAGGGAAAGTAGATAAAGTAGTGTGGGTTTCAGGATAAGAAGTGGAAAGGACAAGCGAAGGGGGAAGACAGCTTGGAAAAAAATGAGAGTCAAAAATGGGAGGAGAGGGGACAGGGGAAAGAGAAGAGGGATCACGAGGTGGAAAGATGAAAATATAAAGAGATATGGAAATGGAATTGTAGGTCAAGGGGAGAGAGAGAGAGAGAGAGAGAGAGAGAGAGAGAGAGAGAGAGAGAGAGAGAGAGAGAGAGAGAGAGATTGAGAGAGTGTTTAGGGGGGTAGTCAGCCAAATGGAGAAAATCTTGAACAGGTATAGAATGATTAGTAAGAAGAAAGATGAAAGAGAGGGACATATTTGGGCTAAGAAGGCTGGGTGGGGAGAGGTTAGGGTGAAAGGGAAAGAGGGGGGTAACAAGGAAGGAAAGAATGTAAAGAAGAGAAAGACAGGGTAAAGGTGGAATGTGATGTGATGAGAACCTCCAGTTGGAAGGAAAGAAATTATAGGATGATAAAGATGCCAAAAAGAGAAAGGAGTAGAGGAGGGGAAGTGAGAAACTGGGATTGAGAAAAGGAGAGGAATAGTGAATGTTTGTTTAATTGAATTGAATGACAGTGGGAAGAGTAAGAGCAAAGGATAGCATGAATATATAAGTATGGGGGATAGATTTGGGGCCAGGAAAGATTGAGGAGAAGAGGAGGACTCGTGGAAGACTTCAATGTGGGGGTGAAAGATAAGGGGTTCACCAGAGGAGAGGGGAGACAAAAGAGAAGAGGCTAGGGAGGGGCTAGCTGAGGGAGGGGATGAGGAGAAAGCGGGAGGGAAGACCTGCCCTATCTCCTCTCCCCTCCCTGACCTAATGTTATTCATCCTCTTCTCCTCCCCCTGCTTGCTGCCAGGCTCCCTCCTTCTTTCTGTCGCTGCCGAGACAGACGGACGCAGCTTAGGGAGCCTCTGCTCCAAGGGAAGAGTGACGTGTCTACAGAGGCACCCCAAACTCCTGCTGCTCTTCCCTCAGCCTCCTTCAGGACGGAGAGCAGGGCAGGTGCAAAGGCTCAAGAAACCAGCCTCAAGCCACCCTCCCTGCTCCCCCAGGTAAGGGAGGGACCTCACTGCTTAGAGGTGCTACTGGGGGAGGAAAAAGAAAGGGGAATTGAGGTGCTCCCTTGACCATTGTACTAAGCCTAGTGATCTAAGAGAACCTCTTTGAACAAGCATTTTCAGTCAGAGGTGGAGGTAATAGGAGCAAAAATTAGCAAATAGGATACTTTGATTCTTGATAGAAGTGTGGGCTTTTGGGGGACAGGGAAAATCTAAAGGGGTGGTATTGGGTGGAAGAATGCTTGAGAACTGTGAAGGAATCAGAGGAGGGAACAGGGATCTGGGTTCGGGGAGGGAGGTGGGAGAATGGGAGGGAATTAAAGGTTGAGGGTAGAACACCTGGCTCCCTGAGGCTAGTAAGGTTGGGAGGAGCGATGAGCCAGAGGCTGGATTAGCTGCATAGCTGGATTTCTGAGCTAAGTAGCAAGAGCTGTGGGATGGATAGGGTGGATGCCTGGGTTCCAGGCAGGTAGCTGGTGGTAGCGGAGACCAGATGCCTAAGTTTGGGGAGAGATGGAAAAATTGGGTCTGTGGAACTTGGGGTGGTGTTCTGGTTTCTCATAAGGAAGCTGAGTTGGGGAACAGCCAGGAATTGGTCAGGGTTGAGGAGGCGGGGGGTGGGGGGGGAGCAGGCTGGATCCCCTGATTCTTTGGGAAGGGAGTGGAGACTCTGGGTGGAGGGAATGCCAAAATCTTGCTCTTGACCCAGAACTCTAAACTCATGACTCACGCTTCAGTGGGGTTGGGACCAAGTCTGAGTGAGATGCCCTCAGGGTGAAGGGGATCCTCGGTCTTCCTTTCATCCCCCTTCCAGGGTTCTCCTTAGCTCCTGTCTGTCTGAGGCTCTCCCTTCCTGCTCCGCTCCACTCCCTCACCAACCCAACCCTCCCCCCCCCATGGCCAGCTCCGGGTGGGGCGGGCGGGCCCCCTTATCTTGCCTGGAAAGAATTTAATGGCTAGAAAACAGCTGGAAGTGGAACTAAGAGGAACTGGGAAGCAACTCGGAAATGCTGCAGCTGCTTTGGCCAAAGTGTCCAGCACTCACCACTCCACCCCCTCCTTCCTCTCTTGGCCCCACCCCCGCTTCCCGGATCCTCCAGCCTCACCCTAGCTTCCCCAGCCCTGATTTCCCTTCATTTCCCTTCATTTCCCTTCCTTCCCCACTTCAAGTCCCACTTTCCTTGGCAAATCAAGAGCCTAGTCTAGGCAATTTTATTCCATTCTTTACTCAAATTCTACCTCAAACTCCCTCAGATTCTGCTTCCATTGAAGATCTTTCTTTTATCACCCCATTTCTCTTCTGGAAAAGGAGTCTTGATCCCCCCAGATTTCTGCTCCAGTGAACCACTTGCTTCTATCTTTAGGACTGAGGCATCTCACTCTAACTCCTGGCTTGATCCCCATAAGGCCTGCCTATTCTGGGATACAGGGGGGTTCCATGTTCTAATTCCCATGAGTCTCTTGACTTATCTTGCTTCTGCTATTGGGAACCAGGTATACCTGGTTGTCTCTCTTAGTCCTAAATGGGATTGGGAAGGGGGGGAGGGGGAGAGAGAGAGAGAGAGACAGATTTTTGATGGGGTTGGACTAGGAATGGCCCTGATTTGAGCCTCTCTCTACCCCCCCTTGGGAGCTGCTGTCCCTGATGAGCAAAGTGTCAGAATTGGCCATGAACTGTAAATACCGGGGAAGCTGAGTCACAACTTGGGCAGATGGGTTTCCTTTGCTGGGCCCCTCCAACAAAGAGAAGGAGGTAAAGAAAGGGGATGTCACTCCTCCCCAACACTTACACAGTATAAGAGGGATGCCTCAGAACTACAGAGAAAATTTACATGAGGAAGGGCCAAAATGAGTGATCCAAGAATATTTCTAACTATGGTCTACCCAAATACTGAAAGAGACAGGATTCCCCCAGTGATTTGGGATTATTCTCCATCTCTGGTAAGCCAGGGGTAGGGAGTGAGGGGGATTGCTCCCCAACCCTGAGCTTTGGCAATAGGGTCCAATAAAGTCAAGAGCAGAGGGCACTACTTTTAGTCCCACTTAACAATCTTGCCTCTCCTTTCCAGTGGTTGACACTTTATCAAGAGCATCAGCTGTGGTAGAAAGCATATGCCAAGTCCCAAAGACCTCCTTGGATGTGGATGAGAGACAGTGGGCACCAGACTAGGTCGAGGAAGAAATTATTTTCTTGATCTTGGGGTAGGGTATATGGAGAAAGGAACAAAAAAGGTTGTCAAGTTAAGGGGTTGAAAACTAAGACAAAAATGTTGGTGCAATCTTGGGTGGTACTGAGAGTCATAGTTTCTAGGAATAAGTATAAGTCCCACTATACTCTGCCCTGGTGAGTCCCCATCTGTGGTCCTGTGTTCAGTTCTGGGAAAGATCTAGGCTAAATCTTCTCAGTTCCTTCAACATATCCTCATGTGACAGAAACTCAAGGTCTTTCATCATTTGGGCTGCTTTCCTCTGGACCTTGAGTTCATATGATAAGGATTAGTTGAAAGAATAGGGGATGTTTAACCTGGGAAAGAGAAGACATAGGGGAGACATGATATCTGGTTTCAAGTATTTGAAGTATTCGAGTATCTGACAGCATCTTTGGCTGTCATTGCCAACAGCTCTATTTAAGTTCTATGATTCTGTACGTCTGAATCCACCTCCCATTATAGGCCTGGCAGGAAGGGGTCCAGAGACCCAGGGACTAGTTTTTGCCAAAATAATCTCCTTTATTGCTTAGCACCATATTACACTGTTGTAGCTGTTTGACCATGTTTTTTGAATTGATAAAAGAGACATTTTTGAAGTCTCGATTTTCTCTCTCGGGTACCTCTCTTTATTTCATTTATTTATTTATTTATTTTGCCTAGGCAATGGGGTTAAGTGACTTGCCCAGTTAGTAAATGTTATGTGTCTGAGGCCAGATTTGAACTCAGGTCCATCCTCAATCCAGGGCCGGTGCTCTATCCACTGCACCACCTAGCTGTCCCAGGGGTACCTCTCTTTAGAGAGAGAGATGAGGAGCCCTTCTCTGCCTTCTTGTTTCTGCTGTCAGTCTCACCAAGGGAGACTTTGTGGGCAGGCCTGTGTACCACACTCACTTTCTCTTAAGGAATTAATGTTAGAAAGTGTAAATGGTCCTTTGCTGTTGCTTACAGGCTGCCCCAGACCTTCCCTCCCTTACTGCTCTAGTCCCCTTATTCCTTCAACTGCATGTACCTGAGGTCACAAGATACCCTAGTCTTTATCTCTGTATGACCTTTCTCTGTCCTTCCCCAACCCTTCTCTAGTTCAACCTAGAGAAAGTCTTCCTTTTTCTTCCTCTGTCTCCCACCTACCTTGGATTCTGCCTTCACTCTTTAGGTCTTTATTCCCCATAAACTATTCTTGTTTTCAGCTATAGTACTACCCAGCTCCTTAGCAAGCTCCCTCCTCTTCTCCTATCCTTTCCTTAGTTCTTAGTCCTAAATCTTAGCCATATTATTCCTCTTCCTTGGCCCTACAGCTTCTTTCTACCCTTTACTCAAGCCCTATCTTGTTCCTGGTCACCAATATTGGTCCTATATTTATTCAGCTCCTTGACTCATTATGTCAATACTCTTCGTTTCTGGTCTTATTCATTTCTATTCAGTCCTCTAGCCCTGGCCTGATTTCATTTTTAACCCTAGCTCTAACCTACTTTATAGCTTTAGCTCTGGCCCCTAGCTTCTTATTTGTTCTTGTCCCAAGCTATGCCCCAATCCCAAACCTGATCTTGTCCTCTCCTCCCCATCTCCAGTTAATAGTTCTGCTTCTCTTCTTAAATTTGTTTTGCCCTGTCCTTGGTCCTAACCAAGATGCTGGGCTCTAGAATAATCTTGGCTCTGTTTTTAAGCCTTGACATTTTCCCTGCCCTTACCTAGTCATTCGCCCTATCTCTTTAATAACCCCAGTTTTTGTATCTATTTATAACTACTTCCTTATCTTTAACCTTGGACCTCACCCTTGGTCCTGGCCCTAACTCTACATTAGTGCCTACCCTAGGCCGTGATCCTAAGTGGTCCCTAGCCTTTCCCTTGTCCTAGCCCTAACCATAACTCTCCATAGAGCACTGGCTCTGGCCCTGGAAAGAAAGGAAGGGAATAGTCATTTATTAAGTGCCTACTATGTGCCAGGCACTATGCTAAGCACTAATCCTATTCCTTCCCCCATCCCTAGCTAACTGTTTTTCTCTCTGCCTAATCCTAACCCTGGCTATGTCCCTAATGCTGATGTTGAGTTCTGTTCCTAATTTTGATCCTGGTTGTCATTTGCCTGGCACTTGGTATAGCCTTTGTACTGGCTAAATTTTATTCATATGGCTCAGGTGTTTGGTTTATGTGTTTGTTTCTGATGGGGAACAGTAGTAGTAATGTCCAGTTTGAGTTGGGTCTATATTGGTTCTTTTGTGAAGCCACCCTAACAACTTGCCTTCTTTCCCCATAGGCCCCTGAATGATATCTACCAGAGACTCCTTGGTCCCCAGCCTTGTCCTCTTGGTGCTGCTGGGGGTAGCAAGGGCTGGGCCCTTCCCTCCACGTTCCAATGGGACAGCCTCACGACTCCCACCCCGTCCAGGCGGGCGGACAGCAGGTCCTGGAGGTGGAGGATCATCCCCTAAGCTCTATGAACATACAGTGGAAGGAGGTGAAAAGCAGGTGGTATTCACACACAGAATCAACCTGCCTTCTTCAGCCAACTGTGGCTGCCCCCCAGGTGCTGAACCTCCTGCCCCAGCCTCTGAGGTGCAGGCCTTGAGAGTGAAGCTTGAAGCCCTAGAAGAGCTGGTGAAGGGTCTTAAAGAGCAATGCCACGGGGGGTGCTGCCCTGCTGCTGCCCAGGCCGTAACAGGTGAGTGGTCTCAGTGGGTGTCAAGTGAGGAGGACAGGGCATGCTAGTGAGAGGAGGGGCATTTGAAGAGTAGACAGGAGAAAAAACTGGCCATATAGGAGGAATCTCAGAGGAGCCAATGCAATCTGGAGAAGAAAGACTCATGTACCGATTTTCTTCTGTGACTTCTTATCTTTACAGGGCAGACAGATGTGCGGAGCCTATGTAGCCGGCATGGTGTGTTTGACCTGGGCCGCTGTGCCTGTTCTTGTGAGCCAGGCTGGACTGGTCCCACCTGCTCAGATCCCACAATCCATTCAACCACCTCCTCTTGCCCTGATGATTGCAACGACCAAGGTCGCTGTGTGGAGGGCCGTTGTGTCTGCTTCTCAGGCTATACTGGACCATCTTGCAGTTTGCCGGCCTGCCCAGGAGACTGCCGGGGCCGAGGCCGATGTGTCCAGGGTGTATGCATGTGCAGGGCTGGCTTCACTGGTGAAAACTGTGGGACCCGGACCTGCCCCAAGGGTTGTAGCCAAAGGGGCCAATGTGAGGATGGGAAGTGTATGTGTGATCCTGGGTACAGTGGAGAGGACTGTGGGATGAGAAGCTGCCCCCAGGACTGCAACCAAAGAGGCAGGTGTGAGGATGGAAAGTGTGTGTGTGACCCAGGGTACAGTGGAGAAGACTGTGGAGCGAAGAGTTGCCCCCGAGGCTGCAACCAGAGGGGCAAATGTGAGAATGGGAGATGTGTGTGTGATCCGGGATACAGTGGAGAAGACTGTGGAGATCGGAGCTGCCCCTGGGATTGTGGCGATGGAGGGCGCTGTGTGGGCGGGCGCTGTGTATGCTGGCCAGGGTACGCTGGAGAGGACTGTAGTACCCGGACTTGCCCTCGTGACTGCCATGGCCGAGGTTATTGTGAGGATGGGGAATGCATTTGTGAACCTGGGTACAGTGGAGATGACTGTGGGGTACGGAGCTGTCCCCAGAACTGCAACCAACGTGGGCACTGTGAAGACGGGCGCTGTGTGTGCTGGCCCGGCTACACCGGGGATGACTGTGGGAGCCGAGCCTGCCCTCGGGACTGCCGAGGCCGAGGTCGCTGTGAGAATGGGGCATGTGTCTGCAATGCTGGATACAGTGGTGTAGACTGTGGGGTTCGGAGCTGCCCAGGGGACTGCCTAGGCCGAGGACGTTGCGAGAATGGCCGTTGCATGTGCTGGTCTGGCTACACAGGCAAGGACTGTGGAACCCGAGCCTGCCCAGGGGACTGTCGAGGCAGGGGCAGGTGCCAGGATGGGCACTGTGTCTGTGAACCTGGCTACACGGGTGACGACTGCGGGATCCGTCGGTGCCCAGGTGACTGCAGAGGCCGAGGGCGGTGTGAGGACGGCGTGTGTGTATGTGACAGGGCTTATACTGGAGAAGACTGTGGGCAGAGGAGCTGCCCTGGAGACTGCCGCGGCCGGGGTCAGTGCCAGGATGGGTTCTGTGTGTGTGACGCTGGCTACACGGGAGAGGACTGTGGGATAAGAAGCTGTCCCCGGGACTGCAGCCACCAAGGTGTCTGCCATGATGGGGTGTGTGACTGTTGGGAGGGCTACACAGGAGAAGACTGCAGCCTGCGGACCTGCCCGGGGAACTGCAACCGTCGGGGCCGATGTGAAAATGGCCACTGCGTGTGCACCGCTGGCTACACGGGCCCCTCCTGCGGTACCCGCACCTGCCCTGGGGACTGCCGGGGCAGAGGCCGGTGCGTGCAGGGAGTCTGTGTGTGTCAGGAAGGCTACAGCGGAGAGGACTGTGGCCGCGAGGAGCCGGTGGCCGGAAGCTGCCCCGGGGGCTGCGGACCACGGGAGCTCTGCCGAGCTGGCCAATGTGTGTGCGTCGAGGGTTTCGAAGGTCCTGACTGTGCCACGAGGACTTGTCCCGGGGCCTGCCGGGGTCGTGGGTTGTGCCAGGAGGGGAGCTGCGTATGCCAAGACGGCTATGCCGGAGAGGACTGTGGGGAGGGTGAGTCCAGGGGCCCCAAACGCTAGGGGCTAGAGGGGGGAGGGGAGGAGGAGGGCGTGTCTGGGTCCTCAGAGAAGAAAAGGGAGTTGATGGGGGAAGCCAGGGCTGTAGAACACTGCTTGGGAGGACCTAGGGAGGAATCACATCCCCAAATGCCAAAAGCCTCTTAAGAGCCTGCATATTGGAGGGAAGAAAGACAGGAGAGGGTGAGATAAAAGGAGCCAACAGAGAAAGTAGGAAGCCAGGGCAACAGAAGGGGCTGAAAATCTGGAGCTGGCAGATTCTGCTCTCCTGGGAGCCTACCTCATAGAATCTATTCTCCTTTTTCTCCTTCTCATCCTACAATCAATATTGTTATTGCTATTATAGCTGATGTTTACATATCACTTAACAGTGTGCAACATACTTTACATACATTATCTCACTGGATCCTCACAATAACCCTGTGATGTACCACAGGTATTCTTATCCCCATTTTAAAGATGAAAAAACTGAGACTCAGACAGGCTGAGCAACTTGCTTAAAGCCACCTTGCTCTTAAGTGTCAGAAATGATATTCAATCCTAGGTCTTTCCTGACTCCACGCTCAGCTGGACAGCAAAGTGGATAGAGAACCTTGGATCTGGAGTCAGGAAGACCTGAATTCTGCCTCAGACCTACCTCAGACAATTATCTGTGTGATCCCGCGCAAGTCATTTAACCTCATCCTGCCTCGGTTTCCTTATCTGTAAAATAGGGATGATAATAATATCTCCTACTTCCCAGAGTTGTTGTAAGGATAAAATGAGATATCTGTAAAGTGCTTTAAAAACCTTAAAGTATTATATAAATGCTAGCTGTTCTTATTGCTGTTCTCGCTGCCCTAATGCTTCAAAATCATTTGAAGTCACGTCAGAGGAGTTAAGGAGATGGCATAGGGTCCCAGAACTGTGAAGTGCTTCAGTCTGAGTGGGACCCTAGTTCCTAGGCAGAGCCTTAGCAAGGATCTCGTCCTCACTCAATCACTTCCATCCAACTAGGAGGGAAGGGTAAGAACACTCACATCCATGGAGAAAAGTAGGAGCTGGGCTTGGGACAACTGAAGATTAGAGAATAGGTCCCTCAGGTCCTACTCTAACTTGAGCCACTTATCCTATCCTTGCCCTAGAAGCAAGGACAGGCATTTTTTCTCCTTAGCTTCAGGGTCTAACACTATCCCCGCCCCTTTTTGTCCTGCTCATGGATTCCATAAGGATGGGTAGAGTTCTAAGGAGAAGGGACATAGGGGGAATAATGGTTAATTCTCTCCTATTCTTCCAAGCAGAGATACCTCCGATAGCCGGGATGAGGATGCATTTGTTGGAAGAAACAACTGTACGGACTGAGTGGACTAGGGCCTCAGGACCTGTGGATGCCTATGAAATTCGATTCACCCCTACAGTAAGAAACATAAAGCGCGTGGGTTTGGGATGGATGGGAGAGGGAGGGAAGCCACATTTAGAGAAGATATCAGCTCTTCTAAAGCATTACCATTATTTGGTCCCAAGCCCTTATTCTTTTCCACCTGGATTTTATTTCTGGTAGTTAGAGAATCCTAGAGTTTAGGTTTGGAAAGGTTCTTGGTAATCATCTCCCTGCAACAGAATCCTGACAATAATTTATTATCTGGTTGAATACCCCTAGTAACGGGGAACTCAGTAACCTCTTGAGGCTACTCATTCCATTGTTGGGAAGCCTCAATTATTAGAACAGGAAAGGGAAGGAAATAAGCATGTATATAGGACTTACTTTGTGCCACTATTTAATTATGTCATTTGATCCTTACAACAACCCTGGGAGGCAGGTGGTGTTATTATCCCCATTTTACAATTGAGGAAACTGAGGCAGAGGTTAAATGGCTTGCCAGGGGGTCACACAACTCATATCTGAGATTCAGTTTGAACTTCGGTCTTCCTGACTCCCAGTCCAGTGCTTTTATCCTCTGCTCCAGGATGTTCTTTCATCTTTCACCTGGGATAAAATTTTTGTCTTTTTAACTCTACCCATTGGTCATAACTGTGCCTCTGTTCCATCTTACAACTTGGTTCTGTCATCTCTAGTACTGGCTATTCCGTCAAGCTTTGTGTGTTTAGATAAAGCTTGCCATCTGTTTTTGCCCAAGACATTGACAAAAAAGCTGAAGGTGACAGATCCTTGAAACATTCCACTAGAGGTGGTCCTTCCGGGCTGACATTCCTTGGGTATGGCTGTTCTACCAGCTATGGATACTCCATATTTCAATCACCAGACCTGTACGTTACTATCTTATTCACAAGGATATCACGGGTGACTTTAGCAGGTGTTTTCCTGATGTGTAGGTGAATCATGTCAATGTCATCAAATTCTTTTTGAGTATCTACTATATGTAAAGCACTGTGCTATATCCTGGGAGTGTAAGGGGAGCTGAATGTGATCCTACCCCTGAGGAGCTTATATCTCTAGATAAAGAAGTAGGTATACAAGAAAAAATAAATAACAATACAAGTTGAATATCAGTGAATGATTCTGTAGTACATGAGAAATGCTACAGAAATTCAGAGGAGACAGACCTCTGTTTCCTTCTTTGTAAGGTGCCAGCTCTGAAATTCTACATGTTCCAGGGTGTGACCATTGAGGGCTGAGGCAGCTGGGCTCACGGACAAGGCAGCACTTGAATAGGGCCTTGAAAGTAGGACACCATACTCTACAGTTGTGGGATTAATAGTAATAGCTAATCTTTACATGGCACTTTACATATGTTGTTTTTTTAATCCTCAAACAGCCCCATGAGACAGATGTTATCTCTGCTTTGCAGATGGGGAAACCTCAGAGATGTTAAGTAACTTTCCCAGGGTCACACAATTAAAAAGTGTCTGAGGTAGGACTCAAACCCAAGTCTTCCTGACTTTACAGTTCAGTGTTTTACCCATTCTGCCATGCTGCCTCTTTACCCACTACTTCTTGGGACTGTCAGGGTGACAGACATTCTTGGAGGATGTCCTTAAGAATCAGGGCAGAGTGCCATGGAACAGGAAACTGAACTGATTCTTTTCCTCCCACCAGCCACTTTTCTCTTCCTAATTTTTTTTAAAAATTGGAACCAAAATCCCCAACTCTGCTTACCAGTAAATATCATGCCAAAATTTGCTAGATTCCTCATCCTACCTTCTGTAGTTAAGTGGAGTTGAGATTTAAGCCAACAGGAAAAGCAGGGATGACTTTGGGTAGTAGGATAAAGGTGCTCCCTACCTTGACCATGTGCTGGCCCTCTCTTTCCTACAGACAGAGGGATTAGGCCACCCTTTCTCTGCTCGGGTCCCCAGCTCGGCTTTAGCCTATGACCAGAGGGGGCTGTCCCCAGGCCAGGAGTACGAGGTCACCGTCCGTGCCCTACGAGGTTCTAACTGGGGACCTCCTACCTCCCAGACCATCACCACCAGTGAGAGCTGGGGGATTGGGGTGGGGGAGATGGAGCTGAAATGGGGAGGGCACAACTGGGGAGCATGCCATCCAAGAAGGAAGTGGGAATGATGGAGTGGAGGGAAGGAGCAGAATGACTGAATTCTTGAAAGTTGGGGGCTGAGGGAACTTAGAGTCTTTCTGCTTCCAAATACCTGACCCTCCTTCCTCCATTCTCTTCTGGGGCCCTCTAGTGATCGATGGCCCCCAGGATCTTCGGGTCACAGCTGTGACTCCCACTACTATGGAGCTAAGCTGGCTACGTCCACAAGCTGAAGTGGACCGCTTTGTGGTGTCCTATGTCAGTGCTGGCAACCAGCGGGTACGGCTGGATGTGGCACCCGAGGAAGACAGAACCCTGCTGACTGGGCTAATGCCTGGTGTGGAGTATGTGGTGACCGTCACTGCTGAGAGGGGCCGAGCTGTCAGCTACCCAGCCTCTGTCAGGGCCAATACAGGTACCATCTGGCCAAGTGAATGTGAGAGGGTCAAGGGAGAGAGGGAATCACATTTAGGTCATAGAATCATAACTTTAGAGACCATAAGTCCAGTTAGATTTTATAGATGAAGAAACTATGGCCCAGAAAAGGAATAATTTTCCCAGGGGACACACAATGAGTAAACATCTGAGGAAGGATTTGAACCTGACTCCAAGTCTAGCACGGCTAAGCCACATTGCCTTTCATGTGCTTTTTCACTGCCTAATTTCTTTCAGACCCCATTAAACAATCAATCATCATGCATTTATTAAGTACTTATTATGTGCCAGGCCCTGTGCTGAGCACTGGAGCTACAAATTCATCTATGAAATAGCTCCTGCTCTCAAAAAGCTTATATTCTATCTATGAATCAATCACTGGCTCATTTGTATAGCAAGATAAGAGGGAAAGCAGAGGCAACAAGAGGGATATTAATTAGACTTCAGGAAAAATTGACTACTGGTGAAGTCTCTAGGGAGGTGCGGGAGCAGAAGTATAGGTCTCACCTTCTCTGGGTAGCCTGGTTTAGGTGTAGTCCTTTTGAGAGGCAGGGAAAGGTCCAGCAAAACCCTAGGTTTTGTACGAGATGGATTTGTCACAGAGGTTAGAATTTGGATTGGGTAGGGGCTGAAATCAGGTCAGTCAGGGTTAGAAGTCAGTGATTGGTTAGTTTTAAGAGAGGGGAGACCTCTGACCCCACCCCGGTTAGGAAGCAAATTGGTGGGGGAGGTGATATGGGCAGGGGTGGGGACATGGTGTCTCTTAACAGATCCCTGGATCTTCTTTCTTTTTCTTCCCCTTTGGCAGGTGGGAAGCCCGCCTCATTGTGGCTCTCAATTTCTTCTTCCTTTGGAATCTCTTCCTAATCTGTTTTCACCCCCTCTCCCTCCTCCAGACTCAAGGATCTATCCACTGACTTCTTTTCTTTCTAGGGGTCATCAGATTATGGGGTGGGGGTGGGAGGTGGGGGGGGTGTGAAATGAAAAGGACTCTGGGAACAATAACATTTCTTTCTTTCCTTTATCATTCCAGGTGGGGCACGGGCTGAGGGAGGACAGGCCTCTCAACCCTAATGGCAAGGGTTGAGAAGGGAGGGACTTGAGAGTTTATTGGTTGGGAGACCTGGGGGGTGGGGGCAACCCACTGATTCATTCTTTCCCCCCTCCTTTTTTGCCCCCTGGCAGCACCAGCCCACCACAATTACCGAGACACCCGTCCCCCAGCCCCACCCCCTCGATCCCCACCCCGACCCCAACCCCGACCAGGTTCCCGACCAGGTTCCCGACTGGACCCCCGGCCACCTCGGCCTGTGGAAGAGGAAGATCCAAAGCCCAGGGAGGTGCCCTTGGGGCTACCCCCACCACGGTTCTTGCGGAACCTCACATCAAAGCTAGGTCCTTCTTGGGGTTCCGTGCAGGATGTGGAGCGATACCTGCGGGCCTCTGGCTACCCCCTCCGTGGCAACCAGACCTACACCTCAGTGGCCCGCTCCATCTATACCTATCTGCAACGCCGGGCAACGGGGCTCCCTGCTCCCCCATCATCACTGTCCCACAAGCCCCGGCCCAATGCCAATCTGGACCCAGATACCAGGAAACCGAACTCTGCCAGAGTCATCCATGGCCATAACCCTGAAGGTGTGGACCAGGTGGAAGGGAGGCACTACCCCCTCCTCCCCTCATTACATCCTGGCCCTTCCCCTCGCCACCCCAAACCTGAAGTGCTGGGCAGCTCAGCTGACGGGGCCTTGCTGGTCTCCCTGGATGGTCTCCGTGGCCAGTTTGAGCAGGTGGTGCTGCGATGGCAGCCCCTCTCTCCTATGGAAGGGCCCAGTGGGGAACTCGCAGTACCAGGGGCAACGCGCACGGCCCGCTTGCCTGGCCTGAGGCCTGGTACTACCTACCATGTGGAGGTCCATGGGGTCCAGGATGGGCAGGCCTCCAAGTCCTACGCCTTCATCACCACTACAGGTAGTGTGTGTTGTCTGCCTTGGGGACCTCCCCCTCCATCCACATATCTTGCCTTTTCAACCCAGAAGTTGCTTACCCAGCAGTGCAGATCTTTCTCCTCTAACTGTAAAATGCCTACACACCCGTGAAATGTGCATTGGCCGTGCCCAAGTTTACCAGTTGCCCCTCAAATCACTCCCTACTCCCTTCTCCTTCTTTCTGTATCACACCAGGTTCAGCGATACCAGAATCTCCTTACAACAAACATACCCTCCCCCCCAAACCGTCCTCCAGTAGGCAAAGGCTCCAGCAGGGCCCAGACACAGGCCTGTGGTAAAAAAACAAAAACAAAAACACAAGGTCTAGGCAATTTCACGTGGTTGAGGTGGCTGCCAGTTTTCATGCAAGTCCTGCAGCACCCTGTTCTGATTTTTAGGGGAGTGTGGCCAGCAGACTTTGAGAACAGGGACGATGGTGTGCAGACACCCTGGGAAGGATGAGCCAAGGAAGGGGGAGCCTTTCAGGTCCATCTCTGGTTGTAACTTGTCTGCAAGATTGGTCTGAACCAAAAGAGGGAAATCGAGACCACTGGAAGAGATTAGCCTTGATTGGGGTGGCATTGAAACTACTGTTTTTTCTTCATCTGCCTATCCCAGGCTGGCTGGTCTGCCCTCCTCTCACCTTTCTCTCCCACAGGCAATACCTGGGGCCTGGAGGAGGGAGCTGTGGCAGCTATGAGGAGTAGGGTGGAACTCTTCTTTCCCCACAGGGCACAGATGTCACCTAGTCCTGGATGGAACATTTCCCACCAACCCCTTCTTGCTCTCCTTCTCTCCTGCATCCTCCGCTAACACCACCATCTCCTCCTTTCTTCCAGGCTTCTCACTGCAGCACTAATGGAGGCCAGGATCCCCCCTACGCACAGTTGGGAGGGGTCTGAGGGGATATGGGGGTCTTTGAAGGGCCAGATTCCACGGGGTACCTGGGGGTGAGGTGGATAAGGCTGATTTCTGGGTCCTCTGGGAAGATAGGAGGGACATTTTGGGGGGGAATGAAGGTTGCACAAGAGCCTCTTAGGAGAATGGGGGATACCATTTATTCTACAAGTATGTATTCAGCACCTACTATGCACTTGGTGGTATTCTCACCTCTTGGGACTCTGAAGGACCTGGACATCTTGTGGGAACAAAGGGGAAGTAGGGGAATCTGGGTTATAATTAAGGAAACCAGGGAACAGGCACAAGTCTCTGGGTAAATAAGGGTCTTTTCAGAGGAGGGCAACTTAGATGAGGCATGATGCTCAGGAAAATGGAGGCCAAAGGACTCAGGTTCATTTTCTAGTATTTACTCTTATCATCTCTTTATCTTTCTCTCTTTCTCTCCCCTCCTCTTCATTAATCCTCCCTAGGCCCCTTTGGTGCCACAGATGAGACTCCTGTTTTAGGGCTGACCCCACCGCCAACAACCCAGGGGGCTCAGGCGCCTATCCTGCAGCGCCCAGGTGAGTTGGTAGAGTTCAAGGTGATAGGCACCGATGGAGCAGGTGAGCTCGCTGTGTCCTGGAGAGCCCAGCCTAACACCTTTGCCCAATCCTTGCTTCATCTGCTGGTGCCTGAATGGCCCAGGCCCCACAAGAAACAGCTGCTTGGGAAAGGTTCAGCAGGGCCAATTGCCAGTTCCACTCCCCACCGTGGGGTCCTCCCTGAAGGGTAGCCCACTGCTCCCCTCATTCACCAAGGCATTCTAGGTACAAGTTGCCCAGAGAGCCAAGAAGTGGGACTGCCCCTCAGACAGAGCCTCAGAGGAGGGGTGGAAATCTCAGCACAGTGGGGAATGATGGACAAGGGAGTAAAGAGACAGAAAGAAGGGGGCACAGTAGGGCTGATGTCAGGAGAAAGAAATGAGAGAGTCAGAGATGGTACATGAAAAGTGAGAGCTGGGTGATGGTCTAAAGGACAAAAAGGAAGAAGATGGTAATTGGGTATACAGGAAAGAGCCCTGGTTGAACTCAGAGGATCTGAGTTCAAATTCTGATTCTCTTACATCCTTGAGCAAGTTACTCAATCTCTTCAGACCTCAGCTCCCTTATCTATAAAATGATGGTTTGGACTAAGAGATCTTTTTTTTTTTAAACATATTTTCACATTAGTCATGTTGTAAGGAAGAATTAGAACCAATAGAAGGAACGACAAGAAAGAGGAAACAAAACAAAACAAAAGGGAAAAAAAGAACATATAGCATGCCTCGATCTGCATTCAAACTCCATAGTTCTTTCTTTGGATGTGGATAGCATTTTCCATCATGCGACTTTGTTAGAAATTAGCTGAGAAGGGTAGTCACCATAAATCGTGGCTGTTACTGTGTACAACGTTCTCTGGACTAGAAAATCTTAGAGATTCATTCGAGTTCTAAATCCTCTGACTGAAGGATTGGAGAGACTGAAAAATAATGAGAGAGAGAATACACAGACAGAAGGGAGAGGGAGAGCAGAACTGAAGGACAGAAGACAGGAAGGACTGGGTGGTTCTTCCACACAGGATAGAGAAGAAAAGAGTATAAGAGAGATGTACCAGGGAAGCTGAGTGACAGAGGTCAGAGAGGAGAAAAGGAACTGAAAGGCAGAGAATGGGAAAGAGCAAGATGAAGGTGAATAGAGAGGGGGAAAAGAAAACAAGTACTAGGGAAACAGGAAAGGAAAACTGAGTGACAGAGGCTGATGAATTGAGGCCTTGAGAGAAGAAGGGGGTAGAAATTTGGAGATTCGTGACTCTAGGTTGGAGGCCTCATACTTTTAAGTTCCTTCCCCTATTTCCTTTCCTATACTCTCCACCTGGTCTGATCCTGCCCCCAAGAAACTCTTGCAAGGAGTGGGAGAGGAGAGGCCTCTGTGGGGCTCAAGCCCCAGTGATGCCCTCCACTTCACTCCCTCCAACCGTTCCCCACATTCCCCACTACCCCTACACTAAGGCTTCCAGCACTGGGCGGGCTTCAGGCAGTGGAACTAGCTCCGAGAGAGCTGGGCCTGCAGTGGACAGCACCGCGAGGTCATTTCAACGAGTTCCTGCTGAGGGTGGAACCCTTTCATGGGTGGGGAGGGATGCCCCAGGAGGTGGCGGTGCCAGGGGACCTGCGGGTAGCCAGGCTGTCAGGGCTTCGGCCCCACACCCCCTACACAGTCATCCTCTATGGGGTGTGGGGTGGCCTGCTCTCCCCACCCCTCCGGACCAACCTCACTACAGGTACCCTTTGGGGGAATGGGTAAGGAAAAGAATAAAAACGGAGGGACTTTAAACCCATCAGTGATGGCAATGCCCAAAGGAAATATTGGAGAAAGATATTGAAACTAATAGAGGTAAGGGGTGGGGGATAGAAATGGAGAAGGGTATTGAAACCTTCTCAAGGAAATAAACCACCAGTGTCTCCGCTTATTACCCAATAGGAGGGATCCTGGGAGCTCCAAAGGAGGGAAAATCAATTAAAAAAAAAAAGATTCCTAGGAAGACTGAAATTAAGAAATTGGAGAAAGAAAGAAGTAGAGAATATGAGGGGTCATTGCTAGAGAAGAAGGGACCTCTTAGGTCCTAGTCAGAAGGCCTGTCCAGGCCAGGCGGGAGCTGTCCAGGAGAGAGGAGGGAGACAAGGGAGAAAAAGAAGAGAAACTCTTGTTATTGCGTATTGTAATTTATCCCCACAGCTAATGAGCCCAGGGCACTTTCTGTCCCGCCTCGACTGGGAGAGCTGCAGGCCCTAGATGTGTCCCCGAACTTCGTCAGCCTCTACTGGACTGTTCCTGAAGGCCAGTTTGACTCCTTCTTGGTCCAGTATAAAGACAAGAATGGAAAGCCCCAGGTGGTACCAGTGGAAGGTCTCCAGCATGAGGTCACCATCTCCTCTCTAGATCCTGGCCAGAAGTACAAATTCATCCTTTATGGGCTTGTGGGCAAGAAGCGCCATGGCCCCCTCACTATTGAGGCTAAGACACGTGAGTGTGAATGACTGGGCTTCTTTCTTCTGGCCACCCTCTAGCCCCAAACACCTTCCCATTCTACTTTTTTTTTTCTTGTTCCCCCCCTCTCCCAGATATCCCTTCAACTCCAGTCACTTAACATCTACAGAGCACCCATCCACTGCAATGGCATACATAGGGTCTTATGGGAGGGGCAGCTGCCTGAAAAGGGAACAGCTTGAAAACAGACAGCAGTCCAAGGGCCTTAGACCTTGAAGTTACAAGGCTCTTTCCCCATTCCCTATTCTGATAGGGCTGAGGAAATGAGAGTCTATGGGGGAAGGGGTGGGAGGAGTGCCACAAGGATACTTTCCTGTGAAGAAATGACCCCAGAAAGGAAAGGGACTAGTTGCCGTAGAAGGAAGGACAAGAAACCTATTACCTTTTTTCCTTTATTTCCTCGGTCTGGCATGTGTTTGGAGTAGGGAGAAGACTTTTTCCCTGTGACCTGTACCTTATTCCTTCTTTCTTTGTCTCCCTTTCGCAGCTTCTTTCCCTAACTCAGAAGCTCTACCTCGCCTTGGAGAGTTATGGGTAACGGATCCCACCTCTGATTCCCTTCGCCTCTCTTGGACTGTCCCTGAGGGCCAGTTTGATTCCTTCCTGGTCCAGTATAAGGACAGGGATGGGCAGATCCAGATGGTTCCTGTGGAGGGGCCTGAGCGTTCCATCACTGTCTCCCCACTGGATCCCAGCCAGAGGTACAAATTCATCTTGTATGGACTCATTGGCAAGAAGCGCCATGGTCCCCTCTCTGCTGAGGGAACTACAGGTAAGCAGAAGCAAGGATGCAATATGAAACCCCGTAGATCCTCAGTTCTCTCACTCTCCCTTTCCAACCCCATGGCCAGCATGACCATCTTGCCGAGGAATCTCTGCAAGTTTCTGACACCCTGGCCTCACTCTCCAGATTTCAGGATATCTGTTTTTCCATCTGTTGTGCTAGATGGTATCTCTGTCTTTAGCTGCCCACCTGTGAGCACAGGTCATACATAGTTGATCATAGCAGGTGGATCAGGCACCAGGCAAGTGGGACTTCCTAGAAATCTCTATATGTTCATGCAGTAACTGATTCCTCCTCAATCCTTGGAACCTCATGCTCAGTCTCACTTTTTGTCTTGCTCTGTCCCAGCCCCCAAAAGGATAGACTTCCTCAACTCCAGGCACAAAGAAAGGCCTTTGAGTCCCCTGGGGAACCCTGCCTTGGAGAACTGATGGTGACCGATATGACTTTAGCTTCCCTGAGCTTCTTCTGCACAGTCTCCCAGGGCCCCTTTAACTCCTTTGTGGTTCAGTATAAAGATAGGGATGGGAAACCCCAGACCATGCATTTTGGAAGAGACCAGAATGAAGTCACTGCCTCTGACTTAGAGCCCAACAGGAAATATAAGATGAATTTCTATAGGCTCCATGGCAAACGTTGTATAGGCCCTCTTTCTGTGGTTGCCATGCAAGGTAAGTAAGAATAGGCAAGACTTCCTCTCTCTATGGGCCTCTTACCTCCTTTGATTCCGGCTCCTTTTCCCCTACTCTGTCCTTGCTCCTTGTCCAAGCAAGCCCTAGGTCCCAGGAGATTCTTTAGTCCTAGTCTGTTTCTGTACTTTTTCTCATTTGTGCTTTCTCAGCTCAGATATCATCAAATTCTCTACCCCTTCCTGGCCTCCTCTTCTTCTTCCTTCCAATATATTCAGGCCTCCTTAACCAAGATATCCCCTTCTGAATTCTCGCTTTAATCCCTCATCTTTACTTCTCAGTAGAGAAAACTACTCACTTTCTCCATATTTGTGGGAGTTGACTCCCCCCAAATCTGCCCAAGTCATTCCTCCTTAGCTTTTCCCCATTGTATCCTCATCACTCTTCCATTTTCTTCTGTGTCCAGCTGTACTCATTGACTCCTCTATTTCTCCTGGACTTACTGATTCTCTATCCCCCTGCCACAATTAAAACCCCAATTCAGGCCCTAGTCACCTCCTCGTGTCTGGTTTCTGTTACTTTCTCTCCAGCCCTCAACTCCTCCCTCCCTTTTCCATATTCCTCTCTCTCCATCCCACCCCCTCACTCACTTTTGTTGGTTTGTCCAAAGGATCAAAGAAAGGTCATGAAATTGCATTTCCCAGAATGTTTTCCAAGATGAATTAGACCATCCCTTTTTCTTGACTTCTAGCCAGTATAGGTTGAATTTAAGGTAGTATGGATGGATTGTAGACAGAGAAGAAAAGATCTTTGGAAGGTCCTATCAGACTCTGAATTTGCTTGTTATTTTAATTCCAAGATTCTTTACTAATTCCTCAATCCCATCCTTCCCTCAGTATATTTTTCCTACTTTAGTTGGCTTATGGAGTCTTTTTGCTCCTGTCCTATATTTCCTCCCTCATCTCTTCCTGCTCTTTGTCTTTCCTTTTCTCTAGAATTACCTTTCCTCTTATTTTTTTTTAACTTTGCTTGTCTTCTCCCAAAACATCTCTTTTCCACTAACCTCTCTTCTCTTGTTCTGGCTCAGCCTCTCCGTGTCTGCCTCTTATGGAGTCTGGAGGAAGATTTTCTCCCACATACACTATAGCATCTCCACTCTTCCCATAGCTTCTCAGGGCAACAGCTCCACAAAGGCAGAAATCCTACTATATGGATTACAGGGCCAGCTTTAGCAGCAGATAGATGAATATTGGAGGGGCCAGGAAAGGTCCCCTGCCCCACATAGCTCCCACTATGAGGCCTGAAATTCTACTTTTAGCAAATCATTGTTTTACATCTTCTTTTATAATTTAAATACCTGTGTAGATAGTAGCATTTTAAGTCCTATAGAAGGAATGATTATTTTTTTCAGGCTTTTTCTCTTGACTGTAGAGAAGGAGCTTGAAAGCCGCTGGAGAATTGAGTATGAAGGCATATGATTGGTCAACTCTGCTCTAGTCCCAGTTGCTTAGAGCAGCTTAGGTTATAGTTCACTTATTTGACCTCACAGTTACCCTTCCTGACATTTCTACCATTAGATTTAGCTTCTAGGAAGTGCCCTGAATTCCTCAAGATATAGTGGAAACACCACTGGATTTGGAGTCAGAAGACCTGATTTGGAGTTTAGCTCATTTACTTGTGTCCGTGTGACTTTGAGCCAGTCGCTTGAGTTGGATAGAACCTTAGAGACATCTAGCTCACCCCCTTCATTTTACAGAAGATAAAGAAAGGTGAAGAGTCTTGTCCAAGATTACATAGGTAGTAAGTGAGAGGGCCTTCATTTTTCCCTTGGGTTTCAGGTCATCCTATATAAATGCTGCCATTTTCTCTTCACTCCCTGCTCGAGGTCTTTATGGCTCTAGACCCTTTAATACCCTAAAGTCTTATTGTTGACCCAATTCTCTTTGTCTTATTTCTATTACCTGAAGTATATTCTGTAGCTAATTATTAAGACTGGTCTTGCTTATTGTTTTAAACTAGCATATGGGCCTTAGTCTCACTAGCAGGCATGTGGACTGCTTCATGGTGGACACCATCTTTCTATCATTCCCCTCTGAAATCTGTCTGAATTGCTCTCATTAGTTCCTTTCAATGGCAATGAATTACTTTTTAGATTCTTTCTGTGTCAGAAATCAGCCTTTCTATGGATGACACTCAGTGTTGTTTTCTTAGCTCCAAACTCACTTACCAAACAGAGATGACTGGTTCTGAGCTCAGTGACTGACCAAACCTTTTTCTGGCTCTATCTACTTCTCCAGCTTTTCTTTGATGACTCATCATTCAGGTGTCCTGCCCATGGGATGGATTTTATAATTTTATAACATAATTATTTTAAAGACCTGGTTTAAAAAAATCAAAATAATTTCCACTAAAGCAGAAAAAAAGGGTCCAATAGCTCCTATCTCTATTTCAGCTCCCCAATGGGAAGAGGAGACTCAGCTGGTCACTGAGAGCCCCAGGCCTCGCCTGGGGGAGCTGACAGTGACCGATGTGACTCAGAATTCCCTGCGTCTCCTCTGGACCATCCTTGAGGGGAAGTTTGACTCTTTTGTGGTCCAGTACAAAGACAAGGATGGTCGGCCACAAGTGGTGCCTGTTGAAGTTGGCCAGAATGAAGTTACCATCTCTGACCTGCAGCCCTCCCGGAAATACAAGATGAATCTTTATGGGCTTCAAGGCAAACAAAAAGTGGGCTCCATCTCTGTGATTGCCACAACAAGTAAGTGAAAGTGGCCCAGACACATTCTTATACCCCTGGTCCCACTCTCCTCCATTCTTGTTTCCTAATCTTCACCATTTCCCTCTCTCACCACTGTGTTTTTAGTCTCCTTTGTGTCTTTAGTCCTCCGCCCTCCCAGGGTCTGGATCAAAGCAGAGAATCCCTTGTTCTTCAGGAAAAGTAAACCCCTCATTCCTAAAGCCATCTCACCCTGCCAGCTGCTCTAGGCAGAATGACTCCTCCTTCAGAGTAGACAGAGAGGAGCCTCCCTTTTCCCCAATCAGAAGTTCCTTCTCCCATCTAACCTAAATCCTGCCTAAAGCCAACTTGGTGTATTTCCTGGTGATTTAATGCATCTGGTTCTTGCATTCCTCCTTGTGATCTTGTGAGGCTTGGAAGTATTTAAGACACCCCCTGTTTTTGCCCTTTCTTTTGGGGTCAAATAATCCATGTTCTTTTAATCTCTTTAAAGACATATCCAGCCTCTATTTTTCACTGTCTTCTGGCCCTCTTCCAGGCTCTTCCTCTCTTCCAAACTGGCCTGTGCTCCTGTTTCACGTCTTCCTCTTGGCTTTCCTGTTTCTGATGGCTGCGCTTCTCTCTCTCAAGCCAACTCACCCTCCCAACCTCCCACCCCATCTTAGGAAAATTTAATTTGCTCTTCAATGGGAGACCAGTAGCGACTTTTTTTACCTTCTGTTCAGGGTGTAATCATTTTCTTTTTCTTTCCTTGTTCCAGGCCCATTACCTACACAGCCTCATCTGGGAGAGGTGACAGTAACAGATGTGACCCTAGACTCTCTGCGCCTCTCCTGGACTGTCACTGAGGGAGAGTTTGACTCGTTTGAGGTTCAGTACAAAGACAGGAATGGGCAGCCACAGGTGGTATCCACAGAGGGCATTCAGGATGAGGTTACTATATCTGGTCTAGAGCATTCCCGGAAGTACAAGTTCCTTCTCTTTGGCATCAAAGATGGCAAACACCATGGGCCCATCTCTGTTGAAGCAAAGACTGGTGAGTGGGAGAAACTGGCCCTCATCAATGCTGCTTCCCTACTGTTCCTCCCTACTTCTTTCTGTATTTGCTTTCTTTTCATTTCTGTGGTTGCTGCAACACCTGTCACCCCTTCCTTTCCTCTACTTTTTCTTCTAAGGCAATGGTTCTCAAACTTTTTGGTCTCAGGACCACTTCAGACTCTTAAAAATTATTGACGTCCTCAAAAAGCTTTTGCTTATGTAAGTTATATCTACCAATATTTATTTAATTTTATTTATTTAAAATTAAGTATGATAAAATTTTAAAATATTTATTCATTAAAAATAACAACAAACCCACTTCATGTTAACATAAATAACATTTTTATAGGATAGGCTAGAATAGTAGCATAATATAGTAATGGTATAGTATAGTATTATATAATTAGTATAGTATAGTAAATATAGTATAGTATAATTAATATAGTATAGTATAATATAATGTTTTTGTATTTGTTGTTCATTTTCCATTGTATACAACTCTTTGTGACCCCATTTGGGGTTTTTTTGGTGAAGGTACTGGAGTGATTTGCCATTTCCTTCTCCAGCTCATTTTACAGATAAGGAAAGTGAGGCAAACAGGGTTAAGTGACTTACTCAAGGTCACACAGCTAGTAAGTGTCTGAGGTCAGCTTTGAATGCAGGAAGATGAGTCTTCCCGACTCCTGGTCTGGCACTCTATCCACTGTGCCACCTAGCTGCCCATGATATAATGTAGTGTTGTATAATTAGTATAGTATAGTAAATATAGTATATTACAATAGACATAGTATAATTAATATAGTATAGTTAAGTATAGGATAATATAGTATTGTATAATACTATAGTAAATATAGTAAAAAACACTATAGTAAATAATGTATAGTATAATATAGTATAATTAATATAACAAATATATTATAATATAATATAGTATTGTATAATTAGCATAATAAAGTATAACGCAGTATTGTATAATAAGTATAGTATTATATAATTAGTATAGTAAATATAGTATAAAATAGTATAACAGTATAATATAATATAGTTTAATTGATATAGTATAGTATAATATAAAATATTTGTTGTTGTAGTTCAGTCATGTCTGACTCTTTATGACCTTTTTTGGGATTTTCTTGGCAAAGATACTGGAGTTGTTTGCAATTTCCCTCTTCAATGGATTAAGGCAAAAAGAAGTTATGTGACTTGCCCAGGGTCACATAGCTAGTAAGTGTCTGAAGTCCATTTGAACTCAGGCCTTCCTGACTTCAGGCCCAGCACTCTTATCGGCTGTGCCACCTAGCTATCTCCTATAATATAGTATGGTATTGTATAATTAGTATAGTATAGTAAATGTAGTATAGCATGGTAAAATATAGTATAGTAATATGATTAATATAATACAGTATAGTATAGAGTAGGCCAGGAGAGTATTAAACTGTGTTGTGTAGAAGAGGGTTACACTTCTCTGGCATGGGGATTGCCTCCCCCACCCCCTTCTGGAAGGTGATCACGTTATACACTCTCTTGGAGTGAGGGCAGCGCTGGGAGCTGCAGAGGAAGGCTCTGGCTCTGCTGAAGCTGGGGGTCTTTGGTAGAGCTGTCAGGGCCTCCCCTTGTTTCCCTTGCCCTCCCCCTTCCCTTCTCTCAGAGCTGTCTGTCAGTCCCATCTCTAGCTGCTCAGAGGCCAAACCTCCCACCCCCAACACACACACTTCCCCCACCCCCACACACATCTCCCTGCTTCCCTCCTCCTCCCTCCCACAGGGCTTTGGAAACTGGGAACCAAAAGAATTAGAGGGCTTACTGCCCAGGCCAGCCCAGGCCAGATGTCTCCCCTTTCCTGGGGCTCCGGCCAGTCCCTCCCCCGCCCCTGGGGGCTCTCAATCGCCAGAAAAAACTCAACAACAACAATGCCGTCAGCGCCCTCGGTATCCAGGGAGGCAGCCGGCCAGCTCTTTCCCAGGCCCCAAGACTCTCCTCGTAACAGACACCTGATCAGTTCCCCTGTTTGCCTCTTCCTTCCTGCCACCACCTTCTCCTCCCCCCAAATTAATTCTCAATGCATCCTCATCAGTAGGTGCAGCTGCACCCCTAGCTGGTCTGCACCGAGGTCTCAGGTTCCTAGGGTCCAAGTAGACAAGGAATGGAGTTATAGCCAGCTGTAAGATCAGCTCTTGTCTCCGGTATCTAGCGTCTGCTCCCTGTCAGGGCCTCCTTTGTCTTCTCTTTCAGCCCTTCTCAGTACTCTAGGCATTGGGAAGGGAAGAGCCCTGGAAAAGGAAAATGGGGAGGAAGGAAATAGATAAATACAGAGACCAAGACCCGGGGTGGAAAAGAAGGAGCTAACCACCCCACCCCCCAATCCCCTGCTGACCTGCAAGAAGCCCTGCTAAGGAACTGGGCTCTCGCAGGTGGGGTAAAGACTTGGCTGCAAGAACTTACTGAGTGGAAGAGAAGTAAGATACCAGAGGGAAGCTGGAGAGTCTCTTTGTCCAGCGAATGACTTTCAGAGTAGGTAACACCTTCATCTGTCTGCATCTGGGACGGCCTTTTTAGGCCTTTGAGGCAACTAGGTGGTGTAATGGTTAGACCTGAAGTCTAACTAGCTAACCAAACCAAGTCTAGACCTGAAGTTGGGCCTGGAGTCAGGAAGACCTGAGTTCAAATCCTGACTCAGACACTTACTAACCATGTGATTCTGAGCAAGTTACTGTGTTTGCCTTGGTTTCTTCATCTCTAAAATGGGCATAATAATAGCACCCACTTCTCAGAGTTATTTTGAGGATAAAATGAAATATTTGTAAAGCACTATGTAAATGCTAACTACTAATATTGTTATTGTTTAGAGGTAGAATGGAGGTGTGGTATACCTAGTTAGTCTATATTTTAACCCAGAACAAGAAATGAGTAGAATGGAGGTCATTTTGGAAGGAATATGGAAGTCTGCATCAGCTGTCAAAAATGATTCCTGCCTGGGTGACAGGAGCCACCATGAACTGCCTATTCTTCTTCTGGGCTGTCCTTGAGGGCCAGTCTTCCTCCTTTATGGTCCAATATGAAGACAGAGATATATAGAATAGTATAGTATAGTGTAATATGGTGTAGTATAATATTGTATCGATGCCCAACATGGATGCTTAGCCTCTATTCCCAATCTGGGACCTGGATGCAAGTATAGTTGCTATAATTTTGGCTCCTTGGCAAGGAATAGTGTGGCCCTTTCCTTTCTGCTGGTGCCACTTTTGAGTGGGAGCATAGGAGCTTCTCCCATTTCACCTTTCTGCATGATTTAGGAAAGCCTAGTGCTTTCCCCTTTCCCAGTCACTCTTTCCCTTAGGCCCTTGACTACAGAGACTTCCCCCAAAGCCTTCTGCCCTAATCCAGGCAATGTGTTGGCCTCCAGCCTCTACCTCTCCTGTTCTCTGAAGTTACCCAGCCTCCTGGAGACAACTCAGCCTCCTTTCTCTCTCATTCTCAGAGAGCCCAACAGCTTCAGGCATCGTAGGAACTCAACGCCCTCTGAAGCCTCGCTTGGGGGAGAAACTGACAGCAGTGGCTGTGGCCAGTGGTGCTGTGCACCTATCATGGACTGTCCAGCAGGGATCCTTTGACTCCTTCGTGGTCCAATACAAAGACAAAGATGGGCAGCCTCACATGGTGCCTGTGGAAGGAGACCAGAATGAAGTCGTGGTTTCTGGCCTGGAGCCGAATCGCAGATACAAGATGCTCCTCTATGGACGCTACTCTGGGAAGCAGCTGAGCCCCCTCTCAACTATTGTTATGACAGGTGACCGGGAGTCATTAAGACTGCTAGCACTTCCTACCCCCTTTCTTCTGGCACAAGAGCCTATGAACCCTCTTGTCACTCCTTGCTAGTTCCTCAATTCAGTGAATGCTGGTTTCTTTATCTTGGTCTAGCTTCAACAAACAAGAGGGGGAATAAAGATAAATAAGGCATGGTCCCTGGCTTCTTCGTGAGGCTTATAGCAAAATGAGCGATATCAGACATGCACACCAATAATCAAGCATAAAATAGGATGTGCAAAGTGCAAAAGAAGTGTATTTAATTAGGTGTTATGAGAATTTGTGGGACAGAAAGATCACTTCTGGTTGTGGGTGTCAAGGGATGGGATGTTGATGGATGAGGAAGCATTTGAACAGGATTTTGAAAAGATGAACAGAATTTCAATGAGTAGAAACAGGAAAGGGCATTTTGGACATTGAGAATGGTGTGAGCAAAGACTCAGGATGTTTTCAAAGGATAACAAATGGGCCTGTTTGGCCTGAGTGTGGGGTGAGGAGATACATGTGGCAAGGTAGTTTTGATCAAGATTCCAGAAGGCCTTGAATGCCAGGATAGGGAATTTGGGCTTGAGTTTCTCTTCTCGCACATTGAATTCTGCAACTTCACTGCTTCTATCTAGAGAAGCAATGAGGGGTTAGGAGAAAAAGCCCTTGACCAGGAGTCCAGAGGAATCTCATTAGGATTGTAGATTTAGAGTTGGAAGGGCCCTTACCTCAAGTATCTAATACAAACCTTTCCCGTCCCCTCTGCCCATTTTACCAAGGAAGAAACTGAGGGCTCGAGTTCACGCATGTAAAAAGTGACTAAGGCTAGATTTGAAGCCAGGTCCTCTGACTTCAAAGCCACCCCTCTTACTGAGTCCCAGTTCTACCACTAGCTGTGTGTCCTTAGTCAAATCACTTAATCTCCCTTGACTTAAGGGGGTTCAACTAGATTATCTCTAAAATGTCTTTTTGTCCTCTAAAGATCCCCCCAGAATATCAGGTAGCATTTTGTCTTTTAACTCTCAAATGCACTTAGCATGTCCTGTTGTGTATCTAATCTATGTCCGTCTTATATCCCTAGTAGATGATAAATTCCTGAGGGCAAGGGCCATGTCTCATCTAAACTTCCTATCTCCTCAGCCCCTAGTAGGGTGCTTGGAAAAAGTAGGCCCTAGACAAGTATTTGTTACATTGTGCTGTTATGTTACACTATAGATACCTGATAAATAAATCGCTAGAGTTTCTCCACTAAATAGTGAGTTTCTTATCTGTCATCAGCCTTCCAAGTGAGTGAAGGGAGTTGTCGTAGGGCTAGACTCAGTTTCTTTGCAAATCGTGACCAAGTTCAGAAAAGGTAGACCTATCTTTTCTGTCTAATACAATCCTCTCCTTCCTATATCTATCCTAGGACCACGAGAGGAAGAAACTCCAGTCCCCACTTCCTCCGCCACTGATGCCCCTCAGTTACCTGTTAAACCCCACCTGGGAGAGCTAATGGTGACAGATGCCACCTCAGATTCTCTGCACCTCTCTTGGACCATTCCGGAAGGCCAGTTTGAATCCTTTGTGATCCAGTACAAGAATGGAGATGGACAGCCTAAGAGTGTACATGTTGAGGGTGACAAGAATGCGGTCGTCATCTCTGGCCTGGAGCCAGATCACAAATACAAGATGAACCTCTATGGTTTCCATGATGGACAACGGGTGGGCCCTATCTCCATTATTGGTGTTACTGGTGAGTAAAAGCAAACAGATCCTGAGAGGTGGGTCTCTGAGCCAGACTAGGTCTTCATTTCTTTATCATTGACCTTATGCCTTACTTGGTTTAGCCTCTTAGGATCCAGTTTCCAGTTTTCCTCACTTACATTTGAGATCTCAAGCTCTATTGATCTCCTAGGACTCAAGTAGCTCTTTGGAGAGTTGGGGCTTTTGCTGAGCTTCCAATTCCTATATTAGGTTCAGCTGATCACCCTGGAGGTCCCTTGATATTGCCAGTTGATAAAAATGTTTGTCAGATACTGAATAAATAGGACTTATCAAAACACAACACAAAGTTTTCCTAAATCACATGCTATGACTGACTCCAGAGTTCATAGTTCTAGTGATGGGTTCGAAAAATTCCATTTTGGTAGATGTTTCTGTTTTGATCTCCATGGGAGCCAAGGAACTCCCAAAATTCCCACAGAGAGAAATAAAATTGTGAGGCACAAGGATATAATGATATCTATGTATGAGCACACAGGACTAAGAGTTCCCTATTTTCTCTTCCTTTGCCCTTGAGAGAGACTACCCCTCAGACCATTCAGTGTTCACGGAACAGAGAATCACAGAGGTGAAACTGAGTCTCCCAGTTTGCCATGTGGAAGATGCTGGGTCAAGATGAAGGCACAGTTTTCTGATGCTTGAAGTTGCCTGGCATGATGGTGTGGGGCTGTGAATAACTGAACAAATTAGAACCCATCCTGATTAGGTTCAGAACTTAGACTATGAGACAATGTGAAACATTGCTCAGAACCATTTAGAAACAGGAAATATATGCCTTCGCCCTGACCCTGCACGTAGAATTTCTCTTGTCAAATGACCTTTTTCATTTATCAGGTAATCAAGGTTTTGTGGCTACAGAGTTTATGAGGCACACTCAGAATGAAGAGGAAATTTGTTGAATTCTTCCATGGGGATTCCTTTGTCAAATCATTTACCAAAACTCCTCTCAACTGTCCTGTCTTTGCTTTCCAATGCAGGCAGAGGTGAGGGTTGGGGTGGGGGTCTGAACTGCTATCAGCTATAGATCATGGAAAGGGAATAAAAGGTGAAGGGTGTATGTGTGTGTGTGTGTGTGTGTGTGTGTGTGTGTGTGTGTGTGTGTGTGTTTGGGGCCCAGCTCTGGACCTCAGAGTATGAACAAGAAAGGTTGGGGAAGTGCTGGAAATGGGCTCAGTCTGTCTCTCTCTGGCCCACTGATCCACTAGACTTTTAGGGAGCTGATGGTCCAGTACTGGGGGCTTTCCCCTGCTTCTGCTCCTCTTTTGGTTGCTTCCACAGCCCTAATCTCCCTCACTGATCTCAGTTACCTCAGATTAGGGCTTGAGCCACATGGCAGCTGGCAGTCCAAGAGATCAGCTCCTGCAGTATGCCATACTCACCCATGTGACAGGTAGAGGAGAGACACAGTCTGATCACAGTAACTCTGGTCCCTGCTTCTTGAATGGTCAATAAGAAGTCTTCTCAAGGGTAAAGGAAGAAGAATTAGGGAATCAATCTCATCGCATTCCAGTACCTCACAGTTCTGTTTTCCCCTTTGAGAACTTGGGGGTCCCTGGGCTCCCACAGAAATGAAATCCTGTTGCAGAAATACCTGTTTCACCATATATTCTCTAGAGAGAGAAATATTCTATTCTCATATGAGGAACATGAAAAGTTCCTAGAGCTGATGTTATCCTCAAACTTATCTTTATGTATCTCCTCATCTCAGCACTATATGAGGAAGTAGAAGAGATTCCAGCTCCCACAGTGCCTGCCACTGAGGCCCCTGAGCCCACAGAGAAGCCTGAACTTGGGGAGCTGACAGTGACAGGGGCCACCCCAGACTCCCTGAAGCTCTCTTGGCCCAACTCCCAGGGAGACTTTGATGCCTTCTCAATCCAGTACAAGGACAGGAATGGGAGACCCCAGGCTGTGCGTGTTGAGGGCAACCAGAATGAGGTCACAGTTTCTGACCTGGAGCCTGACCACAGATACAAGATGAATCTCTATGGTTTCTATGATGGACAGCGTGTGGGCCCAGTCTCTGTCATTGGTGTAACAGGTAAGTCACAATCAGTAGAATAGACTCAGAATAATATTTACTTTCTTTCCTAGCGGGCATTAACTATTTTGTCAAGTCTAATTAGGTCCCAGGCCCTCATTTATTGTTGTGTCCAGTGTATGCTGTGTCCATATTACTTATGCCCACAGAAAACAATCAATCAGTCAATAAACATTTATTAATCACCTACTATGTGCTAGGCACTTTTTCCTTTGGGGCTAAACACCAAGCTCGGAGCAAGTTGGATTGTAGTTTGACCCGGGAGCAGAGATGAGTGCAGGCAAGGGTGCTGGGAAGTAAACACCTGACACGTGAATTTTTCACTGCTCAACTGTGATAAGCATGTAGTAGAGCTGTTTGTGCCAGGAATTTTGAGTGTGCCCCCATCTCCCGGCCAGAATGTGGCAGAGACTGACTAAGCCATACTCCTCTAAGAGTAACCTAAAGACTTTTCTGATCATCAACCATAACTGACTTTAAAATCCAGTGATATCCTTCCCTGTTTCGGGCTCTCAGTATTTCTTTCTAGCAGCTATACCAGTATGCCTAAAGAAAAGAGGGAGTGACCAGGGTAAGCCACCCCCTTCTCTCAAAGTCAGTTTTAGTTTCTCTCTGATCTCTTTATCAGCCCCTGAGGAGGAGACCCCAACTCCCACGGCTTCAACCACTGAATCCCCTTTTAAACCTCGCTTGGGGGAACTGACCATGACAGATTCGACTCCAGACTCCCTGCACCTCTCTTGGAGCGTCCCAGAGGGTCAGTTTGACTCCTTCGTGATCCAGTACAAGAACGGAGATGGACAACCTAAAATGAAACGTGTCAGAGGTGACCAGAAAGAAGTCACTGTCTCCGGCCTGGAGCCTGATCACAAATACAAGATGAATCTCTATGGTTTCCATAACAGGCAGCGCATAGGCCCTGTCTCTGTTATTGGCGTAACAGGTAGGTAAGGAGTGAGGTGGGTGGCTACTTGGGTGCGGTTATGGACCAGGCTTTGCAGGTTAGGGACAACCTGAGGCTTCTTCCTTAGAGGTCTTTGTCCCTGTGTCTCTGATTCTGCTTCCTGTAAGTTTACTGTGTTTTGGGGCCATAGATCCATTTGCTGCTTCTCTCTGAGGACTGAGATTCCTCCAATCTGCTTGAATTTGAAGAGAGGATGATATCCTGACTTGAGGCAGGAAGGAAAGAAGGAAAGGCTGTTTCTCAAAGAGGTTATGAGAAGGTCTTCAGAGCTGTGGAGCTGTGGGTGCCTGGTGTCAAGTATCCCCTTCTACAGTTCACACAGGTGAACAGTAACCATGTTCATAGTATATCAGGGCATCAGGCAACAACCAAAGACCCCTGGAATGTCAACAAGCATAATTTGTAATTGATTCTCCAAGAATTGAGTCCATAAGTCAGAAGAAAACCCCCTAGTTCCATGTTCTAAAGGAATATGTGTATCTTTAAATTTAAAAAAATTATAAATGCAATTATTTACAATAATTATTGTAAATAAAATGCCTTATTATTTAAAAAAAAATCTTTTTCTACATTGTGGCAATACCTCCCTACCCAATAAAGCCTTCTCCTTTAAAAAAGAAATATAGTTAAGCAAAAAATGCTGACACTTTAACACATCTGACAGCCTGTGCCTCATTCCTCACCTGTAGTCTACCACCCCTCTACCATGAAAAAGGAAATATCATTAGTCAGGGCAGGTAGGTGGCACAGTAGGTAGAATATTGGACATGGAGTTAGGAAGTTTTTTCTTATTGTTGAATTGTTTTGTACCTGACTCTTCATGACCTCATTTGGGGTTTTCTTGGCAAAGATATGGGATGGTTTGCCATTTTCCTCTCTAGTTCATTTTACAGATGAAGAGCTGAGGCAAACAGGGTTAAGTCATTTGCCCAGGGTCACACAGCTAGTAAGTATCTGAGGCTGGATTTGAATCTTCCTGACTCCAGTCCTGTCCTCCCATCCACTGTGCCACCTAGCTGACTTCGAATCTTGCCTCAGACACTTACTAGCTGTATGACCTTAGATAAGTCATTAAACCTCTGCTTGCTCCAATTTCCTCATCTATAAAATGGGGATAATAATAATACTTTTTTTTCCCCAAGGTTGCTGTGAGGCTAAAATGAGATAATATTTGTAAAGTGCTTTACAAGTGTTAGAGCACTGTATCATGCTTGCTAGCTGTTATTATCAGTACTCTGGGGTTAATATTCTTCATTATTTTCATGACTGAGTTTTTATATTTTCAGCATTTTTTCCTTTACATTATTGTGTTCATTGTGGGTATTGTTCTCTTGGTTGTGAAAACTTTACTCAATTCGTGCAGTTCATGCAGTCTTTCCAAATTTCTCTGAATTTCTCTCATACTTTATTTCCTATGGTGCAACAGTATTGCATTACATTCATTTATCACAATATGTTCAACCTATCTATCTATCTGTGTCTATGTCCATGACTATGTCTATGTGTACGTCTATGTCTATGTCTATGTCTTCTTAAGCAGGGAGTATTTCCTGGTTGTGGGATACAAATTGTAACACTAAATGTGTTGATGTCAACATATCCTCTTAGCGTGAGAAGTCCCAGGATCCCCTCTCAAGCAGAAATAATGGCTGGGGAGTATTTAAGGTATGTTAACACGTTGCTTGTATCTCCTTCTTTATGTCAGCCCCAGAAAGAGATGAGGAAATGACTCCAGCCCCTACAGTTCTAATCTCTGAACCCCCTCCTAAGCCCCGCCTGGGAGAGCTGACAGTGATAGATGCCACATCAGATTCCTTGGACCTCTCCTGGACTGTCCCTGAGGGCCAATTTGATTCATTTGTGATCCAATTCAAGAATAGAGATGGACAGCCGAAAGTAGTACATATTGGTGGACATGAGGACACAGTCACCATCTCTGGCCTAGAGCCTGATGACATGTACAAGATGTATCTTTATGGTTTTCATGATAGACACCGTGTGGGCCCAATCTCTACTACTGGTATAACAGGTCAGTGGCAAGGTGGGGGTAGGGGAGTGGAGAGTAAGGAAGGGAAAGGGGGAGAGCACCCAGGGTGGGAACATTCAGGGTGAGAATCAGTTTCGCTCCCTTTAGTGTTTGATGCCACTTTTCTGTCCATTCTAGGTTTTTCTCATTTCTTTTTGAGGCACGACATTCTAAAGGTCCTCTGGTGCAAGAGATATTGTGAAAGTAGAAATGAGAGGATTTAGCAACTAATTGGATGTGTGGGGAGGGGAAGAATGAGGGGTCAAGGATAACACCAAGATTGTCAGTCTTGGTGGAGGGATGGTAGTAGCCTTGACAGAAATAGGGGAATTTGGGTTTGGGGACAAAGATGAGTTTGGTTTTGGACATATTGAGCTTAAATTGTTTAGGAGATATCTAGTTTGAAATATCTGATAGGTAGTCAAAGACATGTAGCTATAATTCAGGAGATTCTGTATATAGATTTGGGAGTTGCTGCATAGGGATGATAATTAAAGTTATGGGAGTTAATGAGGTCCCCAAGTGAAAAATAATAGAAGAGGGTCTAGAACAGAGCCTTCTGTACATGCATAGTTAGGGAGGATGATATGGGAAAATGAATCAGTTAGTGGACATCAAGAAGGAGCAGTCAGGCAGGTAGGAAACCAAAAGAAAGCAGGGTCACAAAACCCAGAAAGGAGAGTCTCTAGGAGGAGAGCATGGAAAACCACGTCAAATGCTGCAGGGGGGTGAGAAAGATGAGGATGGAAAAAAGGCCATTGTGTTCATCAAGTGACCATTTGGGGAAAGAACAGTTTCAGCTGAGTGATGAGTGAAGAAACTAGACTACAGAGAGCTGAGAAAGGAGTGAGAGGAGAGGAAATAAAGGTAGACAGCTTTGGCTAGGAGTTTTTGCAACAGAGGAGAGATATAAATAGGATGGTAGCTCCGGTGAATGGTATAATCTATTGAGGTGTTTTTGTTTGGTGCTTTTCTTTGTGTTTTTTTTTTAGGATGGAGGAGACTTGTCCACATTTGTGGGCAGTAAGGAAGTAACTAATAGATAGAAAGAGATGGAAAATCGGGTGGGATAGAACGATTGTGGGAACCATGTGCTGAAGAAAGTAGGAGAGAATGGGATGGCGAACAAATGACTTGGTCAGGAAAAGAGTCACTGCTTTATTAGAAATTGGAGAATGAGGAATGATGTCAAGGGGTTTTGAGATTTAGAGAAAGGGAGAAGAGGAAGCTCATTGTGAATGGTCAAGGACCTCACTTAAGAGGGAAAGGAGAAAGGGATGGCATGGAAGGCTGGAGAAGAGCAGCCTCCAGGAGGAATGGGATAGAGAATCTATTAAGGAGGAATTAAATGACTGTCATACTGAGGTGAAGGTCCAGTTGAGATTATGTAACATGAATTTGTAGAGGACAAATTTATACTTAAATTTATAGTTCCCAAACTTTAGCTTTCCCTCTCTCTGTGTTTCCCTTCACAGCCCCACGAGATGTAGATCAAACACCTGTCCCCACAATACCAGTCACTGAGGCTCCTGAGCTCACAGAGAAACCTGAACTTGGGGAGCTGACAGTAACAGAGGCCACCCCAGACTCCCTGAAGCTCTCCTGGACCATCTCCCAGGGAGACTTTGATTTCTTCACAATCCAGTACAAGGACACGGATGGACGACCCCAGATTATGCGTGTTGGGGGAGACCAGAATGAGGTCACTGTCTTTGGCCTAGAACCTGACCACAGATACAAGATGAATCTCTATGGTTTCCATGATGGACAGCGTGTGGGCCCAGTCTCTGTCGCTGGTCTAACAGGTGAGTGAATAGGATAGGATCACCTCAGAATGAGAATTCATTTACTTCCCATTGGTGATAAGCCTCATGTCTATGTGTCTCTTGAAATTGTGATGTCCAGTATGCTTGTCCCCTCTTCTCTTGACCCCTGTCTATGGCCACAGTTCCCATTTTGTTTCATCCTACCTATACAACAAGCATTAGAAATTCTCTGGAGTGGAGTAGAGAAAGAATCAGATTACTGGAGAGCTGGAGACTTCATTGCTGTGATGTCTGCTTTCCTGGCTGCTCTCTCTCCCATTAAGCTGCTCATCCTGGGAGGTCTAAGTTTGCTCCGTTATTCAGAACATGTGTTGAGACACTGGCCAGGCATGACTCCTTACAATCCAGTGTAAAGGCTTCCCTAGATTCCATCCCATGACTGGCTAGCATCCAGACTCACAACTAGGATGTACAATGATTGAAGCTTTTTATAAGGAGTCAGGAAGGCATGGGTTCAAATCTAGCATCAGTCACTTACGAGTTGCATGACCCCGAATGAATCTCTTAACCTCTGTCTGCCTTAGTTTCCTTATCTGTGAAATAGAGAAAAACATAGCTTCTTCCTGACAGCATTGTTGTGAGGCTCAAATGAGATACTATTTGCAAAGCACTTTGCAAACCTTAAACCACTATATAAATGCTATTTAAATAGCATTGTATTTATATAGATATTATTATTTGTTTGGTTTTTCTGTTTGTTTCTTTTTTAGGTGACTGGGGTTAAGTGACTTGCCCAGGGTCACACAGCTAGTAAGTGTCAAGTGATTGGTCTGAGGTCAGATTTGAACTCAGGTCCTCCCGACTTCAGGGCCAGTGCTCTATCCATTGCGCCACCTAGCTGCCCCCTATAGCTATTATTATTATAGAATCTCATGGCCGTCTTCTAATCTCACTCGTACTTGAAACAGCGCACTCCTCTGTATCCTCTCTAACAAGTAATCAACCCATTTTAGGGATTTAGAACCCATTCTTTCCCAAGGCCATCCTTTCTATTTTTAGACAGCTCTGGTTAGGAAGTTGTTTCCCTTTTCACAATTTCCACATATTTCTCCTACTTTTGCCTTCTGGTTCCACATGCGTGAAAGCCCTTCAGGCACTTGAGGAAGCACTTTTATCCCTCTTACATCTTCTCTTCTTCAAGATAAATGTTCCCAATTCTTTGACCCCATCTAGCCTCATGTGGCTTTTTCTCCTTTTCTCTCACAACTTTTCATCTTCAAGTTTGTCACTCACTTTGCTAAACTGTGGTGCTTAGAATTGAACACTATCCTCTAGATATGGTCTGAGAGTACAATGGGACTGTCTACTTCCTGGACCCTACCCTTCTTCTACTATAGTTGTAGGAGGGAATTAGCTTTTTGACTAATCACATCCCATTGTTGATTCACATCAAATTTGTGGTCCACTAAAACACCTAAATCTTTTTCCCATGCACTGTTGTTGTCTAGCCATCCCCCCATCCTGTCTTTGTGCAATTTATTTTTTTCAATAAAAGTATATAACTTTATCTTTGTTAAATTTCATCTGGTTAGCCTATTGAACTTCAATGAGCCTAGCTCATGTTTTCTTAATCTGTCATTTAATATGTGAGTTAAACTTCCCAGCTTTGCATCACCTACAAATCTGATGATCATCCAAGTCGCTAATAAAAATGTTGAACAAGAACAGGGCCAAGGACAAATCTCTAAATCACTGTCCTGGAGATCTCAATCAGGCTGATGTTACTATTCTTTGGGTTTGGTCATTCATAAAGCTCTGAATCCCCCGTTACTGAGACCCCATCTCTCTACTTTGCCCTTGATATCATGAAAGACCTTGCATCAAATGCCTTGCTAAAATTCAGACATGCCATACCTATGATCTAACAATCTAAAAACATTATGAAAAATGAAACAAAGTTGGTTTAGTATAACCTGTTCTTTACTTCCCTTTCTCAATGTTCATGGACCTTCCTTTTAGAACTGCATTCTGTAATTTTTTTCAGGAATCAGCTAAGTTCACTGGCCTTCTTTTCCTTGTTCCAAATAGGTATATTTGCTTACCTACAGTGCTTCAGACTTCTTGGGTTCTCTTGTAGTTATTCACATATCACTGACAAGAGCCCATAAATCAAATCCACCGAGTTCTTTTGGTTCAGAAGGATATATATTTCATCAGGACCTGATGGCATTCATTGAGAGAAGCCAGATATTTTCTTAACATTTCTTCACTTTTCCTGGGTTTTAATTACATTGTAATCATTATTGGTCCATCCTTCTTAGTCCAGAGATCATTTTCCTTGACAAATAAACAGAAGCAAAATAGATCCAGTATTTCTACTCTCATCCTTCATTATCATTATTCTTTCCATCTCCAATAGCAGCTATCACATGTAAATCTTCCTTTGACCTCCATTATAGCTAGTGCTAGGAAGGAAATCAAGTAATTTCTGCTACTTTCTTCAAACACATGAGAATCATACCCTGCTTATAGAAGGGACAGAGGAAAACACTAGTGGTGAACTCCTTCCTAAGTCTGACTTATCCTTTCTCCATGTCTTCCCTTCACAGCCCCACATGAGGAAGAGACCCCTGCTCCCACAGTGCCAGCTACTGAGGCTCCTGAACCCACAGAGAAGCCTGAACTTGGGGAGCTGACAGTGACAGAGGCCACTCCAGACTCCCTGAAGCTCTCCTGGACCATCTCCCAGGGAGACTTTGATTCCTTCACAATCCAGTACAAGGACATGGATGGGAGACCTCAGATGGTGCGTGTTGGGGGAGACCAGAATGAGGTGACTATCTCTGAGTTGGAGCCTGACCACAGATACAAGATGAATCTCTATGGTTACCATGATGGACAGCGTGTGGGCCCAGTCTCTGTCATTGGCAAAACTGGTAAGTGAGAGACAATAGAATCATCAAGAATGAGGCTCAGAATGAAGACCTGTGTGTCTTCCATTGGGGTTGGCTTCCTATCTCTATGTCCTGGGCTCTTGAAACTACTGTGATTCTTCTCACTAAGATGTCAAACTCTACAGATTCTCTGGCACTTAGTGAAAAATGAAAACAGATCCTGGGAGAGCCAGAGCCTCTGCTGTTCTCTCCTTTGCTCAGACCTATCTTCTTGTGACTGGAAGCTCTGCATGTTCATGTGTCTCAGACACTACTTTTGATCATGCAGGACTCCTCAGGGTCCAGTGTAAAGATTGTAATTAAGGCTATTCTGTGACTGACTCTTGTAGACCACAAAATCTAGACATGAGATGGAGAAATTCCTTTTAGCTTCTGCAGAGATGAAATCCTTGGAAGAAGAACAGGGTAGAAGGTCACTATTAATGAAATCACCAAGTCCAATTTATCTTCTTTGTGTGTTTGTCCTCACAGCCCCACATGAGGAAGAGACCCCTGCTCCCACAGTGCCAGCTACTGAGGCCCCTGAGCCCACAGAGAAGCCTGAACTTGGGGAGCTGACAGTGACAGAGGCCACCCCAGACTCCCTGAAGCTGTCTTGGACCATCTCCCAGGGAGACTTTGATTCCTTCACAATCCAGTACAAAGATATGGATGGGAGACCCCAGATGGTGCGTGTTGGAGGAGACCAGAATGAGGTGACTATCTCTGAGCTGGAGCCTGACCACAGATATAAGATGAATCTCTATGGTTACCATGATGGACAGCGTGTGGGCCCAGTCTCTGTCATTGGCAAAACTGGTAAGTGAGAGACAATAGAATCATCAGGGATGAGGCTCAGAATGAAGACCTTTTGGTCTCCCCGTGGGCTTGGCTTCCTATCTCTATGTCCTGGGCCCTTGAAACTGCTGTGATTCTTCTTACTAACATGTTAAACTCTACAGATTCTCTGGCACTTAGTGAAAAATGAAAACAGATCCTGGGAGAGCCAGAGCCTCTGCTGTTCTCTCCTTTGCTCAGACCTATCTTCTTGTGACTGGAAGCTCTGCATGTTCATGTGTCTCAGACACTACTTTTGATCATGCAGGACTCCTCAGGGTCCAGTGTAAAGATTGTAATTAAGGCTATTCTGTGACTGACTCTTGTAGACCACAAAATCTAGATATGAGATGGAGAAATTCCTTTTAGCTTCTGCAGAGATGAAATCCTTGGAAGAAGAACAGGGTAGAAGGTCACTATTAATGAAATCACCAAATCCAATTTATCTTCTTTGTGTGTTTGTCCTCACAGCCCCACATGAGGAAGAGACCCCTGCTCCCACAGTGCCAGCTACTGAGGCCCCTGAGCCCACAGAGAAGCCTGAACTTGGGGAGCTGACAGTGACAGAGGCCACCCCAGACTCCCTGAAGCTGTCTTGGACCATCTCCCAGGGAGACTTTGATTCCTTCACAATCCAGTACAAAGACACGGATGGGAGACCCCAGATGGTGCGTGTTGGAGGAGACCAGAATGAGGTGACTATCTCTGAGCTGGAGCCTGACCAAAGATACAAGATGAATCTCTATGGTTACCATGATGAACAGCGTGTGGGCCCAGTCTCTGTCAATGGCAAAACTGGTAAGTGAGGGAAAATAGAATCATCAGGGATGAGGCTCAGAATGAGGACCTGTTTGTCTCCCTTTGAGGTTGGCCTCCTGCCTGTATGTCCTGGGCCTTGAAACTCACATGACCAGTTTGATTCCTCACCTGAGATGTTAAACTCCACAGATCCTCTAGCACTCAGTCAAAAATGAAAGCAGATCATGGGAGAACCAGAACCTCCACTGTTCTCTCCTTTGCTCAGACCTGTCTTCTTGTGACTGGAAGCTCTGCATGTTCATGTGTCTCAGACACTACTTTTAATCATGCAGAACTCCTCAGGGTCCAATGTAAAGATTCTAATTAAGGCAATTTAGTGACTGACTGTAGGCCAGGAAATCTAGACATGAGATGGAGAAATTCCTTTCAACTTCTGCAGAGATTATATCCTTGAAAGAAGAACAAGGTACAGGCAGCTAGGTGGCGCAGTGGATAGACCACCAGCCCTGGATTCAGGAGGACCTGAGTTCAAATCCAGCCTTAGATACATAACTCTAGCTGTGTGACCCTGGGCAAGTCACTTAACTCCATTGTCTAACCAAATTTAAAAAAAAGAACAAAAAAACGGGGTATAGGCTCATTATTAATGAAATCACCAAGTCCAATTAATTCTCTTTGTGTCTTTGTTCTCACAGCCCCATATGAGAGAAGTCAGGAGGAAGAAACTCCTGCTCCCACAGTGCCAGCTACTGAGGCCCCTGAGCCCACAGAGAAGCCTGAACTTGGGGAGCTGACAGTGACAGAGGCCACCCCAGACTCCCTGAAGCTCTCCTGGACCATCCCCCAGGGAGACTTTGATTCCTTCACAATCCAGTACAAAGATACGGATGGGAGACCCCAGATGGTGCGTACTGGGGGAGACCAGAATGAGGTGACTGTCTCTGAGCTGGAGCCTGACCACAGATACAAGATGAATCTCTATGGTTACCATGATGGACAGCGTGTGGGCCCAGTCTCTGTCATTGGCAAAACTGGTAAGTGAGGGACAATAGAATTGTCAAGGGTGAGACTCCAATGAGAATCCATTTTCCTCCCATTTGTCTGTCTCTGTAAGTCCTTTGAAATATGACCCATATACCTATCACCTCTTCCCGTATCTCTTGTCTGTTGCCACAATTGTCATTTTGCTTCTTCCTTCATATTTAATGAGCATGACAAATGCTCTGGAGCTGAGTAGGAAAAGGACCAGATCACTAGAGAGATAGTGCTTCACTAGGATGATGTCCACTCTGCTGACTTCTCTGGCCCATGATGCTACATCTTCTGGAAGTCTGAGCATGCTCAGTTATTCAGAATGCATGTTGATACACTGGTCAGACATGATCCTCCACACACCAATGGAAAGACTTCCCTAGAGTACATCCTATGAATAAAATGGAGGCGTTCATTATACTCCCTGAATACACTTGAGGAACAGATGTGCCCTTCTCACATGAGGACTAGAGGAAGGTGAACCCCTTCCTAAGGCTGACCTACCTTTTCTCCATGTCTGCCCTTCACAGCCCCACATGAGGAAGAGACCCCAGCTCCCACAGTGCCAGCTACTGAGGCTCCTGAACCCACAGAGAAGCCTGAACTTGGGGAGCTGACAGTGACAGAGGCCACCCCAGACTCCCTGAAGCTCTCCTGGACCATCCCCCAAGGAGAATTTGATTCCTTCACAATCCAGTACAAAGATACGGATGGGAGACCCCAGATGGTGCGTGTTGGGGGAGACCAGAATGAGGTGACTGTCTCTGAGCTGGAGCCTGACCACAGATACAAGATGAATCTCTATGGTTACCATGATGGACAGCGTGTGGGCCCAGTCTCTGTCACTGGCAAAACTGGTAAGTGAGAGACAATAGAATCATCAAGAATGAGGCTCAGAATGAAGACCTGTGTGTCTTCCATTGGGGTTGGCTTCCTATCTCTATGTCCTGGGCTCTTGAAACTACTGTGATTCTTCTCACTAAGATGTCAAACTCTACAGATTCTCTGGCACTTAGTGAAAAATGAAAACAGATCCTGGGAGAGCCAGAGCCTCTGCTGTTCTCTCCTTTGCTCAGACTTGTCTCCTTGTGACTGCTTTCAGTTCCATCCTGGGAGCATTGGATGGTCATATTGTCAATTAGTCAATCAATGAACAAGCATTTATCAAGCACCTACTGTATGCCCAGCACTGTTCTAAGTGCTGAAGAGACTAAGAAAGATGAAGAATAGTTCTTCTCAAGAAGCTCACAATCTAATGGGGGAGATATGCCAACAACTAGGTACAAATAAACTCTGTATATCAGATAAACAGTAGATAATTAACTGAGGGAAAGCACTAGAATTAAGGGGGCATTGAGAGAGGCTTCATAGGTAGGATTTAACCTGGGACTTGAAGGAAGCCAAGAGGCAGAGAGGAGATGGGAGAGAATTCCAGGCATGAGGCAAAGCCATTGAAAATGCCCAAGGTTGGGAGATGAAGTATCTCGTAGAAGGAACAGCAAGGACACCAATGTCACCAGATTGCAGAGTACTGAGGTGTAAGGCATAAAATGACTGGAAACATTGGAAAGGGCCAGGTTACAGAGGACTTTGACGGTCAAGCAGAAGATTTATATTTGATCCTGGAAGTGATAGATGGCCAACAGAGTTCATTGTGTGTGGAGAGGAGCAGAGGGGCTCGGGGGTAGGGGGCATGCTTTGATGTTAATTATTAATTATTGATTATGATATGATGTTAATTATTACTAATTGAGAGAACAATCCCAGCAATACTGTTAGCAAAAGAAGCATAATAAATAGGTTAATGGACTCCCTACTCAGTTTTTATCGTTGTTATTATCATTGTTAATTCACCAGAGACATAATCAGACTTGTGCTTTAGGAAGGTCACTTTGACAGCCGAGTAGACAATAGATTGTAGTGGGGAGAGGCTTGAGGCAGGGAGACCAACCAGCAGGCTGTTACAATAGTGTAAGCAGAATAATGAGGGATTGTATGTGGATGGTGGCAGTGTCAGAAGAGAGAAGGGGGTATATATTAGAGGTATTATGAAGGTAAAATCAACAGGCCTTGGCAACTAATTTGATATGGGAGGTGGGAGAGAATAGTTAAAGATGACCCCTAGGTTTTGAGTCTAGGTGACTGAGAGGATGATGCTTTCCTCAACAGCAATATGGAATTTAGGAAGAGGGGAGGGTTTTGGGGAAGAGAAGAGTTCAACTTTGGATCTATTGAGTTTAAGACGCCTATGGGTCAATCAGTTCCTAATGTTTAATAGGTGGTGCAAAACTGGAGATCAGGAGAAAGTTTAGGGTTGGAAAGTAGATGTGAGAGTCATCTACGTAGAAATAGTATTGAATCCATAAGAGCTGATGAGGTCATCAAGTGAAATAGCACACAGGGAGAAGAGAAGACGGCTCAGCACAGAGCCTTGGGGGATATCCATAGTCAGTGGTCATGACCTGGAGGAAATTCTAGGATAGACGACTAAGAAAGACTCGCTAGATGGTTAGGAAGAGAACAAGGACATGAAAACCTAGAGAGAAGAGAGTGATCAACAGTGTCAAAGGCCACAGAGAAGTCAAGAAGGATGAAGAGTGGGAAAAGGCCATTACATTTGACAATTGAGAGCTATTAATTTTGAGAGAACATTTTCATTGAATTAGGAGGTAGGAAGCCAAAGGGTATAGAGTTACACATAGAGTGAGAGGAAAGAAGTGGAAGCATCTATCGTAGATGGCCTTCTCAAGGAGTTTAGCCATGAAAATACGAAAGTTAGGGGATGATAATGAAGATGGTGGATCAAGTGAAAGTTTGTGGAGGATGGGGAAGATATGGACATGTTTGTAGACAGTAAGGAAGCAGCCAGTAGACCAGGAGAGACAAGATATGTGAGAAAGTGGGGCTGACAGAGAAGGTAGTCTCCTGAAGGAGTTGGGATGGAATAAGATCACCTGTACAGGTAAAATGGTTCTCTTTGGTGTGGAAAATGGCTACCCTTTCATGTAAGATGGGATGAAGGTTGAGATGCTGTCAGAAGGCATATGGGAGATATGAGTTCAGGAGGAAGATTTTGGTGAATAGTCTCTATTTTTTCGGTAAAATAAGATGCAAAGTTCTCAGCTGAGAAAGTAGGGGAAGGAAGCATGGGAGGTCTGAGGAAGGATGAAAAAGTTTAGAAAATGTGGCCACTAGGTGGCGCAGTGGATAGAGCACTAGCCTTGGATTCAGTAGGACCTGAGTTCAAATCCGACCTCGGACACATAACACTTACTAGCTGTGTGACCTTGGGCAAGTCACTTAACCCCATTGATGAACCCCCCCAAAAAAATTTCTTTTAAAAGTTTAGAAAATCCACTGTGGTGAGTGGGATACTGAGTCAATTGCTTTTAATCAACTGGGACTCCACATATTCCAGTGTAAAGATTCTTATTAAGGCCATGCTGTGACTGATAATAAACCCAAAATTTAAACACAAGATAATGATACTATTAATAATAATCATATTTATATAGTTCTTTAAGGTTTGTAAAGTTCTTTACATATGTTATCTTATTAGATCTTTACAGCAACCCTGGGAGGTAGGAGCTATTGTCATTCCAATTTTACAGTTGAGGAAACTGAAACTTAGAGATATTAGGTGACTTGCCCAGGGTGACACAGCTTGATGTCTGAGGCAAGGTTTGACCTCAGGTCTTTGCAATTTCAAGTCCAGAATTCTATTTAGCCCAAACCAAACTTACTGGTATAGACAAGAGCAATTTTTTTTTCATTTCTGCAGAGATTCCATCCCTGGATTAGGAGCAGGAGATTGCTGTCAATGAAATCCTCAAGTCCCCCTTATCCTCTTTTTATGTTTCTCCTCACAGACCCACATGAGGAAGAGACCCCAGCTCCCACAGTGCCAGCTACTGAGGCTCCTGAATCCACAGAGAAGCCTGAACTTGGGGAGCTGACAGTAACAGAGGCCACCCCAGACTCCCTGAAGCTCTCCTGGACCATCTCCCAGGGAGACTTTGATTCCTTCACGATCCAGTACAAAGATACGGATGGGAGACCCCAGATGGTGCGTGTTGGGGGAGACCAGAATGAGGTGACTATCTCTGAGCTGGAGCCTGACCACAGATACAAGATGAATCTCTATGGTTACCATGATGGACAACGTTTGGGCCCAGTCTCTGTCAATGGCAAAACTGGTAAGTGAGGGAAAATAGAATCATCAGGGATGAGGCTCAGAATGAGAACCTGTTTGTCTCCCATTGGGTTGGCCTCCTATCTGTGTGTCCTGGGCCTTGAAACTCGCATGACCAGTTTGATTCCTCACCTGAGGTGTCAAATTCCACAGATCCTCTAGCACTCAGTCAAAAATAAAAGCAGGTCATGGGAGAACCAGAACCTCCACTGTTCTCTCCTTTGCTCAGACCTATCTTCTTGTGACTGGAAGCTCTGCATGTTCATGTGTCTCAGACACTACTTTTGATCATGCAGGACTCCTCAGGGTCCTGTGTAAAGATTGTAATTAAGGTTATTCTGTGATTGACTGTAGACCATAAAATCTAGACATGAGATGGAGAGATTCCTTTCAACTTCTGCAGAGATTAAATCCTTGAAAGAAGAACAGAGGGGAGGGTCACTATTAATGAAATCACTAAGTTTAATTTATCCTCTTTTGTATTTGTCCTCACAGCCCCACATGAGGAAGAGACCCCAGCTCCCACAGTGCCAGCTACTGAGGCCCCTGAGCCCACAGAGAAGCCTGAACTTGGGGAGCTGACAGTGACAGAGACCACCCCAGACTCCCTGAAGCTCTCCTGGACCATCTCCCAGGGAGACTTTGATTCCTTCACAATCCAGTACAAAGACACGGATGGGAGACCCCAGATGGTGCGTGTTGGAGGAGACCAGAATGAGGTGACTATCTCTGAGCTGGAGCCTGACCAAAGATACAAGATGAATCTCTATGGTTTCCATGATGGACAGCGTGTGGGCCCAGTCTCTGTCAATGGCAAAACTGGTAAGTGAGGGAAAATAGAATCATCAGGAATGAGGCTCAGAATGAGGACCTGTTTGTCTCCCATTGGGTTGGCCTCCTATCTGTGTGTCCTGGGCCTTGAAACTCGCATGACCAGTTTGATTCCTCACCTGAGGTGTCAAATTCCACAGATCCTCTAGCACTCAGTCAAAAATGAAAGCAGATCATGGGAGAACCAGAACCTCCACTGTTCTCTCCTTTGCTCAGACCTATCTTCTTGTGACTGGAAGCTCTGCATGTTCATGTGTCTCAGACACTACTTTTGATCATGCAGGACTCCTCAGGGTCCTGTGTAAAGATTGTAATTAAGGTTATTCTGTGACTGACTGTAGACCATAAAATCTAGACATGAGATGGAGAGATTCCTTTCAACTTCTGCAGAGATTAAATCCTTGAAAGAAGAACAGAGGGGAGGGTCACTATTAATGAAATCACTAAGTTTAATTTATCCTCTTTTGTATTTGTCCTCACAGCCCCACATGAGGAAGAGACCCCAGCTCCCACAGTGCCAGCTACTGAGGCCCCTGAGCCCACAGAGAAGCCTGAACTTGGGGAGTTGAGAGTGACAGAGACCACCCCAGACTCCCTGAAGCTCTCCTGGACCATCTCCCAGGGAGACTTTGATTCCTTCACAATCCAGTACAAAGACACGGATGGGAGACCCCAGATGGTGCGTGTTGGAGGAGACCAGAATGAGGTGACTATCTCTGAGCTGGAGCCTGACCACAGATACAAGATGAATCTCTATGGTTTCCATGATGGACAGCGTGTGGGCCCAGTCTCTGTCATTGGCAAAACTGGTAAGTGAGAGACAATAGAATCATCAAGAATGAGGCTCAGAATGAAGACCTTTTTGTCTCCCTTTGAGGTTGGCCTCCTATCTCTATGTCCTGGGTCCTTAAAACTATCATGACTAATTTGATTCCTCACCTGAGGTGTTAAACTCCACAGATCCTCTAACACTCAATCTAAAATGAAAGCAGATAGGGGCGGCTAGGTGGTGCAGTGGATAGAGCACCGGCCCTGGAATCAGGAGTACCTGAGTTCAAATCCGGCCTCAGACACATAACACTTACTAGCTGTGTGACCCTGGGCAAGTCACTTAACACCTTTGCCTAGCCCAAAAAAAGAAGAAAAAAGTGTAAAAAAAAGAAAAGAAAAAAAAAGAAAATGAAAGCAGATTATGGGAGAACCAGAACCTCCGCTGTTCTCTCCTTTGCTCAGGTCTATCTTATTGTGATTGCTCTCAGCTCCATCTTGGGAGCTGTAGATGTTCATGTGTCTCAGACGCTATTTTTGATCATGCAGGACTCCTCAGTGTAAAGATTCTAATTAAGGCTATTCTGTGGCTGACTCTGGTAGACCACAAAATCTAGATATGAGATGGAGAAATTCCTTTTAGCTTCTGCAGAGATGAAATCCTTGGAAGAAGAACAGGGTAGAAGGTCACTATTAATGAAATCACCAAGTCCAATTTATCTTCTTTGTGTGTTTGTCCTCACAGCCCCACATGAGGAAGAGACCCCTGCTCCCACAGTGCCAGCTGAGGCCCTTGAGCCCACAGAGAAGCCTGAACTTGGGGAGCTGACAGTGACAGAGGCCACCCCAGACTCCCTGAAGCTGTCTTGGACCATCTCCCAGGGAGACTTTGATTCCTTCACAATCCAGTACAAAGATATGGATGGGAGACCCCAGATGGTGCGTGTTGGAGGAGACCAGAATGAGGTGACTATCTCTGAGCTGGAGCCTGACCACAGATATAAGATGAATCTCTATGGTTACCATGATGGACAGCGTGTGGGCCCAGTCTCTGTCATTGGCAAAACTGGTAAGTGAGAGACAATAGAATCATCAGGGATGAGGCTCAGAATGAAGACCTTTTGGTCTCCCCGTGGGCTTGGCTTCCTATCTCTATGTCCTGGGCCCTTGAAACTGCTGTGATTCTTCTTACTAACATGTTAAACTCTACAGATTCTCTGGCACTTAGTGAAAAATGAAAACAAATCCTGGGAGAGCCAGAGCCTCTGCTGTTCTCTCCTTTGCTCAGACCTATCTTCTTGTGACTGGAAGCTCTGCATGTTCATGTGTCTCAGACACTACTTTTGATCATGCAGGACTCCTCAGGGTCCAGTGTAAAGATTGTAATTAAGGCTATTCTGTGACTGACTCTTGTAGACCACAAAATCTAGACATGAGATGGAGAAATTCCTTTCAGTTTCTGTGGAGATGAAATCTTTGAAAGAACAAGGTAGGGGATCATTATTAATGAAATCACCAAGTCCAATTTATCTTCTTTGTGTGTTTGTCCTCACAGCCCCACATGAGGAAGAGACCCCTGCTCCCACAGTGCCAGCTACTGAGGCCCCTGAGCCCACAGAGAAGCCTGAACTTGGGGAGCTGACAGTGACAGAGGCCACCCCAGACTCCCTGAAGCTCTCCTGGACCATCCCCCAGGGAGACTTTGATTCCTTCACAATCCAGTACAAAGACACGGATGGGAGACCCCAGATGGTGCGTGTTGGGGGAGACCAGGATGAGGTGACTATCTCTGAGCTGGAGCCTGACCACAGATACAAGATGAATCTCTATGGTTACCATGATGGACAACGTTTGGGCCCAGTCTCTGTCATTGGCAAAACTGGTAAGTGAGGGACAATAGAATTGTCCAGTGAGAATCCATTTCCTTTCCCTTGGTCTGCCTCTGTAAATCCTTTAAAATAGGGCCAATATACCTATCACCTCTTCCTACATCCCTTGTCTGTAGCCACAATTTCCATTTTGCTTCTTCCTTCATATTTAATGAGCATGACAAATGCACTGGAGCTGAGTGGGAAAGGGACTAGGTCACTAGAGAGAATTGTCAAAGGTGAAGCTTGGCTTGGGGCTCTGCTTCCATCCTCTTGGTGGTTAACTCTCTGTCTCTCTATGTTCATTCTACTTCTGCCCTATACGTGTTGCCTTTGTGCATATTTCATCCAATTTCCCAGACTCTGTGGTTCTTATGGTTGCTGTGTAGAAATGGTTCTTGTTAGAGTTGTTTCTGTTCTGTTGTCTACTCTGCTATTACTTCTCTCAGCCATTCACCTTCTCAGCCTCATAGTTCTGAGCATATTCAATTGGTTGAAATGCTTCTGGCACTTATCAGGTATCTCTGAAAATGTCATGTTAATGTTTTTCTCCCTATAATCTAAAGAACTAGTCTTTCTATAAGTGGATAGGTTAAGTTATTTCTTCCTTCTGGTTATTTGTCCTGCTCCATTTCCACATGAACTACAGAGCAAATAACCAGGAATTAATTCATCCCTGAACTCATTTCACCTTTGTGTCTCCCCTCTCAACTCCAGATAAAGTAGTAGATGAGACCCCAACTCCCACAATTCCTGCTACGGAGCCTCCAGAACCCACCAAAGAGCTACTTCTGGGGCAGCTGACAGTGATAGACACCAGCCCAGATTCTCTTCGACTCTTCTGGACTGTCACCCAGGGAGACTTTGACTCCTTTGCAATTCAGTACAAGGACAGGGATGGGCAACTCCAGGTAGTTCGCATTGAGGGTGACAAGAATGAAGTCACAATTTCTGGCTTAGAACCCAACCACAAATATAAGATGAATCTCTATGGTTTTCATGATGGACAACGTGTGGGTCCTGTTTCCACCACAGGTATGATAGGTAAGTAATCAAGGTTGGTCTCTCAGGGGTGACTCATAGTCAGATTATTTTCCATTTGCAGTGACCCCCATTCTAATATAAATCTGTCTATAACAAGATTTCCCTGTTATATTTAGCTAATAGATCTATTTCAAAGGGTGGTCCATTCTGATTCCATTAAGAAAAGCTCTTTGGTATTCATTGGCTTGGAATTTGATCAGAGAGGGAAGCACTTCTGTGGCATGGATAATTTCAAGGTGGCAGCTTTGGGGTAGGGGAATGAGCCCAAGCCTCAAGCCCGAAAGACCTTGGGTTTGGCTGGACTGGAGCTCTGGCTCTGCCACTGACTCACTCTTTGACTGTGAACCACTCACTTCGGCTCTAACACATGTCTCTTCGTATGCTTTTGCTGCCTACTTTACAGTGTGGTTGTGAAGCTCCAGGGGTTTTATGTGCAAAGGGCTTTGTAAGCCATAAACACTGTATAAATGTCAACTCTTATTAGTAACAGGTTGTTGGTGGGAAGTAAAGGATGCACACAATATCTGGTTAACCAGAATACCCCATTTCCTAGCCATTCATTGTATTCCATTTGCCAGGAGGTATGAAAGGTATTATAACCACAGTTTATTACTTTTATAAGTGTATTTTATAGGAGTGTAGACTCAGAGCTAGAAGAGACTGTACAGAAAATCTAGTCCAATGCCTTCTATTTTACTGTTAATGACCTGAGGCCCAGAGAGGGCAGGTGACCTGCCTAAGATAACCCTTAATAAGTGGCAGAGGTGAGATACGAACCCAGCTTCTCTGCTCCAAATCCAGCACATTTTCCACTGTGCCATAGAGAATATTGTTCTATGGGGCCAACACCTCCTTATGCCCCTTGAAGAGGAACAATTCACTTGGGAAACCCACATTTACCCTTCTAAGTCCAGTTCATGTTTGCCTTCTTATGTCTCTGTCCCAGTCCTAGAAGAAGAGACTCCATCCCCCACAGTCTTAACCACTGAGGCCCCCAAAGAAATCTTGGTGAAACCCCAACTCGGGGAGCTAACAGTGACAGAGATCACCTCGGACTCTCTGCGCCTGTCCTGGACTGTCACTGAGGGCCAGTTTGATTCTTTCATGGTGCAATACAAGAATGGTGATGGACAAACTAAGGTGGTTCGCGCTGGGGGCAACCAGAAGGAAGTTATGCTCTCTGGCCTGGACCCTAATCACAAGTACAAGTTGAATCTTTTTGGCTTTCATGAAGGGCATCGTGTGGGGCCCATCTCCACCATTGTTGTGACAGGTGAGTAGGAAGAAAAAGAGTGTCTGGGGGCAAGGGGCCTGGACCTGCCTTCTTTCCAACTGGAGACTAACCCAAACTCATAGAGGCAGCTATGCCTACACTTTCTATCACTTCCTTCTTCTGAGACCCCATGGTTAACAGCTGATTTTCTGAAAATTGGTTGCTTGGCTGACCTGGTGGCTGTTGTACGTTCCTCCCTCCTTCGGGTGCTTTTCCTGGTAGCGCAATAATGCTCTGCACTGAGTTCCCTGGGATATTCATGCAAAAGCTTCTCCAGGGTTCGCTTACGTGCCTGCCTCTAGAACCTGGAGCCATCTCTCCCACCGCAACTCCTGGGCACTCTCCTCTCCAGCCTGGCTCAGCTGATCTCTGTTCTTCTCTGGCCTAGCTCCTGAAGCCACAGAGCCCCCAGCAGAGCCCTACCTGGGAGAGCTGAAGGTGACTGATATAAGCCAGGACTCCCTGCGCCTCACCTGGAGTGTCCTTCAGGGTCCCTTCAACTCCTTTGTGATCCAGTACAAAGATAGGGATGGGCGGCCTCAGGTCATACCAGTAGCAGGTGATCAGAGCGAGGTCACTGTCTCAGGCCTGGAGCCCTCCAGGAAATACAAGTTCCTGCTTTTTGGACTTCACAACAGGAAACGCAGTGCCCCCGTCTCTGCAGAAGCCAAGACCCGTGAGTACACATTGGAAATCGGCCTTTCCCAGACTTTTGTTTTTCCATGCTACCATTTGTTTTTCCTCTGCCACCGTTAAGAGCCTGGAGCCTTGGACAGTTTTTCACTCCTGTCCTCTTTCACTCTCTACTGGATGTGATTAACATGTTCTTTCCTCCATTATCAGAGCAGGGAAATCCCTGAGGCCCTAGTTACTCCAGGACCCTGAATCCCACCTTTGCAATATCCAAACCCTGCCTCCTTCCCAGCTCCTGATGCAGTGTGAAGTCACACCAAAGACACTCAGGAGAGAAATACATTCAAATCCCAGGGCCATTACCCATTAGCTTTGGTGACCTTTTGTCATTTAAACCTCTCCAAGACTCAGTTTCCCCTGTGCATAAAAATGAGAATAATAATGCTACCTACTTCACAGAGTTGTTATAAGGAAGGTATTTTGTAAGCTTCGAAACTCTGTAGAACTGTGGGCTACTGCCACTACTTGTTTTCCCTTCCTTCTCTCTTCTAACCCTCACTCCTACTATCATATCCAACTTCCCTTTCTCTGGGCTGTATTTTTTTTTCTCTCCTTATAGGTTTCTATAGTGATAGAAAGTATAGTTCTTACACTTTGGGACTCTGTTGTCCTAGGTCTCATGGTCTCCTTCCTCAGCTAGCCTACCCTTAGGGGAGCTGCTCAGGATAAGAGTTGCCTTCTCTCTCTACCCCTTCCTCTGTTTCCCTCTACTTTTGCATTTGTCTCTCTAATTTATTACTTAGTAATTTATTTGTCTTCTCTCTTTCTTTTCCCTCCCCTTTCTTCTACCTCTCTTCTTCTCTCTTTTCTCATTTCTGTCCCTCTTTCAGTCCCTGCAGTAAAACCATCTCCCCTCTTGGGGGAGATGACAGTGACAGACCCAACCCCAGACTCTTTGCACCTCTCCTGGACCATCCTTCAAGGTCCCTTTGACTCCTTTGTGGTCCAGTACAAGGACAAAGACGGGCAGACTCAGATGGTGCCTGTAGGAAAAGACCAGAGAGAGATCATCATCTCCAGCTTAGAACCCAACCAGAAGTACAAGTTCCTGCTCTATGGACTCTTTGGCAAGAAACGACTTGGCCCTATCTCCGCAGATGGTACCACAGGTAAGTAGGACCCTCTAGAGAACATATTTCTCCTCCCCCTCTTCCAAACAGTTTTGACCCCAAGCTTTTCCCAAAAAAGTTCCTTCTTCTGAACCCTCCTCTCCAAAGGACCCTATAGCCTCCCCCTTATAATTAATTTTACTTCCTTAATGGTCAGAGAGTTCTAGCTCCATCTGTCTAAAATCTGTTTTATTTTGTTTTTCCTGCTCTATAATAGCCTGTTACCAACTTGAAGGCCATCCCAGCTTGGCCTTCTCTCTTCTAGGCACATTGTGGTGGCAGCTATGTAAAAGCCCAGGTCCACTTTGTGGAGTCAAGCTGCATTGGTCACCTTTGCTTCCCTCTCAGGGCCCCTGCTCCTTTTTTAGTCATCCTCCCTTCACTTTTAATTAGGTTTTCTTTCCTTTGTAAGTCACTTAAAAATGAAGTGCACTATTAAGAGGCAGAATTGTCTAGTAGATAGAGTGACAAAGTAATTGAAATAACAAGGACCTGAATTTAAACTTCACCACTTCACATTTATTACCTCTGTGACACCGGGAAAGTCACTGAACTTCTCTGAGTCTTAATTTTCTCATCTATGAAATGGGAATAATGCCTATAGTATCTGCCTCATAGGAGTCTTGTGAGGCTTAAATATTATGTCAAAAGCTATTTGCAAACATTAAAGTACCATATAAATGCTATCACCATTACCGGCATCATTTTTATTAAAGAAAGCTTAGCCTCCTAGTTTCTCCCCAAAAGCTTCATCCCTCAAACAAGTGGGAAGATGAGCTTTGTCCCGAAGTATTGAATTAATTCATTATTTATTTCTTTGTTTTCTTCTTACTTGATGTTTATTGAATTGCATGACGTTAGTGAACTAGAGAAAAGAAATGTCATGGTCACATAGATACCAAGTAGCAAAGTTGAGATTTGAACCCCAGTCCAGTGCTCTTTCAATTATACAATTCAGAGGGTGCTAACAGCACTTACAGTCCTTTAGTGCTATAGAAACAACAAAACTTTGCACCTAATTTATTTGCCAACAAATGCCCTGCAAATGATTTGCTGGCAATAGCAAGTATTTAACTGAGGGGAAAAGTGTCTGAAAGCTGGTATTAAGAGATTTTCTTATGACCCCACAACAAGGTGTGGATTGTAAAGGAGTTGCTGAGTTTTCCAACAATTTCACAAGGGGTGAAGTTCCTTACTCATGTTAGAGAATGTATGGCCTTGGCCATTAGATGAAGGAGCTTACACCATATAGCAAAATTAATGATTTGCTGTAAAAATCATTCATACTCTTTGAGTCAGGTGTATGTGTGTACATGTATATATATCTGTATATATACATACACATATATACACATGTGTATATGCATATATATGCATATGCATTTTGTGAATGTGTATATACACACATGTATGCATGTATATAAACCATCTAGAAGCTTAAAAGTGAGAGACAGTCAAAGCTTGTAGCAGTTGTGGCATGGGGTAGTGACCTAGGTTGTTAACCACTCCGATTTTCCCCCTTTCCCCCCTATCACTGACTCCTTAACTAGATGGATTTCCCAGTATAAATGTTCTTTCTATGCTCTGGGAAGCTGTCTCAAAGGATCTGGAATTCTCTCTCTCTCTCCCCCACATACTCTCTCTCTCTCTCTCTCTCTCTCTCTCTCTCTCTCTCTCTCTCTCTCTCTCCCACACACACTCTCTCTCTCTTTCTCTCCCCCACCCTCTCTCTTTCTCCCTCTCTCACTCTCTCTTAGCTCTGAACCCCTAGCCAGAAATAACCCTCTAGCAAAACAACTCCATGTTAGATCTCACCACTCTGGGAATATGTCCCCTTTGATTACCTCCTCCCAGTTGCATTTCCAATAAGTACACACAAACTAGGGAAGGTCTCTGGTTAACATTGTTTGTAGGGACAAAATAAATGTTTAATATAAAGAAAGGTAAATAGACTTTTCCAGAAGGAACAGCTTCCATGAAGGATCCGCAGGGAAGAAGGGTTACAACCTTGGAGTCTGTAGTCTGAACAACTCTATCCTGACACCCCTCATACGAAATCTGCCCAAGCAACTTTGCTTCCAGAGCCCTTGCCTCTTCTTTTGTGGCAGCTTCTTCAGGGTTTCTCATAGCCTCCCCCATCTTCAGCCTCAAGTGTCACCAGAAGCTGGGTTTCTCTTTGACTCTTTCCCAGATTCACTAACTTGACTTTTACAGGTCACCTGAAATCATGACCTATAATTCTTCAGCCTATGAAGTTGTTTCCTTTCCAGTTTATTCAGGGACTTATTCACATCCTATAAAGGTATCACCTAATGTGGACACATTTTACAGTTGGTTTAATACCTCATCAATTATCTGGTCCCTTTTCAGTAATTGGGTCTGTGAGAGACTAGTTTCTTATAATTAATTTAAGTAGGAAACTACCAGATGTTGGGCCAGTGTGATCTTGTCCTCTGTCCTACCCTGATCCCCACCCCTTACCCCCACCCAGAATCACAGGACTTGGAGGCAACCTCAGCAGTCCTCAAGTCCAACCCCCACACACAGTGAGTCCTCTATGTCTATACCATAAAAATGATTATCTAACTTGAAGACTTCCAAACAAGGGGGAGCCAAGCCTTTCTCAAAACAGCCCATTCCATTTTTGGAGAGCTGTAATCATTAAGAAGTTTTTTTCTGATGTTAGGTCTAAGTTTGCCTCCTGAAACTTCTATCCATTGCTCCTGGTTTTGTCCTAATGAGCCAAACAGAACAAGTTGAATCCCTCCTCCATGGTAGCCCGTCAGATACTTAAACACAGCCATCGTCTCCTCCTTTCCACCTCCCCAGCCCAAGTCTTCTCATCTCTAGGCGAAACATGCCCAGTTCCTTCAAGTGGACTAAGGGTCCTTCACCATCCTGGTAGTCCTTTTCTGGTCACTCTCTAGGTTATCAATGTTCTTATTAAACAGAGGTATCCAGAAATAAACAGTACTCCAGAAGAGGGCATAGTACAGTGGCTATCACCCCACCCCCTTCCTGGAAACGGTGCTTCTCTTAATGCACTCCAAAATTCCATTTGCTTTTTTGGCTGCTATACCACACTACTGACTCATGTTGAGCTCATAGTTCACCAAAACCCACAGATATTTTTTCAGAACAACTGCTGTCTGATCATGCTTCCCCCCCACATCTTATACTTATGAAGTTGATTTTTTGTACCCAAGTACCAGACTTTACATTTATCCCTGTTGAATTTCATCTTGTTAGATTGAGCACAATATTCTACACTATAAAGATCTTTTTGGATCCTTGTTGTTTCAAAGGAAAATCTGTCCTCATCTGTGAGGGAAAATTCCAAATAGGAAATTGTCTCTCACAGGAAAAACTCCTAAGTTTTCATTTTTCTCAGTCCCAGTTTTACTGGATTTTTGCAGGATTCTGAGCTGAGATTACTGCCTTTCGCCAGTATGCCTGGCCATTTAGAACATTCTGGTCCCCTGGGATATCCTAGCCTAGTTATAAACAAATTCCTTTTCAATTCATTCAGTAAGCATTTATCAAGCACCTGCTATGTGCCAACCTCTATGCTAGGTATTCAGGATACAAGGAGAAAAACAAAACAGTCCCTTTCCACAAGGAGCTTACATTCTGTTTGGGGGGTAGAGGGAGAGGGAGACACAACATTGACCCAGGTAAGTCAGTTCAAATATTTATAAAGTACACAGAAAGTAATCTCTGGGGTTGGAGAAAGGCATCAACCTAGGGGGAATCAAGAGATGGCTCCTGAGCCTTGAGTGGAACTCGGATTAAGAAGTGAGGTGAGATAGAAGGGCACTTTAGGCATACGGAACAATGTGTCCTATTGTTCAGTTGAAAACAGGCTTGGAGTTTTTTAAAATGAACTTTTTTTCTGAGAAATAGTAGGGAAAGCAAACCGAGAAAACAACAAAAAGCACTGAAATGATGAATTTTCAGAACAAACTTCACCCAAGTCTGATCATTAATTGACTTGGCTGGCGTAACTCATGGGATACAGGTCATTTCACAATCTGCTTCCTTGTCTCCTTCCAGTTGTGGGTCCCCAGGTTACCTCCTCTGGGCTGTACTAAGGGCTGGTTGGGCTAAAGTCTTATCACAGCAGCAAGTTGCTTTCTGCTGGTTGATGTGTGCTGACATGAACCCTTTGTTCTGTCTCTGGTTTTGATTTTGGTAATGATAGATGCACTGCCCTTCTACTCTGCAGCTGCCTTGACCCCTGTAAGGATTGTCTGTTCTGTTCCCAGTGATTCTTTCTCTGGGCTTAGGCCATCCTGCTAAACTAGCAACTGCCTCCTTCACCCCCCTTGGATGTCTCTATGACTTCAGTCCCCAGGAAATCTTACTCTCTCCCTTGACTTATTTCTCTCTGTCTAATTCAGTCTGCTTGAAGCTAGTTCTGCCCTTTGGTGAAGCTGGGCTTCTTCATCTATGTTTCTAAGACACCATCTGGGCCTACATAACTTAACAGCTATGTGGCTGTGATGATGGGGTCCATCATTTTTCTTGGAGGCTGTCACTTTCATGTCATTCCCCGGAATGGCCAACTCTTACCTCCTATATTACATATGCTTCCTGTTTGTGCCTTCTGTGTTCCCATTTCCTGTATGAGGAGTACCCTGGCTTCTAAACCATTTGCAGAACAGAGACTCTCCATAGATCCTGAGCCCAGTGAGTGAGCAAACCTTCCCTGGCACAGGTCACCAGCAGTTCTGCTCCCCTCCCCAGGCCCTCTCTGATGATTCATTTCATTGCCTTTCCCCATATGGGAACAATTTTTCTACAGTTTAGTCACTCTAGTACTACAATGTCAAAATGACCTTACACACGTACTAACAAAAACAAATAGTTTACACCAACAATAAGAAGAGAAATGTCACCTCAATTCAATCTGCTCCAACAAGCCTTTCTCAAGAGCCCAGTCTCAAATATTCTAGCATTTGTTCTCCAAGTATTTCTCTTCTCCATAAAGGAAGGCGATCCTAGGTGCTTCCGTGTATAGGTCAAGTAACCTAGGTCTTGTGCCTGTAATTTTTCCCTCTAGGTCTCTCTCCTAGCACTGTGAGGCCAAGGAGCCCCCGACTAGATCCAAGCAAGACAGAGTCAATTCTCTAATTGCCTCATTTTCCTCTCCCTTTCTTCTTCCTTTCCATTTTAGCCCCACCTGTTATGCCTCATTTCCCACTCTCTTTACTTGGCCTCTCAACCCCAGGAACAATTAGGGAGGAGGGGGGAGGGATAAAGGAAGACTTGACCTCATAAGAAGAATGTGGAAAAAGTTGATGTTACTGTTCCAATGACTCAGCCATCCCAGAGGCAAAGGGGCTAGGGGGCAGGAGGTGTGGGCAAAAATTTGGGTCGCTGACCTTCACCCTACTCACAGGACTATGAGTCATACTAGCCAGAGAAGGGTAGGGTCAGAGAGCCAAATTAGGAGCTAGACTGGCCACAAGCTGGAACTTACGACGTCAGATTTTCTTCCTAAGTCCCTTATTACTTTTCTGAAGGTCTCAGAGACATGTCTGCCCCAATCCATCCTACCCTAGCCTTAGTTTCCTACTACTCCATTATAAGCTCCCTCCTCAAACTGGAATAAGCCTGTATTCTCCCCATGTCTGTCCCTTTGTCCACTCCACTTACCTTGAGCCTCCTTCCCATATCCACTGTGGTTATAAGGCCTGACTTGCTGGCCTTCAGAAGTAGGTATAGACAATGTTATGTACTACATAGGGCAGGTCAAGAGAACAGAAGAGGCACAGGGGGTAAGGATTTAAGGATAGGAGGGGTTGTTGCTATGAGTCATGAAAAGAGATTAGCTCAGCTACTGCTTCCTGCCTCAAAACTTGCTATTTGGAGGCGTCTCCAAGGCAACTAATATATATCCTTCTCATTGTGTGCTCCCTTCGTAATTCTGGCCCTTTCCTGCTCAGAAGTCTTGCCAAGACCAGGCCTCAAGGGCAAACTGAGGTGAAGGAGAGGACCTCTCCTTCCCTCCCTACCTCCTTTTCTAAAAAATGACTAATTTCTTTATTCAACAGTTGGCCTGACTGGTATGTGACTTAATCATTGATTAAGCAACCAGCCAAAAATAAGTGGTAACAGTGGTGGCAAAAGGAGCCAGGGAGAGAAAGATGGGGATCTGTCCACCTTGGAGCAGAGGGGGAATATGAGTCTAGGCTCTGAGATAGGCAGCCTCAGGGATTGTCTGTAGCTGCAAATGAAAATGAGGTCCCTGTGTTTGGCCTGGAGCATGACAGAAAGTACAAGCTCCTCCTATATGGTCTTCATGATAGAAAGTGTGTTGGCCCCATCTCTGCCCAGGGTAAGCAGGGACAGTTGAGAATTGGACTTTACCCACCACCCCAGATGTCAACTTAATGCCCCTGAGTAGCTATGTATACCTATATATACCTCCTTTCCATCTCTCCTGGGAGACATCAAGATCTCCTTGGTGCTGAGAGCAATGGAGAAGATGACATAGGTTGGGCTAAGGAAGAAGGCCTGGCTAGCATTCCAGCCAGACAATAGACACTAAGCATTTGCTACTGTGTGCAGAGCACTATACTAAGAACTAAAATGTAACTGAGTGATGGGGGGCTTCTACAGTGGTAAGACATGTGGCCCTTGCCCTTAGGGACATTTCAGTATAGTTGGATAGGTAAAACAGTCATCCATGAAACAATTTCAAGAACAATTACAAGCAACATTTGCAAAATAACCTATGTCAACAAGTCAAAGGTCCGTTTGTTAGGCAAAATAATATGCAGGGCCTTGAGGTTCTAAAAGGTTCTAGCTCCTAAAAGGATTCTACCTCATTTCCAGAGTGGCAGTAAAAAATGCACTTTGTAGAACTTAGGACAACATCTAAATAGCAGTTATGACTAAGCGTGGATCTCAGGTGGTCTGAGATCACTCACTTCCATTGTTACCAGCTTTTACTCTGCCTGTGTTCTCATTTTTCTAACTGTCCCAATTCCACCTATTCTTTTTTGTATTAATTTATTTTGATTTATCAACAATCACTTCCATAAGCTTTTGAGTTTTAAATTTTTCTCCCCCTCCCTCCCCAAGACAGCACACAGTCTGATATAGGCTATGCATATACATTCATATTGAACATATTTTCACATTAGCGATGTTGTAAGGAAGGATTAAAACCAATAGGAGGAACCACCAGAAAGAGAAAATAAAACTCAACAGAAGGAAAGAAAAATAGCAAATAGTATGCTTCGATCTGCATTCAAACTCCATGGTTCTTTCGTTGGATGAACTCCACCTATTCTTATCCAAGTCCTGAGCTCTGCCCACTGAGCCACCAGATAGCCTGGCTTAGGTGTCAGAAAAGCACCTTTCTCCTTAGTTCAGCTGAAACACTGTTAGAGTTTTCAGAAAGAAACTTTTTTGCTATCAGTCAGTCAACCAATCAGCATTTATTAATATAAATCACTCCTAAGTACTGGGAGATTCAAAGACCAAAAAAATTGAGATAGTCCTTTCCCTCAAGAAGCTTACATTCTAATGTGGGGGTGGGACAACATGTACACATATGAATATATACAGAAATGTCTAAAATAATACAAAATAGTTTTGGGAGGAGGTGATGTCCTCGCAGCTGGGGAGAAGGAGGAGGTAATATAGGAAAGGGGACCAGAGAAAGTTACATGAAGAAGGTGGTCCTTGAGCTGATTCTTCAAGGAAACCTGGTATTCCAAGAGCCAAAGGTTTTCTCAGTTAACTATTTCCCTTCTCCTTCTATCTGCATTGGTTTTGTTTGTGCATATACTTTTCAATTTTATATAATCAAAATTGTCCATTTTTTCTCCTGTGATCCTTTCAGTCCTTTATGTGGTCATAGATTCTTCCCCAATCCATACTTTTAAAAGGTTATTTCTGCTCTTTCCCTGCTCTTCTAATTCATAAATTAATTATGAATTATAATCATAAATGAATCCTAAAGGATGTGACCTTTTCTATCTAAATTATATATTAATTTTGAAACTTGGCTTAGAATGTGGCTTGAGATGTTTCTTCTTCTGCCAGACTTCTTCCCAGTTTTCCCAGCAGTGAGCCCTTATCCCAATAGCTGGAATCTTTAAGTTTATCAAATTCTATGCTACTAGTTTATTTCCTTCTGTGTTATATATATATACATATATATATATATATATATATATATATGTATATATATATATATAATCTATTCCACAGGTATTCTCACCAGTACCAAATCATTTTAATGATTATTGCCTTGCAGTACAGTTTGAGATCTCACAGCGCTATGCCTCCTTCCCACCCTTTTTCATTATTTCCCTTTATTATTGTTTTTCTTGACCATTTGTTTGTCCAGATGAATTTCTGTCATTGTTTTTTCTAATTCCATAAAGTAATCTTTTGCTAATTTGATTGGGAAACAAATTAGTTTAGATATTATTGGCATTATTATTATATTGCCACTGCCTAACCATAAGCAATTAATGTTTCTCCAATTATTTAGGCCTCTGTTTCTGTACAAAGTGTTCTTTAGTTTAGCTAAATCTTTTTCTATACTTCTTTCTTTGATGCAGCCCAAGAAGAAGAGACTGCAACTTCTGTGGCACCAGCTACTGAAGCCCCTGAACCGTCTTTGGGACCCCGCCTAGGAGTATTGAAAGTGACTGATGTTGCCCCAGATTCCTTGGGTCTGTCCTGGACAGTCCTACAGGATCCTTTTAACTCCTTTGTGATCCAGTATAAAGATAAGGATGGGAAGTCCCAAGCAGTGCTTGTGAGGGGAGACCAGAAACAGATCACTATCTCTGACCTGGAGCCCAACTGGAAATACACATTCCTCCTCTACGGGCTCTATGATGGGAAGCGTCTGGGCCCCATCTCTACAGAAGGCACTACAGGTGACAGCTCCTACTCCCAACAGAGCTCTAGGCCAGCGAATCAAATTTGCCTCTTGTGGTATCCCACCTACTTCCACTCATCCTTTAGCTCTAGGAAAGGGAAAGTTGGGAAATGTTGAAAACATCTGCACAAAAGTCATGAATGAGGAGGGAGAGAGCATTACAAAAAAAAAGGGGGGGTACTCCCTCATGAGAATGGAGGTTAAGCTAAAAGCATAGGTCCAATACCAAACTGAAGTCTGACAGCCTCTTCCCCTCCCTTCTGACCCCTACTCTAGGGCTGGCTCCAGCTGGGCAGTCCCCTGGCGATACTGGCCGCCTATCCCAGCTGTCTGTGTCAGATGTGACCACGAGTTCCTTCCGGCTGAATTGGGAGGCCCCATCTGGTGCCTTTGACTCGTTTCTACTTCGCTATGGGATCCCCGAGATGAAGCCTTCAGAGCCACTGTACCCGCCTCTGCTACAACGACAGCTGACCGTGCCTGGGATCCAACGTTCAGCAGTTCTTCGCGACTTGAGGCCTGGAACCCTCTATGCAGTAACACTTTATGGCCTTCGCGGCCCGCACAAGGCCGATAGCCTCCAGGGCACTGCTAGAACACTCAGTCCAGGTACTGCCTGTCATGGCCCACAGCCTCAGGGCACTACCCCTAACTTTAGCTCAGGCTCTAGGACTCTCGCCTAGGTCATAAGGCAGAAGCCCCAAGAGACAGAGGGCTTAGTCAGGAAGATGGGCAGGTGGTGGGTGGATAACAAGGTACTCCATCAGGGATGAGCAACCAGTTTCTTCTCCTCTCAAATAGTAAGGTAGGGATGGTAATTATGAGTAGACAAAGACACATGTGAAGGTGTGAGTGAGTGTGTCTTGGGCCTTTGGAGTGGGCTTTTTATAAATTTCCATTTCCATGGCCTTGAGGGAAAAAAAAGAAGGGTGAATGAGTCATATAGAAAGAAAGAGCCAATAAGAGATAGAGGACGATAAGGAAGAGAAGATTCTGGCAAAATTGCCCTTTCTTGAGCTGGAAAGGGGTCCCAATACAATCCAATAAATATTAAGTGCCTACTATGTGCCAGGCATGGGGTATTAACTGCTTTCCTTACTGATTTAGTGCTAGAAAGCCCCCGAGATCTCAAGTTCAGTGAGATCCGAGAGAACTCAGCCAAGGTCAGCTGGACTCCACCCCCAAACCGAGTGGATAGTTTCAAAATCTCCTACCAGCTAGCAGATGGAGGTAACTTGCCAGCTTATCTACCTTGACTCCATCTTGGCTTCACTTCATTTTCCTTCATCCTCTGCTACCTCTCCCTGGACCCTTCTCACCTTCCCCTATTTTCCCTTATTTTCTGTTGCCTTCCCCACATCTCTAATCCTATGGGGGGCTCCAAATGAGCTTCTCTCATCTCCTTCCCTTGTATTTCCAGGGGAGCCACAAAGTGTACAAGTGGATAGTCATACCTGGCACCACCACCTGGTGGGTCTGACCCCTGGAACCCGATATGAAGTGACTGTGGTATCTGTTCGTGGCTTTGAGGAAAGTGAACCCCTCACTGGCTTCCTCACAACCGGTGAGACAGATATGGGGGAGGAGAGGGAAAAGAAGTGGGGACAAAAGGCAAAGAGAGAAGGGAAAGGTGGATAGGAGAGAGGAATAGAGAGGAAAGAGTGAGGGATATAGAGGGAGATGAAGGAAATAAGAGGTATGTGGGTGGATGGGAGATGAGTGAAATTGTGAAATGGATAAAAGAAGAGGAAAAGATTAAAGGATGAGAAAGATAACAGGTTCAAGCTGGGGAGTATCAGGGAAATGGACGGAGATGGGGGGGAAGATGAGAGGAGATAGCTGTAAGGGGAAGAGAAAGATGGGACTAGACAGATAGGCTCAATAGAGATGGAGAGGAGACAGAGCACAAGGACCAGCTCTGTAGCTCTGTCCATCTTACTCCACCACAGTCCCTGATGGCCCCACCCAGCTTCGAGCATTGAATGTCACTGATGATTCAGCCTTGCTGCACTGGAGCCCTCCTCAGGCCCCTGTGGAAAGATATGCCCTTCGTGTCACAGCCCCAGAGGGGTGAGTTGAAGAGAGGCAGTGTGGGATACAGAGAAGTTAAAGTTTTGAATGCCTGGATCTCTGAGGGGGAAAGAGAGGACTGGAGAGTGTGGGATAGGACAGCTGGGGATCAAAGGGAACTAGTAGCTAATTCCTTCTTTTCCTCCCTAGTCCCACCTGTGATGGCCTCAGTTCCAGGCAGTGCTGTAGACTTCCCGCTGCATAATCTTCAGCTCCGGAAAAACTACACTGCAACCCTTCGAGGCTTCCGGGGTCCTAACATCACCTCCCCTGCCAGCATCACCTTCACCACTGGTATCACGAGGCCTGGGGACCAGAAAGGGGGAGATGAGAGGGAGGAGAAGCCTCTCATGTGATATGTCTGTGAGGGACCGCAGAAAGACACTGCTTAATGTCATGGCAGTAACAAGAGAAGAATGAGCTTTGCCTTCCTTTCCAGGACTGGATGCCCCACGTGACTTGAAGGCCAAAGAGGTTACCCCTCGTTCTGCCTTACTCACCTGGACTGAGCCAGAGTCCCCACCTAGCGGCTACTTGCTTAGCTATGATACTCCTGGGGGGCAGACTCAGGTATCCCCCAGCAGCTCCCTCTACCCAACCCAAACTCTTATGCCTACATTCGTTTCTGTCTGTCTTTATCTCTGTCTCTGCTTCTTCTGACTTCCTCCTTCTCCCCCTCTCCCTCTGCTGTAGGAGATTCTGCTACCAGGAGGGGTCACATCTCACCAACTGTCTGGCCTCTTCCCTTCTACTTTGTATAATGCTCGGATCCAGGCTGTGCGGGGGGAAAGTCTCACACCACCTGTGCCAACCACCTTCACCACCGGTACCTGGGGCTAGACACTGAGAGAAGAGCCAAAGAGACAAAGGGGTGGGGTGGTTGACAATGGTCCCCAAGGGGAAATAGAGGGAAAGGGGTAAAAGTAAGCCTAGGGGATGGAGCAGCCTGTGACTGATCCTGAGTCGGCCTCTTATTTAATCCCTGCTCCCTTCCACCCTAGGTGGACTGAGAATCCCATTCCCCCGAGATTGTGGAGAAGAGAAGCAAAATGGGCTAAGTAACTCCCGTGTGACCACCATCTTCCTCAATGGAAACCGTGAGCGGCCACTAGAAGTTTACTGTGACATGGAGACAGAAGGGGGTGGCTGGTTGGTGAGTTGAGGGGCATGGGCAAGGGAGACTCCCCTTGCCTAGGGAGAAAAGGGTTCTCCTGACACATGTGTTCTTCAGTCCCTTATATAAATGTTAGCTGTTCTCATTGTTATCTCATTACTTTAGGTGTTCCAGCGCAGGATGGATGGACGCACAGACTTCTGGAGGGACTGGGCAGAATACGCTCATGGATTTGGGAACATCTCTGGGGAGTTCTGGCTGGGTCCGTGTCATTACCCTTGATTCTGGATTGAGGAGAGGAGCTAAGGTTTAAGGCTGGGAGAAAGGAAGCCTTGGTCTCTAAAAAGGGATGACTATGCTTTCTTGTTCTTGGAGTTTTTTAAACTGTGTTTTCCTTTGCAACGTGGTTAATACGGAAATGTTTTATGTGACTGCACATGTATAATCTATGGCAAATTGTTTGCCTTCTCAAGAAGGGGGGAGGGAAGAAGGAAGAGAAAAAAATTTGGAACTCAAAATTTTAAAAGATGAGTATAAAAATTTTGTTTACATGTAATTGAGAAAAAATAAATAAATAAAAATTAATTGTGAAAAAAAAAAGAGGGGGATAAGGAGAGACAGAGTCAGGTATGGAATCTTGAGGCTAAGAGACTGGATGTCTTACTGGATGTCCCTTCCCACCCCAGGGAATGAGGCCCTACACAGCCTGACTCAGGCAGGTGATTACTCTATGAGAGTGGATCTCCGTACTAGCAATGAGTCTGCCTTTGCTGAATATGACTTCTTTACCGTGGACTCAGCTGCAAAGTACTACCGTCTCCACCTAGAGGGCTACCATGGTACTGCAGGTAAGATAATCCAGTCAGGTTCAGGCTGGGCAAGGGAAGGGAAGGGAAGATCCAGTCACCATCACACAAAGTTTACAAAGAAGTAGACTCTTTACCCTCCTCCTATACTCTGTCTGTTTCTCCCACCCCTTTTCCCTTCAGGAGACTCCATGAGTTATCACAGCGGCAGTATCTTCTCCACAAGGGACCGAGACCCCAATAATTTGCATATTCCTTGTGCTGTCTCCTATCGGGGAGGCTGGTGGTATCGCAACTGCCACTATGCCAACCTCAATGGACTCTATGGAAGCATCATTGACCATCAGGTGAGATGGGGTAGCCGCTCTTACAGGATGGGACGTGAGAGAGGGCCTTTGGGGAGGGGACTTGTCAAGCCTGGGATGGAACTGAAGGTAGGGAAGGCGAATGTATCATTGAGTCATGATAAGCCAAGGTTCTCTTGTGAAGAGGGAAACAGCATTGAGGAGGAAGTATAGGGTCTTGTGAATAATTGTCAGAGATCTGTGGGCTCGCTCTCATTCCTTTGAGCACAAGAGATGTGTTGAGCCCACTGAGCTAGTCAGGAGTCAGGATCAGGGTGAAACAGGGAGACCTGATGATCATGTTGTGATTTCCATCTCCCCTCTTCTAGGGTGTGAGCTGGTATGCCTGGAAGGGCTTTGAGTTCTCCATTCCCTTCACTGAGATGAAGCTGAGGCCACGAAGTTATAACCCATCTTCCCAGAGGGCTTGATTTCCCCATCTCCTGCTCTCTGATCCTGAGATACAAAAAGGAAGGCTCCCTGCCCCAGGAGCCTCCCAGACTGTCCAGCTGCTGCCCCTTCCTGGCTTATTTCAGAGAAGAGCCAGGGCCCTTATTTTCATGCCCTCCTCCTTTTCCCCAAAGAGCCAGAGTTGTACTTTGGATTTGTAGAAAATAGTTGAAGAGGGGGAATTGATGTGATCCTTCTATTCACATTACTTTCTACATTTAGTAACAATTGCCCCTGAGTGATTTGTGATTTAAAAAAAAAAACTGTCACACCTTAAGACAAAGAAACAGGCCACTTCCATAAAACTTTCAAATCTAAGTGATTATGGAAGGATATTTTTTGTAGTCAACAGAGGTCTAAGGTCTGGTGGAGATGATGTCTTGAGGCCTCAAGGTAATCTCAAATTGGCAGGTGGGTGAGGGAAGGAAGGGGAAAGATCTCTCCAGAGAACTAGTGCAGAAGGGGTAGAGGGTATCCCCCAGGGGTCTCAAGGAGGTGGAAATTCAGAGATGGCTTCCCACTGGCTAACCAGGCAGTACAAAAGGGCCTGCTGTATCAGCTCAGCTATTGAGGGTGGGGAGACAGCTCAAAACTCCACTTAGGATGGCTGACAAGTATCCCCTTTTAATATAAAAAAGTCCTATCTCAGATGATGAAAACTAGAAATGTTTGTTTGTTTTTTAATTCATAGACAATGGTTGGCTGAATGCAAGAGTGGAAGGTTTTGTATGGAGATGGGGAAGGTCAGTCTATTCAGTTTATGATGTGAAATCTGTTACATACAAGAGCTGGGGTTATACAAAAATTGGGCTGAACTGAACCTTGTCTCAATTTTGGAACCCAGGAGAGATCTTCCTGAGAGTTTAGGGGTTTAAGAGAAAAGGGTTTTCCCCTTTTGTTAAAGTTCCTTAAGGAATTTTCCTTGCCTCTGAGTAACTTAAGTCAAGGGTCACTTCCAGGACGGAGAAGGGAGGAGAGGATAGAGCCATCTTTACCTCAGTTTTTAAGAAATTACTGTTTTCCCCTTTATATTCTACATATGAATGCTGATGTAGAGGGGTGGAGATGGGGAAGTGGGGGGCTGGATTTTCACATTAAGTTGAAAAAGGCCTCAGTTTACTGATATAGCTACCTATGTGCTCTAGCAGGCAATACCAGCTCTTTGGTTCAGAGATAAAGGTTGGCACTTGGATTTATAAAAATCCTCAATAGCAAACACATTCTTAGATACACTTCTAACATTCCCCTTCCCTACCCTCAAAACAAAACAAATTGCTCCTAGATCCCAGAAAAAAAAAATAAAAAACTATTCCAGTCAATTGCAAAGAACCTTGTTTGGGGGGAGGGAGGGCAGGGGATAAGGGGGAAGAGCTGTGTACAAAGTCAATAAAAGAGAAACAGTGGTTCAAGGCCTGCATTTCAGCACTTTATTGGTGCACTCTACAGTGAAGAGCCAGAGGCTGCAGAAGTTGTCATTCTAGCCCCAGCCTCACGGGGCAGCAGTCGCACCTGAAACTCTAGGGCCTTTGTATTGACCCCAAAGATGGGCTTCAGAGAAGGCAGGGCGTGGTTGCCCTCGACTACCGGCTGCAGTGTGAAAGCCTGGAGCAGCTGGGCCAGGGTCAGGAAGACCTCTGAGCGAGCCAGGTGCTCCCCCAGGCACACCCTGGCCCCGCAGCTGAATGGGATCCCCACTGGGCTTGGTTCTGCCTCCAAGAAACGATCTAGGAGGAGAAAGGTCACTGAGAGATGAAGGTGGCCCTGGCTCACTGCATCAAGCCTCTGGCTCCCTCTGTTCTGCAGGTGCTAGGACCTGAGTAACTGGCCTTGCAGACCCCATCCCATTCCTTATCCCACCCTCCAAAGACAACTCCACCGAAGGACCCATACTGGCTCTCCTCTTCCTCTTAGGATCTAGCATTGCCCCCACCCCTCACCCCTCATTCAGATCCCAGCTCTCTGCCCATTCAGCCCCGCTCCCTTTCTTGGGCCCCTGTACCAGGCCGGAAGTCATAAGGCTGTGCCCAAACACTGTCATCATGGTGAGCACCATAGATGTTGGGGATAATAATGGTGTTCTTAGGGATGTCAAAGCCACATAAGCTGAGGAAGAACAAAAGAGTTAAAGATGGAGACACCTCTGATACAGATAACCCATCGGCGCACCCCTCCTCCCCCCTCCCTATGAAGCCCAGCCTAAACAGACGGAATTAATTACCTGGTGGGCTGTTTGGTGTAGTGTGGAATGCCCAAGGGGGCTGCAGGTCTCAGCCGGAGCACCTCAGTAATAGTAGCATTGAGCAGGGGGAACCGAGCTCTGTCTCGATAGTTGGGAGAGCTTCCTGAAAAGCCTGGCCCCAGCTCTTGATCCAATTCTTCTTGCAGCCGCCTCTGTATCTGAGGGAGGGAGGGGAGCTCTTGAGTTCTTTTCTTACTGGGCTCACTCCTAACCTACATCTTCCCCAAGGCCTCCCATCTTTGGAGTCTGGCTATAATCCCAGGGACTCCCCATTTGATGTCTTCCATCCACCTCCCTAGCCCTTGACAGGCCAGTCATCTGGGGCCACACCTCCGGATGGTGAAGCAGGAAAACCATGGCCCAGGTGAGGGTGGATGCGATGGTCTCTGTGCCACCAATGAAGAAGTCCACCAAGGCCATTTGCACGTGTCCCTCAGAAAGCTGACCTGGCCCCTCTCCTTGCTCCTTTAGTTTTTGTAACATGTAATCAGTCAAATCCCGAGTCTGTCCTTCCACCATTGTCTCCTGTTGGGAAGGCAAAGAGAGAGAGAAAGTCACTTTGGGGAGGGTCTGAGGGTGAAAGTGTGAGCAGCAACTCCCCCGGTGAAAGTGGAGGATTAGGATACAATGTGAAATACCATTCTCTACCCAACAGTTTTTGTCTCATCCCTGTTATCCGGGAGTCGAATGGTTCTTAGATTCTCTCATTTCCCGGAGTTGAGTCCCAGCTCTTCAACTAATCGGCTTCATGACACTGAAGGTACAACTCCTCTGCTCAGCCATTCAGCTGTCATCACCAAAAGTTTTCTCACTACTTCCTCAGCCCCCCATCCCACATTTTTCTTCACTCACCCAGGCACAGAAGAGGCTTTTCACTGTAGTTTATTAGCAGTTTAGGGAAGAGACAGTGTGGTACAATAGAAAAAGAATTGGCTCTAAGCATCCACCTGGGTTCAAATCCCAATTCAGAAATGCCCTGTGTGACTTTGGGCAAGCCATCTAACTTCCAAAGGCCTCAGTTTCCTCAACTGTAAAATGAGAGGATTGAAATAGCTGGCTTTTAAAGTCCTTTCTAGCTCTATGATATTAAAGGTACATAAAAATATACGCCTTAAAGAGCGTTACACAAAGATTGAATTACAGAGCCCAGGGATGCTATTCTGGGACCCCTACCCTAAAATGGCCATGTTGGGAGCCTTATCCTTGGCTTTTTGTGGCATCAGTAATTTTGTTTCTGGGAGGATCATAGTATTATTTAAGGTTGAAAAGGACCAATCACCCAATGTCCTACAGATAGAAAAGTGTATGTAGTCCAGGAATGTGGTGACTTCCCAAGGGCATGTGGTCTATAGCAGATCTAGAGCCTGAACATTATCTCATGTTGCACCAATGTTCCCTTCTTTATTACCCAAAACCAAGCTCCTGTAGCTCCTTCCAGTTTTAGGGGAAGAGTTTCCTGGGGCCATGATGCCTCTGTATTCTTGGCAACGTTAGCATGTCTCCTGCTGTCCCAGAATTCATGCCCCAGCCACATCCCAGGACTTCATTCAATAAATACTTAATGACTATGTACAATTCTCTACAAAACACTAAACAAGGGCCATTTCTTCATAAATGCAGCTCATGAAGTGTATTGTGCGGAGAAGAGAGGATAGAAACCTGCCTGGCAATTGCTGAAGGGAAGAATTGGTGCTAACCAGCAATCTCATAGAATATAATTCCTTTACCTTGTGCCACCTCAACTGCTTCTGCACAATCTTGTCCCGTTTCTTTATTATCCGCCTCAGCTTCCTGAGACCTGGGTTGGGAAAAAACTGGAGAGAGGAAGTAGTTGTATCCTCCTTCTCTTCCTCCCTCCTCACCTCTGGGAAGCTAGGGTATCAGCCCTTCAAAGACCTAGATATTTTATCCTTCTGCCCAAGACATCCCTCTCAGCCTGGGTCCCTGGGGTCTGTATTCCAGAAACCTTACCCTGAGAAAGGGTAGGATGTCCAAAATCTGGACTTGCCGAGAGTCCCAAGCTACCATCAATTCCTTGACACAGTTGCTAATTTCCTGAACTGAAGACTCTGTCTGTCAAAAAGGGAGGAAAATTCCTTTGCTCAGACTCCGTCTGATCCCTCTTGGGGATCAGGGTGGTAGCAAAGAGAAGTGGAAGGGAGAATAAGATTGAGAAGGGGACAGAAGTGGGAGGATAGGATTAAGGGGAAATGACCAGAGGGTGCCTAAGAAAGTGAATAGGGCTGAGTAACTTACCTTTTCCCCAAAACTGAGGAAGCAGATGATGCTACAAGTGAATGTGAAAAACTCCTCAGATATGTTCACAGGAGAGCCAGCCTGGGCAAGGAGCCTCTATGGAATGAAGGGGTATTAAGAAGGTTAGAGGAGGCCTCGTTACTATTACAACAAGCAGAGGGGTGACATTGGAGAGGTATAATCTCAACCAGTTATAAGTAGGGATGGTGATGTAGAAGGAGGGCAGCATGAAGTCCTAGAACTCAACTTAAGCAGGTAGCAGTCTTCTCACCTTACATAAGTCCTGTACCATCTGCTCCACAAGAGACTCCATATTATTCTGGACATGAAGAAGAGCAGAACGAGCCAGCTTCCTTTGGGCCTTCCAGAGTGGTGTGTAATCCCCAAGAGACAGGTCCTGGCCAGTCTTACTTACCAGTTGGACTGGGGAGATGGAGAGGACTGTACTGAAAAACACTGGAATCTAGAAATCGAGAACCCCAGGCCCAAGCTTTCTGCTTCCAACAGCCCCTGCTTCCTTGAGAGTAAATATTCAGCTAGTTCTCAGCTCTACCACTTTTTCCCCAACTGGGCCTACCTTAATAATCTTAGCTCTTTCCCCCAGTCCTTACTACAATAAAGAATACAATAGTCCTTTCCCTCACCGGTGAATGTTTGGGGTCTCCCTGAAAAATCCATCCATTTCTTGATAAAGGCCTCCTCAATTGCCTTCTTGGAGTTCAGGACCACTACATCTAAAGGAGAGGAAAAAAGGACAGTTTCAAAATAAAGTTTCTTGGGTTCCAGGGAGACCTGGGGGACTGTCCAAATAGAGAAGACTGTCTCCTTACCTTGAATCCCAAGGTGCAACCGATAAAGTGGCCCATATTTCTGTGCAAGGCTCAGAAAATGGCTTGGGAGATCAGCTTGAATGAGGTGTAGAAATCCAGGGACTAGAGGTGGGAAATGATGGGGTGAGACAGTCAGCTGTATCCATAGCCACCCTAGGGTAGCTAGCAGGACTAGCAGCAGTACCACAGAGAGCAGCATAGCACAGGAAGGCAAACAAGAGAGGGAGGCAAAAGGCCAAATATAACCTCCACTGGACATCTTCCCTCCTCCCCTTGGGCATCATTTATCACCTTGGCTTTGAACTGTCTTTGGGACTGAGTTATGCTTCTTCCTTCCTTCCCCTTCCTGGATTTGATTGTCAAAAAATTTTCCAGGAACCACTGTAAAAAATTTCACTTCTCTAGTCTTGGAGAACCATCTATCAATCAAGGACAGAACACAGTGTCCTTGAATCCATACTTCTAGTTTGCATCTTGTGTAATCTCAGACAAGGCTACAAGCAGAGAAATGGGCACCCCTACCATCTCCATAATTTTCCCCCTTTACTTTGTCTGCCCTCTTCTAGATCTCTCCAGTGAGGCAGAGATGTCCTTGTACAGAATTATCCCCAAACATAGCCAATACAAAGAAATATAGTTTGCTGATCCTTCAAATGAGGAAAATCATAGGGATCCTATCTAGCTTCTAGGGTTGTCCTGAGAAATAATTAATATGAAAGGGCTCTTCAAAAGAAGTTAAAATGCAGAAATCACAATACACAGAAACTGAACACTAGATAATTAGAATGATCAAGCGTGGTCCCATAGAAGGGTGAAGAATTTTCTCCTCTGGGGAGAGAGGGGGAGAAAAATTTAAAACTCAACAAAAAAAAAGAAAAGAAAGAAATTTCTCCTCCTTCCTTTCTCTGCAGAAGTGGGAGACTATAGCTGTGACATATTATTATAGGCTATCAGATATGGCTGAAGTATTGGTTAATTTGACTAAACTGCTTTTTCCTGTTTCCATTTTGCTCTTTATTCTAAGGGAAGATCCAAACATGAGGGAAAGATAAGAGAACCCGTGTATTTAGAAAGAAAGAAAGAAAGAAGAAAGAAAGGAAGGAAGGAAGGAAGGAAGGAAGGAAGGAAGGAAGGAAGGAAGGAAGGAAAGAAGGAAGGAAGGAAGAAGAAGGAAAGAAGGAAAGAAGGAAAGAAGGAAAGAAGGAAGAAAGAAGGAAAGAAGGAAGGAAGGAAGATTAAAGCACAGAATCCACAGATTCACAGACACCCAGAATGACAGCACTACAAGAGGTCTTAGAGACCACCCAGTCCAATCCCCTGACTTAACTGATTGTCAACTATACCTTCTTTTTCTTTCAGACATTTTCTAGAATCCACCCTTCTCCCCACTATACATCACAGTTTTTGTCTCATACATTCCTTACACAAACACTAATAATTACATATAATTCCTACCCACAGGAAGGTGAGGGCCGCCTGGTCACCCCCAAACTTGGACAACGGCAGGAATAAAAATAACACAGCAGTTTAGAGATCTACAGCTTTCTCTCAGTAACTTTGTAAAATAGGCTGGACAGGTATTATTACCTCAGTTTTCCAGATGAGGAACCTGAGTATCAGTGAGATTAAGTAGGGTCACTTGTGTAGAGTCACTTAGCGATAAAGCTAAGACTAGAATTCAAACCTTCCACTGCCAAGGCCAAAATCAGTCTTTTTTTTTTCCTTTTCTTTTTGGTGAGGCAATTGGGGTTAAGTGACTCGTCCAGGGTCACACAGCTAGTAAGTGTTAAGTGTCTGAGGCTGGATTTGAACTCAGGTTCTCCTGACTCCAAGGCCACAGCACTATTCGCTGCACCACCTAGCTGCCCCCAAATCAGTCTTTTGTCAGAGCTCTCCTCCTGACTCCTTGGGAGAATTCTGGATTCTTTGGCTCATAGCCCCCACTCAAATAGTTAGAAAGCTTTCTGTCTGACAGTACTCTATGTATTGCCACCAATTTCCAAGGCTTAAAAAATAAACAAGCTTATTTATACATTAATGAAAACAAACAGAATTCTTCTTTAGAAGCTGCAGGTTATTAAGTCTTTTTCTCTTCCTAGAAAAAAAGGCATTACTAGGATAAGCATTCATGTAGCTCCTTGCCTTTCCATCTTCTAGGCATTTTAGGAAGTAACCTCTGACATTGTCCAGTTGAAACCAGCTGAAATAATAGAGAATAAAAAGATGACTGGGGAGAATGTGAAGGGTACACTTTTGTGCCCTATAGAATTGAAGCTGGAGTCATATGCTAGAGAATCTGGTTCCTGTCGACCCCTGGCAGACTTCTTAAGTGTGAGACTCGGGCTTATGGAGAGTACTACAAAAGAAAGCTTCAGAAAAACAAAAACACTCTAGTCAGGAGGTAGTTCTTGAGCTATAAATGAGTGTTCTTCCCTAAAGGCTAGTACTAAGAGACTTATTTCCCTGAAAATTAACTCAGTGGATGTCTGGTCTTCTGATCAAAACCAGCTCCTTTTACCACCTCAAAAAAAAAAAAATATATATATATATATATATGTGTGTGTGTGTGTGTGTGTATGTATATTTATGGCAAATGTAAGAAAAAGATTGACAGTTAAAAAAGGAGAATAAAATTAAAGTCTTAAAAGTAACTTCAATGGTCATATCCTTGATTTTGCCATCACCTGCAAATATACCAACACCATGTTTAAGAATTCTGAAATCTCTTCATCTGACCATAATCTATTGGCTTTTCACCTCTCCAACTGCATTCCCTTACAAAACCATCCTCTATGCCCATACTGCAATCCCTTGACCTCTCACTTCTATATTAGATCATCACCCCTGCATCAGCCACTCTCCTCTTTTCCCCATCTTGAAACTTTGCTGAACAAATTCATTTCTACATTGTCCCTTCTCTTGAATCCCTAGCTTTGCTGATTATTCCCTGTCAAACCTCGGTCTTGGCTCACTCCCACCTTTGGGGGGGATTCCCAACTTTGCTTTGACACATATGCTGCTGAACAAAGTAGAGAAAAGAATGCACCCATTTGGAATGAGTCTACCACAAATTTATGTTACACAACCTCAACTGGGCCCTCACTGCTGCTAGGCAATGCTGCTATGCCTTCCTTATCAATGAGTTATCCTACTCTCCTCTGTAGCTCTTCCAAACCTTTTCATCTCTCCTCAAACTTCCTATGGCTTCCCCTCCCCACCTCTCAGCTACTCTGTCCTCCATCTCTGTCACACATGATGAGGTGGCTATACTCCTTACAAAGGCTAACCCCTCTACCTGCTCAAACAATGCCATTCCATACTATTTCCTCCAACAAAATGTCCCTTCCGGCATCCCCACTCGGTCACTTATTTTTGGTTTCTCCCTGTTTACTGGCTCATTCTGTTGCCTACAAACATGCTCATGTCTCCTCCATCCTAAAAAAAAAAAACACCATTTTTCCAGCCTTGCTAACTTTCATCCTATATTTCTTCTGCCCTATGTTGCTAAACTCCTTGAAAAGGCTTCTTTCTCTCCTCTCACTCTCTCATAAGCCCTTATAACCTGACTTCTTACCTTATCATTCCACCTGCCCTTTTTTAATAATTAATTTATTTTTAGTTTTCAACATTCATTTCCATAAGATTTTGAGTTTTAAATTTTTTCCCTCTCCTCCCCCTGCCCCAAGATGGTGTGCAATCTGATATAGGATCTACTTACACATTAATATTTAGCATATTATTCATTAGTCATGATGTAAAGAAGAATTAGAACTAATGGGAGGAACCGCAAGAATGAAGAAGCAAAACAAAACAGCCAAAGAAAAGGAGAGCAAATAGTATGCTTCCATCTGTATTCAGACTCCAAAGTTCTCTCTCTGGATGTGAATAGCATTTTCCATTGTGAGTCTTTTAGAGTTGTCTTAGATCCTTGCATTGCTGAGAAAAGCCAAGTCTACCAAAGTCAGTCCACATAATGTGGCTGTTACTGTGTACAACATTCTCCTACAACATTCTGCTCACTTCACTCAGCATCAGTTCATATAAGTCCTTCTGGGTTTTTTTGAAGCCCACCTCCTCATCATTTCTTATAGTACAATAGTATTCCATTACATTCATATACCACACCCAGCTGATGGTCACCCTCTCAATTTCCAATTCCAATTCTACCACAAAAAGAACTGCTATAAATATTTTTGTGCATGTGGGTCCTTTTCCCATTTTTATGATCTTTTTGGGATACAGCCCTAGAAGTGCTATTGCTAGGTTAAAGGGTATGCATGGTTTTATAGCCCTTTGGGCATAGTTCCAAATTGCTCTCCAGAATGGTTGAATCAGTTCACAACTCCACCAACAATGCATTAGTGTTCCAATTTTCCCATATCTTCTCCAACATTCATCATTTTCCTGTTTTGTCATGTCAGCCAATCTGATAGGTGTGATGTGGTACCTCAATGTCGTTTTGATTTATATTTCTCTAATCAATAGTGATTTAGAGTATTTTTTCATATGACTATGGATAGGTTTAATTTCTTCCTCTGAAAACTGCCTGTTCATAACCTTTGACCATATATCAGTTGGGAGAAAAAAAGGAGGCAGCTAGATGGTGCTGTGGATAGAGCGCCAGCCCTGGAGTCAGGAGGACCTGAGTTCAAATCTGACCTCAGACACATAACACTTACTAGCTGTGTGACTCTGGGCAAGTCATTTAACCCCAATTGCCTCACTAAAACAAACCCAAAAAAAATTGTCAATTGGAGGATGACTTGTATTCTTATCAATTTGACTCGGTTCTCTATATATTTTAGAAATAAGGCCTTTATCAGAGACGCTGGCTATAAAAATTGTTTCCCAGCTTTGTGCTTCCCTTGGTTGCATTGGCTTTGTGCAAAACCTTTTCAATTTAATATAATCAAAGTCATCCATTTTGCATTTCTTAATGTTCTCTATCTCTTGTTTGGTCATAAATTCTTCCTTTCTCCATAGATCTGACACCACCTGCTCTTTAACTAATGATCTTAGCTGCCAGATCCAATGATCTTTTGTCAATCCTCATTCTCCTTGACCTCTCTGCAACCTTCAACACTGCTGATCACCTTCCTGGATACTCTTTTCTCTCTAGGTTTTTGAGACATTACTCTCTTTTTGTTCTCTTCCCACAAATCTGGCCACTCCTTTTCAGTCTTCTCTCTGGATCCTCATTCAGATCACGCCCTCTAACTATAGGTATCCCTCAGCATTCTGCCCTGGGCCCTCTTCTCTTCTCCCTCTTTACTACTTCACTCGGTGATCTCTTCAGCTCCCATGGACTTAATTACCATCTCTAAGCTGATGGTTCTCAAATCTACCTATCCTGTCCCAACCTTCCTACTGACCTCCAATCTCATATCCCTAACTACTTTTCAGAATCTCAAACTAGATGGTGGTCCAATATCTTAAACTAAACATGGCCAAAACAAAACCCTAAACCCTTTCTCTGCTCACCTTCCCTGTTACTATAGAGGGCGATGCCATTCTCCCATCCTTCTCGCTCCCAACCTAGAAATCATCCTGGATCCCTCATTATCTCTCACCTCACCTCTCCCCTCCCCCCATATCCAAACTGTGACAAAGGTCTGTTGGTTTCCCCTTTGCAACGTTTCTCAGATATGCCCCCTTCTCTCCTCTGACACTTCCACCATTTTGCTGCAGGCCCTCATCCCCTCACACAGTGCAATGGCCGTCTGGTGGGTCTACCTGCTTCAAGTCTCTCCCCATTCTAATCCAGCCTCCATTCAGCCACCAGTGATTTTTCTTTTTTTTTTTTTTGTTTGTTTGTTGGTTTTTGGTGTTTTTTTTTTGGCTAGTCAACGTTGTTAAGTGACTTGCCCAGGATCACACAGCTAGTAAGTGTTATGTGTCTGGGGCTGAACTTGAACTCAGGTCCTCCTGAATCCAGGGCCAGTGCTCTATCCACTGTGCCACCTAGCTGCCCCCAGTGATTTTTCTGAAGTATAGATCTGATCATGTCACTCTCCCTACTCAGTAAACTCCAGTGGCTCCCTATTGCCTTCAGGATCAAATACAATATCCTCTGGTATTCAAAGCCCTTCATAGCCTGGCCTTCACCCTGTGATGAATGAATTCAAAAAAAGACATTCTGATCTCACTCAGTATGCCTGCAATTTGACCTTGACTCTTTTTTTCATATTAATCTCATTGCTCTATAGACGTTGAAGGACTCTTTATAGTATTTGCTCCCAGGAAGGGCTGTCCACCCATCCAGGAACAGGATATTCATAAACAGGAATATTCTCAAGGATAGTTTGGAGATCAGCTCCTTTCCCACAGATCTCGTATTTTTTGGCAAATTGACTTCTTTGATAGAAGGAACTACTAAAAGTGTGTAGACCTGACTTTATCTTTGAAATCTCCCTCAAGGTACAGATGTGTAGCCTGGGATTTTCCCTCTGGAACCCTGGAGGCTGACAGCCGGGACTCCCTAGCCCATGTGGTCCAGATGTAAATGGTTCCCCTGATGGTGATGATTGATTGTGACAAGATTTGATGCCGATTGAGACTTAAATATGTTATTGTTATCTATTGGGACTTATTAACTCTAACTCTATTCTACTTATTAATCTTAATAATAAATACTTTTACTATACACTTATATATAAATCAAACTTAAGACTCTGTGTCATTTCTTTTTTTAAACTTTATTAATTTATTTTGAATTATCAACAATCACTTCCATAAGCTTTTGAGTTTCAAATTTTTCTCTCCCTCCCTTCCCACCTCCCTCCCCAAGATGGGGTGCAATCTGATATCGGCTATACATATACATTCCTATTAAACATATTTTCACATTAGTGACATTGTAAGTAAGAATTAGAACCAATAGGAGAAACCACCAGAAAGAGGAAACAAAACACAACACAACAAAAAAATAGCAAATAATACGCTTCAATCTGCATTCAAACTCCATAGTTTTCTTCCTTGTGGATAGCATTTTTCATCACAAGGCCTTTGGAGATGTCTTAGATCCTTGTATTGCTGAGAAGAGCTAAGTCTTTCAAAATTAGTCATCGCACAACATGGCTGTTACTGTGTACAATGTTCTCATAGTTCTGCTTACTTCACCCAGCATCAGACCATACAAGTCTTTCCAGGTTTTTCTGAAGTCTGCCTGCTCATCACTTCTTATAGCACAATAGTATTCCATTACATTCATATACTACAACCTGTTCAGCTATTCCCCAATTGACGGGCGTCCTCTCAATTTCCAATTCTTTGCCACCACAAAAAGAGCTGCTATAAATATTTTTGTACTCTGTCTCATTTCTAAACCAATCCCAACCAAAACTAATTTAAGCTGTAGTAAATAAGGCTGCTTTGAAATACACCCCCCTACTTTTTTAGTCTTCTTACACCTTACTCCCCAATACATCCTCTGATCCAGTGACTCTGGACTCCTGGCTGTTGCCTCTCTTAGCTCTGGGCATTTTCTCTGCATGTCCCCTATGTCTGGAATATTCTCCCTTCTCAACTCCACATACTGACCTTTCTGACTTTCTTTAAGTCCCAACTAAAATTCCATCTTTTACAGGAAGCCTTTACCAACCCCTCTTAATTCTAATATCTTCTCTCTGTTAATTACTTCTTCTTTATCCTGTATATAGCTTGTTTGTACATTTTTGTTTGCTTGCTTTCTCTCCCCTTAGATTGTTAACTACTTGAAGGCAGGGATTGACTTGTCTCTCTCTCTCTTTTTTTTTTATCCTAGCACTTAGCACAGTGCCTGGCACATAGTGGGTACCTTTATTGATGGATGAATGGATGGAAAAAAGAAGAAACAACAAAGGGCTGGACCATCAGTTTCCCAAAATGCTTGCCCTTTGTCCCCCATACAGGCTTTGCAGAGACAGCTTTGGACTGTGAATGTCTGCTATCAGCTTGAAGCTTCCTGGTACCATCCCAAGACACTACATTGAGAGGACTCTAAATGACAATGGTTCCAATAGTTAAGAAACAGTCAAGAAAAGTTTTGAAGTAATAACATGTGAGAAGGACCTTTATCAGCCACCTGTAGAGGAGCTGCCTCTCAGCAGTGATTTAACTGGATTCCCCCCTCCTTTTTTTTTTTACTAAAGATAATAAAATGTATATAAACAACAGTACTAAAGCAGCAAGATATAAAATAATCTTACAAAAATGAGCAGCCTTTCTGTATATTGCCAACAAAACTCAGCAGGAGGAGACAGAAAAAGAAATTCCATTCAAAACAATCATGAAATGTACAAAATATCTGGAAGTCAATTAATAAAAGGACAAAAATAATTAAACAATTCCTGCTCTTGAAGACCTTATATTTTATCAGGGAAGATAGCATGTACATATGTAAATAGATGCAACATAAAAATAAGAAGGACAGTTAGTGAAATGGTGCACTCATTAGCACTTGAAGTGATCAGGAAAGGCATCATGTAGAAGTTAGCGACTAGGCTTACATCTTGAAGGAAGTGAGGGATTCTACTAAAGAAAATAAATGAAGGCAAATAATTACAGTTAAAAATACATAGCAAAACTATATTTTGGAGAACTTAGTATACTTTAGGAAAGATAATTTTAGAAAGTTTTAGAAAGCCAAATCTAAAAAAATAAATAAACGAGAAGTTAAGGACTTGCATAGAATTTTACAACTGTTAGGCATGATAGAGCATTAACAATTATTTAATGGAAATAGAAAGGAATATTGATCATCTCATTGTGCATAGCACAAACTGACTATGTGCTAGACCATTAAAACCTCACAAACAAATGTAGAAAAGCAGAAATATTAAACACATGATTTATTGACCACAATACAATAAAATTATAGTCAATAAAGGGCATCTGAAGAATATATTCATACATAAAGAAGATTAAATAATTTAATCTGAGTGAATATGTGGGTCAAAGAACAAATCACTTAAACAATAGATAATTTCATCAAAGAAAAGGACAACAATTAGAGAATACACTAAAACTTTTAAGATGCAGTCAAAGCAATCCTAAAGGGAAATTTTATCTCTCTATACACCTTCATCAACAAAAGGGGAAAAAAATTACTAAACTGGACATTCAACTGAAAAAAAAATACAAAAGCAACAAATCAAAAAACCTCAAACTAAACACCAAAGTAGAAATCCTAAACATCAAAAAAGAGATTAACCAAATTAAAAGAAAAAACTGTTAAAATGGTAAGTAAAACTAAAGTCTACTTTAAAAAAATAAAATACAAATACCATTAGCTCATTTATTAAAAGAGAAGAAAACCAAGTTTCCAGCGTCAAAAATTTTTAAAGGACATTCTAGGACAGTGATTGATTAAAAGGGATAGTGAATATAAAACCAGAATTTTTTTTTGTGAGACAATTGGTGTTAAGTGACTTGCCCAGAGTCACACAAGCTAGTGAGTGTTATTTGTCTGAGGTCAGATTTGAACTCATGTCCTCCTGACTCCCGGGCTAGTGCTCTATCCACTGCACCACCTAGCTGCCCCAAAACCAGAATTTTTTAATCTTCCCTTCAGGATACAGAAATATAGTATCTATAGGTGACAGCTAGGTGACACAGTAGTTAGAGTACTGGATTCAAAGTCCAGATAATCTGAGTCTAAATCCTGTCTCAGAAACTAATTGTGTAATCCTGGGCAAATCACATAATCTCTCTTAGTTTCAGTTTGTTTATCTGTTTATTCAGTTTGTTATTCAACAGGGAAAAGAAAAAGCATCTACCTCACCGTGCTATTGTGAAGATCAGGTAAAATAACATATGTAAAATGCTTTGCAAACCTCAGCTGTGTAAAACCTAGCTGTAATTGTGCTGCTGCTTTCCCTTCAAGGTCCTTGGAGAAGAATTAGGTTCTTTCAGGGAGATTGTGGGGACCCCTTCAGGTTCTCTCCTCAGAATCATGATGTTAAAGGCCAAGCTGCTTCTGGACTTTAACATCCTCTTCTGAGTGGTCCTGCCCAAATACCTTCATCACCTTCTTTGGATTGTTATCCACCACTACATGTCTATCTAAATCCAGATCAACAAGCAGTTTAACCAGGATCAGGTATCAACCAAGCCCTAATTTGAAGCAGTGTCTTCAGGGAAAATGGAAAATACATTCTTAAGTCTTCTCCTATGCCCTATACATTCCCTATGTCTTTCTTGACATAAACGTATTTTTTGGATCAAGTGAAATAATATTTGTAAAGCATTTAGCTCAGTCCCTGGCACATGGTAGGCTCTTAATAAATGCCTATTCTCATGTCGTGTACAGTAGCAGCCGCATTGTGCGATAACTAACTTTGATAGACTCAGCTCTTCTCAACAACGCAAGGACCTAAGACACCTCCAAAAATCTCATGATAGAAAATGCTATCCACATCCAGAAAAAGAACTATGGAATCTGAATGCAGATTGAAGCATACTATTTGCTCTTTTTTTCCTCCTGTTTTGTTTCGTTTCTTCTTTCTTGTGGTTCCTCCTATTGGTTCTAATTCTTCTTTACATCATAATTAATGTGAAAATGTTTAATAGGAATGTGTATGTAGAGCCTATATCAGATTGCATGCTGTCTTGGGGAGAGAGGAGGGGAGGGGGAGGGAGAAAATTTAAAACTCAAAAGCTTATGAAAGCAAATGTTGAAAACTAAAAATAAATAAATAATGATATATTTTAAAAAATAAATACCTGTTCTCTTCCCTTTCCCATAAACCCTAAGGATGATTTTTTTTAATGAAAAGAAAGATAATGACTATCTCTGGTAATAGCTCCCACAATTCTCACAGGCACAAGAAAAAGAAATGTGACAAGTGTTTTCTTACGATTCTTATTAGTGGATAAATGAATCTGATCTTTTCAAGACTTGTCATGACCATTGTCCTCTTTCTTCTAACCTTCCAGTTTAAACCCACATGACATCAAGAACTGAATTGCTCACTTTGGACATATGCTGGTTGAATTTTGGGTTCCTGTGCTTCCTCAGTGTCTCTGGACTTTGAAGCATTTTTTTCCACCGATTCTGAACCAAGATAATGCTGGTGGGTTAACTTTGGATGAAGCTAGATCAAAGGGCAGGAGCAAGTGCAGCCATGCCCCAAATACCAAAAAAGCTTTTAAGACAGAGTCAGGAGCTTTGGAGTTAACTAATTAGCAGGGGCTGTTAGAAGATGTCAAGGAGAAGTTCAAGGCCATAGAATCTCCACTTTGAAGGCACACTCAAAGAGGAACTATTGTTGTATGTTTTCTGAAAGCTAAGCTGGTTAAATAACCTTTGACATTTTTTGCAATGCTGGGGAGTGTTTAATGTCATCCTTTCTCTCTCTGCGTGTGTGTGTGTGTGTGTGTGTGTGTGTGTGTGTGTGTGTGTTTGAAAAGCTCAGAATAAACAAGATCACGTGTTCAGGGGGAGAAGGCAGTTGGCAGAGGGGTGGGGACCTAATCTGTAGAAAATAGGAAGCTATCAAGAAAAAAAAATACTTCATTTGGGCTAAGATGAGCATTACCATAATTTTGGAAACAGAAAATCTCAGCAATTTATAGATAAGAGGCAAAAACAGTGACAGGCAACAAATTGCCTATGTAGGCAGAGTAATCATAATCATAATCATAATCATAATCATAATCATAATCATAATCATAATTCTGTTGCTTCCCAACAGATAACTTTTTGCTTCTAAATTGATTATTGCCAGGGAAAATAGCTTTAAAATGCATTCTGGAAAGATGATAGAGTTTTTGCTTTAAGGGGTGGCAGCTTTCCTTGAAGAGTTTACTCATAAATATTAGGTTCTAGAAGAGAAAATCTTCACATAGGAAGCTAGTATAAATATGTATATACATTCTCCAGCAAGCCTTGTATGTTTACCTTCACAGAGAAAGGATGGCATGTTCAGTTACAAATAACCTAAATTCTAAGCTTGTCGCTACATACCAAACAATTCAAAAACCAGACCAGACTTTATGGAATGCAACAGTTATAACTTAGGTGGCATGAACAAAGGAGACAATTCAGATATTGTATCCCTGTTAATTAAGCTCCCTCACTGGATATACTTTGTATTCCTATCATTTTAAGGAAGGTAACAGGGAAGCAACATAATGTATTTCATTTTCCATGTGATGCTTGAAGTCATTAGGCTTATGAAGGGACACCTGTCTCATTTCTTATTAGAGGCAACTGGTGGCACAGGGGATAGAACTCTGGTCCCGAAGTCAAAATGTCTGGGTTCAAATATTATCTCAGACACTTAGTAGCTGTGTGACTCCGGGCAAATTATTGAACCTCTGTCTGCCTCTATTTCCTCAATTGTAAAATGAGGACAATAATAGTGCCTACTTCTCAGGGTTGTGAAAATCAAATAAGATAATATTCATAAAGATACTTGGCATAACATACTAGATATTCAACAAATGCTTTTCCCCTTCCCTTATTAGAATGTAAATACTTGATCATTCTTTAATCCTTTTCAATAGTTCCAATGTATTTACTCTTTTAAGTTTCTCTTGATTCTTGTATTTAAATTCAAATTTCTACTCAGCTCTGATGCCTTCATTATGAATGCTGAAAAGTCTTTTACTCCAGGAGTGGCAACAGAGGGAGAACTGGTTTCAGAGCCAGGAAGACCTAGGTTCAGTTCCTATCTCTGACATATACTGGCCTTAAGACTCTCAGGAAGTCATTTAATCTCAGTGCTCTAGATAAACTCTCTAAAACTGTAACTTACAATGAAAGTGGAAGCATTGGTAGCAAGCTCAGCCTATCCTTATGCCTAGGATTACCCTCACTTGTATAGGGTAAGTTATTCTTGGTTGTAAACTTTTACCTTTTGCCTTTTGGAATATCATGTTCCAAGATTTCTTTTCCTTATAGTAGTAGATGCCCGGTCTTGTATGATCCTGACTATGGTTCCTTAGTACTTGAATTCTTTCTTTCTGGATATTTGTAGTATTTTTTTTTCTATCTGGAAATTCTACATTTTGGCTATGACATTGTTTGGGTTTCTTTCAAGAAGTGACTGCTTAATTCTATTTTTACTTTTCTCTCTGCTTAGAACAAATCAGGAAAGTATTTATTTATGAACACCATGGTATCCAGGTACTTTTCTTGTCATGGTTTTCAGGGAATCCAATAATTACTCAATTATCTCTCCTTAACGTATTTTCTAGATCAGTTATTTTCAATAGTTGATAAATTTCATTTTCTTCTATTTTTCAGTCTTTTTATTTTGAGCTAATATTTTTCACTTCATAGAAAAACAGTTCTATTTAGTTAATTTTAATTTTTAGGGAGCCCAGTACTTGAATAATATTTTTTAACCTTCTTTTCTAAGCTATTTATTCTCCTTCCAATTTTTTTCCTCCAGAGCAGTTACTTCATTTTGTTTTCTCTTGCTTCATTTTTTCCCAGGAGTTTTTGTAGTTCTTTTAGTTAAGCTAAAGTTTTTTTTTCTTTTCTGCAGAAGCTTTGCTTATAGTTGTTATGGGGTTACTTTCTTCTTCTAATAGCTATTGTTCTGGGTTTTCCTCCCTAGCAGCTCTTGACTCACAATATTTCTTCACAGAGTTCAATGTTTTCTTCTGTTCACTCACATCTCTGGCCTTAAGTTCCTGATTTGGGATTTGTGTCAAAGCCAGGTTTCCCTCCCCTTCCACCCCCCACTGCTTTCATTCTTGAATGGGGTCATCAGTCCTGTTTGATACCGAACTTGATTTCCCGTCTTGCTGCTGATTTCCCTTCCTGTCATGAGTCTGGACTTAGAGTTCTGTCAGGGTTCAGTGTCCCAGTCAGAGCTCTTTGGCTAGCTGTCCCCAGGCCAGGCACCATCCCAGACTATGGACTTGCAGAGTTTTCCCATTCAGGGCATTGCCTCTTTTATGCATCTATATGCTTAAAGGAAAAGGGAAGTAAATGACAGGAAGAACTACACAGTTAAACAAGGATTGTTGCGGACTAGAATGTGCTTCTTTTCTGTTTTAGACAAATGTGCCAGAAAGATAAATAAATAAGTTACAGATTTGAATTGAACATGTTAAAAAAAAATTACATGTGACAAACTTTGACAGTTTTTGAACGGATATTTTAATGAGTATGCCAATTTTTCAGCATTGCAGAGTAACTTTACAAAAATTGACCATGGGCTATGGCATAAAGAAAATAAATGGCAAAATCAAAATTATTGAACGCATTCTTTATTTCTGTGGTTGAGTTGTTTAATCAGTTGTGTCTAACTCTGTGATTCCCTTTGGTGTTTTCTTGGCAAAGATACTGGAGCAGTTTGCCATTTCCTTCTCCAGCTCATTTTACAGATGAGGAACTGAGGCAAACAGGTTAAGTGACTTGCCCAGGGTCACACAGCTCATAAGTGTGTGATTACAGATTTGAATTCATATCTTGCTGACTTCAAGCCCAGTGCTTTATCCACTGCACCACCAGCTGCCCAGATGTTCTTTATGGACTTCAATAAAATAAAATTGTAATTGGTAGGGGAAATAAGAACAAAAATTTCAGACTTAGATACTAAATAATGTTGTCCTAAAGATGAAGAGATAAAATCATAACAAAATCCATTTGGAAGAACTAGAGGTCAAGAAAATCAAAGAAATTAATGAAAAAAAATTAAGTGAAGGAGGTTTAACAGTACCAGATCTTAAATTGTATTATAAGGTAGTAATTATCAAAACTATCTGGTACTAGCTAAGAAATAGAAAGATAGAACAGAAAGGAATACAATACACAATAGTAAATTATTATAGTAATCTTGTATTTGACAAATGGAAAGATGTAAGCTTTTGGGATAAGAATTCACTATTTGGTAAAAATTGTTGGGAAAACTGGAAAGCAGTCTGGCAGAAACTAGGCGTAGACCAATATCTTACACTAAAATAAGGTTCAAAATGGATGTATGACCTAGATGTAAAGGGAGATATCATAAATCAGAAGAATATGAAACATATTACCTGGCAGACTTACAGATAAGAGAAGAATTATGAACAAATGAGATAGAGAGCATTGTGAGATATAAAGTGGATAATTTTGATTACATTAGATGTAAAAGGTTTTGTACAAATAAAAACAATGTAGCCAAGATTAGGAGGAAAGAAGAAAATTAGGGGGAAATTTTATATACCGTTTCTCAGATAAAGGTCTCATTTCTCAAATATAGAGAACTTTGTCAAATTTATAAGAATATTAGTCATTTCCCAATTAATAAATGGTCAAAGGATATGAACAGGCAGTTTTTAGATGAAGAAATCAAAGCTATATATAGTCTTCCGGGAAAAAAGCTCTAAATCATTATTGATTTCTTATTGTTGTTCAGTTGTTTCAGTCATGTCTGACTCTTCGTGACCCTATTTGGGGTTTTCTTGGCAAAGATATTGAAGTGGTCTGCCATTTCCTTCTTCAGCTCATTTTACAGATGAGGAAACTGAGGCAGACAAGGCTAAGTGACTTGCCCAAGGTCACGCAGCTAGTAAGTATCTGAGGCCAGCTTTGAACTTAGTTCTTCCTGACTCTGGGCCCAGCACTCTAACCACTGTGCAACCTAGCTGCCCCTCATTATTGATTAGAGAAATGCAAATTTAAAAAACTTTGAGATATCATCTCACACCTATCAGTTTGGCTAAAATGATAGAAGGAAAAAATGACAAGTATTGGAGGGGATGTGGAAAAATTGGGACACTAATATACTGTTGGTGAAATTGTGAACTGGTTCAATTATTTTAGAGAGCAATTTGAAATTATGCCCAAAGAGCTATAAAACTGTATATATACCCTTTGACACAGAAATACCATTATTAGGTCTGTATCTCAAGGTGATCAGGGAAAAAGGAAAAGAACCTATATGTTCTAAAATATTTACATCAGCTCTCTTTGTGGTGGCAAAGAACTGGAAATTATGGGGATGCCCATCGATTGAGGAATGGCTAAACAAGTTGTGGTATCTGATTGTGATGGAATACTACCATAATGTAAGAAATGATGAGCCGGTTGATTTTAGAAAAACATGACTGACAAATAGAAATGTTTATAGTGTGCTCTTATATATATGTACGTGTGTATATGTATATATGTATATAAATATATAGTATGTTATATGTGTGTGTGTGTGTGTGTGTGTGTGTTCATGTTTAATTGTAGCCTTCTCTAGGGCAGGGTAGGGAGGGAGAAAAAAATAAAAAGCACAAAGCAGAGAACAAAAGAATACTTAGAAGAAAGCACAGAAAAGCTGGCTTTGAAAATAATGTGTAGTATTTATTACATAGGTTTTCAAAAAAAAGTAAACAGTTTGAAATGGAAATTTATTGTTTTATACTGAATCCTCTATGTTTTGCTATGCACGTTTTGTATTTAGATTTTAAACAAATTTTTAAAAATTTTTTAAACATGAAAAGACTTGCATGAAATAATAAAGAGTAAAATAAGCAGAACCAAGAAAACAATGTATACGGTAAGAGCAATATTTTTCAAAGAATAACTGTGAATGAGTAAACTATTCTGAGTATTATAAAGATTCAAATCAACTACAAAAGACCTATTAAGGAAGATGCTATCCTCCTCCAGAGAAAGAATTGATAAATAAAAATATGCATAGTATGATGTGTGTGTGTGTGTGTGTGTGTGTGTGTGTGTGTGTGTGTGTGTGTAAGAAAGAAAGAAATGGTGACTTTCTCCAGTGTGGGGCGGGGAGGGAGGGAAGAAGAAAGTTCAGAATTTAAAAGATAACCAAAAAATTTTAATTTATACAAGAAAGTACTTTTAAAAAATGAATAGATCAAAGAATTATAGAATTTCAGAACTGAAAGGAACTCCCATGGCCATGTGGCCCAACACAGAGCCCAAAAGGAACACCCACGGTAACATACCTGATAAGTGAACATCCAGCCTCTGTTAGATGTCCTTCAGTGAGGGGAACCCATTATTCCCTAAGAAGTTCATTCTACCTTGGGACAGTTCTATTTATTAAGAGGCCCGCTAGGTGGCGCCATAGTGCACAGAGTGCTGGGCCTGGAGTCAGGAGTACTCTTTTTTCTAAGTTCAAATTCAGCCTCAAACACTTACTAGCTGTGTGATCCTGAGCAAGTCATGTAACCCTATTTGCCTCAGTTTCTTATCTATAAAGTGAACTGGAGAAGGAAATAGCAAAACACTCTAGTATCTTTGCCAAGAAAACTCTAAAGAAAAGTCAATCTGAAAAATAACAATTTGTTGAGAAGCTTTTCCTGACATCATACATACATTTGCCTCTTTAAAAGTTCCTTCCATTTTCCTTGATTCTGCCTTCTAGATCCAAACAAAGCAATGACATGGACTCAAGACTCTTCACCATCCTGATTGTCCTACTCTGTACACTTCCTAATTTATCAACTCATGGAAACAATGAATAATTATGTTAAAGAAACTAACAAGGAGATATACCAAAATCTGCGGGATGCAACTGAAGCAATTTTTAGGAGACTACATTTCTAAACACTCATGACAGCAACCTAAGAGAGAGAGAGAGAGAGAAAGAGAGAGAGAGAGAGAGAGAGAGAGAGAGAGAGAGAGAGAGAGAGAGAGAGAGAGAGATTATAAACAAAGTGAGCCTGAATTTTAAAAAAATTAATAAATTTATAATTCTCAAAGTAGAGATAATCGAAATGAAAAATCAAAGGAGCAATAAATAAAACTGAAAACAAAAAGATTATTGATACAGTAAATTGGACTGAGCTTTTAAAAATTAATAAACTAGATATTTAGCTGATTTGAGGAAAGGAAAGTGAGACTAACAAAGAAAGACAGAGCAAGCTTGGTCCATTTGTATTTATCAGAGGAGTGTCAGCCCTGATTAGAACTAATTCCAGCTCATTCAAGATATTAACAGGATGCTGCAAAGGACAAACAGGAACCCAATACCTGCCCATTTTGACCTACTTCACTTTGCAAAGAGGTTTACAGCAGAACAAAGGCAAGTAGCAACAATGAATAACACAACACACTCAGAAATAGATTTCAAGGAGTTTTGCAATGGAGTGGCTTCCATTCCCAAACATGGAAGGAATGGCTAAGACTGTAAGAGGACACGAATATTCTCATTGCATGAGTGGAGTGTGGCAAGGAGCAACTCACAGGATCCTGTTCACTGACACCTGTTCATTCTGGGAACAATCAGGAAAAATATCTTTGTGACAGATGAACTCAGAGACCATCTCAAGAACCTGCTTATCATGGGGCAGCTAAGTGGTGCAATGGATGGAGCACTGACCCTGAAGTCAGGAGGACCTGAGTTCAAATCCAACCTTAGACCAAACACTTGACACTTACTAGCTGTGTGACCCTGGGCAAGTCACTTAACCTCAATTGCCTAAAAAAAAGTCCAGTTGTACATACACCAAAAGTAGTAGTACAGAAGAAGAATGAAAAGATAACATATGTGTACAGGCTTCCAGACTTTGAACCAAAGAACCAAAATGGACCAGTACACTACGCCAAGAATTCAAGATACCCTCGGTAGATACTAGGCAGCCAGTGATTCTGAGATTTGGGCTTATGGAGTGGCTACTACCAGATTCCTATGGCAGAGGAAGACAAGAAGTTTGCTTTCATCTGCTCTGCTGGCTTTTGCCAAGTTACATCCCAAGACATTTCAAGAGTACCTGCTACTGAGAGGACTAACTGGAAATAATGGAAGATATAAACTATCTATTGGTAGACTTTTGTAACATCATTGTCTTTGGGAAGACCCTAGTATTGGTTCAGCTAGAGGAAAATGATCTGAAGTGAAGAGATACTTGAAGGTAAAAAACTACTTAGGAGTCTGTTGCAATAATCTAGGTTGAGGTGATAACAGCCTAAACTAAAGTGGTAGTTGTATGAAAGTTATGAAGATAGAAACAATAAGATATGCACAAACAAAGCTAATGCAACTAAGGTTAGAAGGAAGGCAGAAAATTGGGAAAGAATTTTTACAACCAGTCTCTCCGATAAAGGCCTCATTTCTAAAATATATAGAGAATTAAGACAAATTTATAAGAACACAAGCTGTTCCCCAATTGATAAATGGTCAAAGAATATGAACAGAGAGTTCTCAGATGAAGAAATTAAAGCCATCTATAGTCATATGAAAAAATGCTCTAAATCGTTATTGATTAGAGAAATGCAAATCAAAACAACTCTGAGGTACCACATCACACCTATCAGATTGGCCAACATCACAAAACAGGAAAATGATAAATGTTGGAGAAGATGTGGGAAAATTGGAACGCTAATACATTGTTGGTGGAGTTGTGAAATGATCCAACCATTTTGGAGAACAATTTGGAACTATGCCCAAAGGGCTACAAAAATGTGCATACCCTTTGATCCAGCAATAGCACTTCTAGGGCTATATCCCAAAGAGATCAAACAAATGAGAAAAGGACCCACATGTGCAAAAATATTCATAGCAGCTCTTTTTGTGGTGGCAAAGAATTGGAAATTGAGAGGATGCCCATCGGTTGGGGAATGGCTGAGCAAATTGTGGTATATGAATGTAATGGAATACTATTGTGCTATAAGAAATGATGAACAGGCTGACTTCAGAAAAACCTGGAAAGACTTATATGGTCTGATGCTGAGTGCAGTGAGTAGAACCAAGAGGACTTTGTACACAATAGCAGCCACGTTATGCTATGACTAAGAACGTTAAACTGAACCCTTCTCAGCATTATGAGGATCTAAGACATCTCCAGAGGCCTCAGGATGGAAAATGCTGTCCACATCCAAAGAAAGAACTATGGAAGTCAAATTGCTCTCACTTATTTTTACCTTCTGTTGAGTTTTGTTTCATCTGTCTGATGGTTCCTCCTATTGGTTTTAATTTTTACTTACAACTTCACTAATGTGAAAATATGTTTAATGGGTATGTAAATGTAAAGCCTATATCAGATTGTGCACTGTCTTGGGGAGGGTGGGGGGGAGGAAGGGGGAAAAAAATTTTCAACTCAAAAGCATATGGAAGTGATTGTTGATAAATCAATAAATTAATAAAATCCAAAAAAAAGTAGATCAATAGAAAACACTAGATAATGAATAATCAGAAAAAAATGAACTTAATGAACAACATAGTCAGGATCACACAAGACTATACTGTAACAACTATAAAAGATAGAAAATTTTGAAATATGATATTCCAAAAGGCAAAAGATAAAGATTTACAACAAATAATAAATTACTCTATAATGAATATAATTCTATGAGGAAAAATAGCTCTTTGATAGGATAGAGGGCTTTTGAATATTCCTGATAAAAAGACTACAACTGAGTAGAAACTTTGAAATGCAAACTCAAGAGTCCAGTGAAACCTAGAAAAGTAAATACATTTGAACAGCTGAAAGAAGCTAAATAATGATAATATGCTTAGACTCTAATAGAAGTAGAAGAGACAAGTTTCCTGTTCATAAGATTACTACCTTCAAGGGTCACAGAGGGAGTTAATTATAATACAAAGAGATTATTAATAATAATGTGTAATTTTGTTCAGTTTTGTTTTGTTCAGTTAGTTTAAGAAAGTAGAGTAGAGAAGGAGCTGCCCACTAAGGACCAAACTAGGCAACATGGCTTTCTTTCTTTCTTTTTCTTTCTTTTTTTCTTTCTTTCTTTCTTTCTTTCTTTCTTTCTTTCTTTCTTTCTTTCTTTCTTTCTTTCTTTCTTTCTTTCTTTCTTCTTTCTTTCTTTTTTTTTTTTTTTTTTTTTTCTTTTTTTTTTCTTTCTTTCTTTTTTCTTTCTTTTTTTTTCTTTTTTTCTTTCTTTCTCTTTCTTCTCTTCTTTTCTTTCTCTCTCTCTCTCTCTCGCTCTCTCTCTCTCTCTCTCTCTCTTTCTCTCTCATTTCTTTTTTCTCTCTCCACATAGGGTATCACACCCTTACCTGCCAGTGCTCTGCCCAAAGGGAATGTAAATTTTAATCTCTGAAACTTTTTTAATTTTTTTTTCTCTTAAAGACCAGCCTTAAGCCCAAATCACTCTGGTCCCAGACCAAGCCCTACTTAGTCACTGTTTGGGCCCTGCTTGGCTCAGAATGAATGTAAGTAACAATTGTTTCTGTTTTCACCAGACCCTAAGGGTCTTCCCCTTCCAGATCTATTTTTTCTTTTAAAGAGGCCATTCTTTGCCTCATTTTTCATTAAGCTTTAATCACTGAATGGGCACTGCCTCAATCAAACTCAGACCTGTTAAAGACCTTAGTTTGAAAAGGCCAAGGTCCCCCACTGCATCCTGGGCTATCTCCAGTTGTCCAGATCCATATCTGGCCACTGGACCCAGATGGTTGGGGGTTGGGGGTGAGCAGAGAAAGTAAGGCTGGTGACTTTGCACAGCCCTCCCTCACTTAAATCCAATTCATTTGCATGTCAAGGCATCACCTCTCTGATGTCATGTTACTCTTCAAGAAAAAAGGACTTGCTGCTTGCAAGTTTAAGAAAGGAAAGAAAAGGAGTTTAAAAAAATATTCTAGGGAAAAAGAAAAGAGGAAGGAGAAACTAGTTATTTACTTTCATAATCGGGGTGGATAAGGAGTACACAAACATGGAGTGGAGTGAGGGGACTGAGAACTTCATGAACCTTACCAATAATCAATAAATATTTATTAAGTGCCTATTGTGGGTAAAATTGTCAATGCCGCCACAAACCAGAACTCCCAAACCAGAACCAGAACCCAAATCCAATATCATACATTGAGTTCACCAGCAAAGGCAGAAACTGCCTGAAGGAACAAAAAGACAAAGCTGATATAGGTTTCAATTAAGGCAGGTAGTGAATTGGGTATGGGGTGCCTTAGGATTGGACAAGACTGTTGCTGGAGGCTAGTAATAGGAAAAGCTCTTCTCCAAGTTAGCTATCTCTCATAACCCCTGCCCTAACATATAGGATTATCCTTACTGTTTCACCAATAAGGAAGGTTGCAGACAGGGTAGGGGTTGCAGTACAAGCAGGGTGAGGGACAAGATACAGGAACTGCAGACAAAATGGAATTGCTTTAACTTCCTCAGCTACCCACATTATTATGTGCCAGGTACTGGGGATACAAAAAGAATCAAAAGACAGTCCCTGCCCCCAAGGAGCTTATTATCTAACGAGGGAGAAAATATGCAAACAAATATGTACAAAGTAAGCAGTATACAGGATAAATAGGAAATGATTAACAGAGGGAAGCCACTAGAATTAAGAGAAGTTAGGGAAAGCTTCCAGTAAAAGATGGGATTTTTGTTGGGATTTGAAAGAAGGCAGGGAAGCCAGTAAGCAGCGTTGAGAAAAAAAGAACATACCATGCACAGGATACAGCCAGAGAAACAGGGGGCAGCTAGGTGGTGCAGTGACTAGAGCACCCACCCTTGGAGTCAGGAGGACCTGAGTTCAAATTTGTTCTCAGACACAGAACACTCACTAGCTGTGTGACTCTGGTCATTTAACCCCATTGCCTGGCCAAAAAAAAAAAAAAGAAAAAGAAAGAAAGAAAATTCCCAGAACCATCTTAATTGGGCAAAGAAGTTGAATAAACACACACAAGTTTGCTGTAGAGATACG